CGTGGTCTACAGGTGACGTTGTTTGCCTCTCATTCAACAGGTCCCGGGCTCGAAACTTGACAGCGATGGTAAATGTTCTGCTTTAAAATTTTCTCCTTTTGCCTCCTTTCCTGCTCTCATGTTCTATCATCTGTTATCATCACGGCGAGCACCGTAAAACACTCTCAAGACAAAAACCAACAGACCGTGGCGGGAAAGGGGACCGAATTTATAGAGGCAAAGTCTACGAAAATTACCCCCCCTTTCACCCGACGGACGGCGTGGAATGAACAAGTTCATTCTTAAACCGTCTGGTCCGGGACGTCGGGTTTTGGTGTGGGCGGGTTGTCGTTTTTTATTACTGGTCCTTACTGTTCTGCCGGCGTCCATTCTTTTGTGTCGGAAAATGGTCCGGTCTGACCGTCGGGCCCAACGCCGGTGTGGGTCTACCCCTACACTGACCGAGGCCCTCATTAACAACTTACCAATCCCCCAGCCCCAAATCTAAATATTGGGTTCAAGTTAAACCCAACTAGTTCCATGAATAACAGTGTTTCTATTATATATACAAACATACAAGCCTGTGACACTGGGTATAGTATTTCTTAACGGACGGGTGGGGAGGGGATGGAAATAAATTACAACACCTATTTAATCTAAACAATAAGTAGTTGTCATCCTACAGTAGTTTTCCATAAGATTTAACCTACATAGACAATTCTTTGTACAGACTCCTCAATCTTCTCTTTGTTGAGAAGCCTGAAGGTTGGAGGTAGTTGTTGCCGACGAAGCAGAGCATCAGCGGACTTGATGGCACATGAATAGGACAGCAGCCACTGCCACTCTTTCACTATGTGCTCACTCCCTGAAAAAGAAAGAATAACTTTTGATTCAGAAAAAAAATCCCGTAATGAATGCCCTTGAATTTTTTGAATGATGAAATGGAAAAAGAATAAAGTATGCATTTAAAAAAAAGCTAATTCTTAAAAAAACAACAACCCATAACTAAACTGAACACATTTGAACTTAAAAACTTTTTCATATAAGTTGTTGAATACAATTGCAGAGATGGAAACAGATAGACATTTATCCATTATGAATTAAATACATCTACCTGAAGAAACATGTCAACTAAAACCGCATGGATAGAGAGTACTTGACACTCACGTATCTTCACTTGATTTTGCCTTTCAGTAAGCTAAGCTTTCCTGTGTGATGGCCATCTTTCATGTACAATTCACATCTACCTTCACAAAAGTACACATACATAGTGCATCAATGACCAGTTTAATACTCACACTACAATGTCACTCAAAGCCCACTTTTGATTATTAACAATATTCAACTGACCACTTTCCTTAATCATCAGAAAACAGTCCACACAAAAGCACGATGTGACCTGCAGCACTATGCTTAACTGTTCTTTTGCGGGCTGGACACTTTTCCCCTTTTGACCATTCACCACGAACACCTGTCTCTACCCCTGTTTATGTCAATACCCTCACTCATCACACACAAACAACAAACACACACAGCCATAACAACAAAACACATATCAGCTCACCAGCCTGGGAATTGCGATGGTGCCAGGGGACAGGGGAGAAACAAAGAGCAGAGTCCAACTGAAGACTGACAGCCATAGACGTGAGGCACTGCAGATACTGGCTGTGCTGCAGTTGGTCACCAGATGACACCTGGGTCTAAGGACGATGACAGAAAGGTTTTTAGAGCTGTATCATGTTTGGAAATAAAAAAATCTGGACAGGAAGTTAGTTTCCAAAAAAAATCCAAAAGTCTCATTTGTCTGAAAATAGGTTCTAGAGCTATGGTTTGTTTGAAAAAACAAACAACATAGGGTTATAATTCAATTAGAAATACAGTCGAACCTGTGTAAGACGGAATCGCAAGGGAGCCAGAAAATAATTCCGTCTTAGACAGGGGAATTTAGGGGGAGTTCAAAGGCCCAGCCGGTGGGATCAAGGATCGCTTGTCCGATCGACCAGCAGTGGTCAAAACTTCCCACCTCTCAACAGCTATCCTCTCTGATAATGACATGCGTCAGTCTTACTTATACAGTTACCACCAGTGCTTGCCTTTCATACGCCCACTGTTTGACCTATTAAAACAGGAACGTTTGAACATCTCCTTTGCTTCCACCCTTAGCCCCACCCAACAATGCCATCATGTAACAACGATTCAAGGAACTCCTTTCTCGGCTGGCATTGGTCAATCTAATTTCACACCTCCGGCTTCTGGACACGAGCACTCTCACGGGCAGTCGTGAGATTTCACACCCACACTACACTGACCATCTGCATCACTCAGGGCTCACATGATGGGGTAACATCTACCCGCAAATTGCACCTCTTCTCCCCTTCCTCGGCCAGCGGCATGGCCATAGCATTAAGTTTAGAGCCGTCGGAACCAAACTTGCGAGTTTTGTTTCAAATCAGGGTTGAGCGGGCAAAGCATTTTCCGTCTTAGACAGGTGAAACCCTCGGAAGGGAGCAGATTTTTGTTTCTGTTTCCGCTTTGGACAGGTTTCCGTTTTATACAGGTAATTAAAGAGGAATATATCAACGGGGGAGCCGGGATATTCCGTTAAGACAGGTTTCTGTTTTACACAGGTTTCCGTTAAGGCAGGTTCGACTGTACAATCCAGAATTACACTTGGATGATTCTTACAAACGAAGGATACATCGACATAGAGAGTGCAAAAAATATGGCATGATGAGGGAACAGCACTGGGACAAGGATAAAACTTACAAAAAATTTTTAACGCATCATAAAATTATAAATAATAAAAGCATATAAGTAACAACAGAATATTGTATCGAAGCTTATTAAATTGAACTTACAAACTGGTATGACATGAACTATCCTTTTGTCTGTTTCTAGAAGAAATCCTAGTTATTTTTGAAACACAGATTCAGTCTGTGTCGGTTTTTACTAAAAACTAAACTTATTTTTTTTAACGTTTCATACGGGGCGGGGAATATTTCAATCATCTATTACTCCTGAACGCACAAACACCCACCTTTTCAAGTTGATACTGTTCTTGCAACATGGCGGGCAGACGCTGCAGCAGGCTGAGGAAGCACTTGGCCTGATTCAGCCCCATGATGCCCTGCTGTTTGAGAGACTTGCGAGCCAAGGCCAGCACACGGTTGGTGTGGAACAGCTCCGAGGAGTAGTTCAAGATAACAACATCCTGGTCAAAGTAAAAGAAAAGATTTATAAACAAATGATTTACCAATGGCGATTAATTAATATTGCACACATAAAAAAACAAACCATTTACCTTCAAAGCAGACAGGGTCAATCCCTAGAGCATATATAGAAAAACCAATCAAAACAAAAATCAAGTTGCTTCAAAATACATCCGTAAATGTCCAGAGAAATCGAGCTCCTGTTGATACGAATGGGAAAAATGACCAGCTTCTACTTAGAGTTGGGGCGAGTTAGAGAAATTTCCGCCATGAACGCCTTGCTACAATGTGGGGCAGAAAGGTGATTTTCTGATATTTAAAAAAATTATTTTGGGGGTGTGGGGGGGGTGTGTGAGTGTAAGTGGTATGCAATGGAAGGAATCGCTCCCCGTTCGTCCATCCGCCTGCTTCAATGCATGGAGTCTCTCTGTCCGTCTGCTCGCTCGCTAAATGAACTGTTGTCTCTGTCCGACGTGTACCCAGTACCGATCGACACTTCACAAGCGGACAGCTCATACCCATTCGCTCGTTTGCGAGTAGTACCAGCGAACCGTTCGTTATTTGCTGACGCTGATTTAGCGAGCCTGACTCAACTCTATTTCTACATGATAAAAATGCATGAAGAAAAAAAGTGGCACAATGACAAAGCTTTTTAACCCTATCCATACGCCATGGGGTCATTTTGTACTCCCGTGGTTTATTCTTCACATTTTAGAATACTTCTAGTGCGAAGACCTATTTGAAACTTTCAGTATTTCTCACAAAATCATTCTGACAGACTGCTATGCAAAGTGTACGGATCAGATTAACGAGTAAATTTCCTCTTTGGAAAATGGCGGCACACAATTCCCCACGTCGTATGGATACGATAGTAAAACACGACGTACAGATAGGGTTAAATTTCAGTGACAGTACTTTCATTTGACATGATTATAAGCAACAAGACACATTTCTCAAACATAACAACATTAAGCATTAAGTATACAGCTCTATTAAAAAAAGATATATCACCAGATCTGAGTTGTAGCGGTTAGGTGCTTTGCTGTTGCATGCAGGAGACCTGAGTTTGATTCCTGAGTGAACAGAAATTCTTATAAAGTATCAGAAAGGATGTGTATCCTTCTCGGCACGGGTAAGCCCTACCAGGCATGGTCGGAAGCCTGCCTCCTAAATGATCTAAATCGTGTCGATGAGAGCGCAAAAATACCTACATTTAAAAAGAAAATGTGTCACAAAAGAATTCAGCATGTACCACTTCCCATACATCAGAACATACCTTGCAGCGACTGAACGATGCAGCCATGCAACGCTCGGCAAACCACTCAAGGGTCCTCACGTTGCCCATGCCTGTATACGTCTGCAGCAGACACTTGTCCTGTGAACATATTTACAGAATTCAGAAATATGTTAGCTTTTATACATAATAAATAATACAATATAAGGCATTTATATAGTGCTCAACCCCAATTCAAGTGCACAGGCTCTGAGCACTTTACAATATAACAGTAGTACATAAACAGCACTCTGTGTTCTGACTTAACATCTATATATAGATAACCTTACTTATGGAAAAGAGAGTCGTGGTAAAGCATTTTTCAACTTTGGAATTTCGTTTCATTTTCCAACATTTGTTACTCCTATTCATGACAATGATTATTCACAAAAATTAAGAAAGACTGATTAAAATGAAGTTTACATAAAAGTGTTTATACTATTTCAGGACAAAAGAAGAACCATTAAATTCTATACACTGTGGTACAGAGAATTTATAAAATTGAACAGCCGTAAGAAAAAACTTGAGTTATGTTCAGGAAATCAGTATCCAAAGATTTAGACGGAGATATTATTGCCTTACAAATTGTGAAAACTTATAAAGATCTTTCCCCACCAATGACAGTTTCACTGACCTGTATGGACCAGATGTTGAGCCAGCCTTTGGAACAGCCACTTGCCAGCATAAGGCCATCAGGGCTGAAAGCTAAGGCAGAGATAGGAGCTATGTGACCACAGAGAGTCATCTCTGGCTTTCTCTTCAACTGACTCGGCTTCTGAGTTTCGTTGGGCACTGGCTCATCTTCATTCTACACACAGAACAAGGGAGAAACACTTAGAGCAAAAGCCTTCCAGGAATGTCAGATTAAAATTTGAGCACATAAATCACTGAGGTTAGGGTAGCACTCAAACAAAACACTTTATTTGAAAATGTTCTATTCTTTTCAAAACTTTATAAATCAATACTGATACCTATAGTTTTATAAGTCTTTATCAGGGCACAGTTTTGAAATTTTGTGATGTGTAGAGCACAGCTGTTTGGTTCAAAGACAAAACAAGTAATTTCACATGAGTTTCTGAAATGATATTTTAGCAAGTTTCATGACTTTTTGACCTCGTGCACAGGAATATAAATAAAAAATTAGTGCTAAAGTTCAGCACTAATAATACTTGATTATATATGAGTGTCAAGCAGCAAAACCTTTTAACTGAATTATACCAAAGACATGTTCAGTCCATTCTGACTAATGTAGAGAAAACTGCAAAAAGAGGGAATGACACAAATGCTTTTGCCGTGCCCTAAAAAAAGGACCAAAAAAATTACATGAGACGTGGACTCATGGAGAGACTGTGGCTTCAGTGGGGATGAGCTTGAAGTTGGCTGTATAACTGTCCATAGGTAGACAACACCATTCTCACAGCCACTGTTACAGAAAGACAGGGTCATAAAGATGTAAGTTTGGAATTATACTTCATGACAACAACCTTTATTAAACAAAAAAAAAAACCCCTCTTTCTCACTCATCATTGACTTTACGCAACAAAAACCCAAGTCAAACAAAACCAGCACATGCTGGGGGAAAAAGTTATGATCAGCATTGTAAAATGCAGGAACTATTAAAACATTACTTACTGATCCAATGTCCTTCAGGCCCATTACTACCTTAAACAATAAAGAAAGACATACATTTATTGTCCATTCATCAAACACTGAGAACAATACTACTAGCCAGAGTGCCACTGAGGGTTGAAATTTCCACAAGCAAATTGATTGTAATCGAAATGAAATAATGACATTACATTTAAGAGAGATGACATATGGCTGTCTAAGAAATATAAAAAATTTGGAATATCCTGCCCATCTAGAATTATGAAACTTAACAGAACAGCAGGGTCGCTTTCCGAATTCCATGAACTACATTTTCACCAAATTTATGACTTTTCTCCAAAGGATGACAGCTCTTCACCCACCTGGCTAGCATGAGGCGTTTCTCGGAGCCCAAGCCCCACATGTTGCACCATCTGAAGTCAGAGACAGCAGCAGCATGTGGCAGCGAGTCCCAAGCTGAGAGCCCCTCCTCCCCGGCTGTGATCCACACGCGAAGGTCTGTCTCCCCCATGGCACTACTGGCCAGTAATTTGCCCGTTGGGTCCCAGCTCAGGAGCGAAATGGAGCTCTGTGTTCACAAGTGCCAATAGAAAGGACATTTCACATTCTAATAGTCTCAAATCAAATTAAAAAAAACCCAACAATGCTGAAACAATGTACTCTCCATTTTTATCTGCTCAGTATAAATAAACATAACATTATGTTCTCATCAGTTACTGACTCACAAAAATAAACCAGGCTAGAAAAAAAACTGTAACACAAATTAAATTATTATAAACAGAAGCTTCAACATCAGAGCCAGTCAGTCTTCATCATTGAGTTTTGTCAAAAATGAACATTAGGACCCAAGATCCGTATAATAGCATAACACACACATCTCAAAGGTGGATGTTAGTTGAAGACAGACATGGGAAAAATCAAGTTTGTAACCAAATGGTTACCTTGTGGGCATCTACATTCAAAGGCTGCTCAAAATCTTCTCGGCTGCACAGTGAGATAACTCCATCACTGTAAGACACAGCAAAACGGTGATCTTCCTCATACCACACAATGCTGGTCACCGACACTGTGAAAAAACAAATGGAGGAGCAGACACTTATAAAGTATTTATTCCTGGTATAACAGAATGTCTGGTTTACCACAAAGCAGGATGAACAACAGCAACTAACAACTTGTCTCCAATACTGGTCAGTGAGGTGCAAAAATGTTTACTTACTGAGGTTCAAGAACATTGCTTCTGTGTTACAGAACATTTCTTTTGACAAAATCAAACTCAAGTCATTGGTAAAAAAGTATAAGTGTAATGCCTCAGGCAGTTAGCATTGCATATTTCTATTGCAAAATGTGCTATAGCCTCATCTTCTTCATTATGGTGTGAAATTCAATTCCATTTAGCATATAATTACTCCTCTTCATTTTCCCTTCAATTTCATAAATAAAAAAGGTTATTTAACTTTTTTTTAAAGCTTAACACACAGACGTAAAGAAAAATTTCAACTGACCATTGCGACGACGGCAGTGCTCCATCTCAAAGCACCTGTAAGTGGAGCTGTCAATTATGTCCACCATGCCCATGGTGCCATCCAGGCGACCCACAAGCAGTGTATCTCCCACCACACCGATCCGGCCTTCAAACATGCCTTTACTGCCAGGCCAGGCCAAGGCTGTCACCCACTGGCTCTGTTCTATAAGGTGACCTCGACCTCCTGTACAAAATGAAAACAAAGGGTTGTGAAGGACATTACTTGCTTCTTCTTTTTTGTGAAGAAAATGTTGAGCTGAAGTATACTAACCACCTGTACAAGATAAAGACACAAGAAAGTAAATAGCAAGGAACAAGTTATGGAAAAGTAACTGTCAAAGATCGGATGGAGCAGACACCACTAAAGCCACCTTGAAACACCAGTTTTGCAACAACAATAACAATAACAAAAAACTACTGGCAAGAGACTTTGTAAAGGTTTGCATTAAACTCAGACATTTAGCCATGTCCCAATGACATGATTAAACTCAAAGAAAGACATGTAGTCCACGGGAAAGTCCTCAAAATCATAACTTTAGATTTATTAAAAAAACAACAACAACAAAACAACCAACAGCATTGTTAGCATCAGTAAAAAGGTCTCTGTTACTTCCTGAAAAAATGCTCTTGGCATTCTGAGTTCAACGCCTTGTAACTATAATACAACAAAAGATGAATTAGAAAAGCTGAAGCAGCCTGCCTTTGCTGCAGATTTATATTCTCAAGGTCATGTCTTTACAGAACTCAATCTGACACTATTCCCAGCTTACTGAACACTTTTTCCCTCATTTAAGGTATTCACTGACCTCCAATCATCCACACATTGACGAGATTGCCCATGCTGCCAGCTAAAAGTTTTCCTGTGCTGCTCCAACACACGTGACTGATCTGGTTACCGTCCAGCTCCTCCACACTTGTCTCACTACCGCGGTTAAAGATGCAGGTCTGTTGCAAGAACTGGTGAGTTTTGTTGGGAAGACTCCACACACGGACAGTCCCATCGTAGCCACTAAAAGACATGACAATAGGCTATCATGTCTGCAGTAAGTAGACAGTACACGATAAGCTGATCCTCAACATTTCTTTCATAATATGTGTCACGACGCGGTGAAATCAGGTGCTAGTCAAATTTTGGGCATGTGGAGTTTTTAGCATCATCTGAAAGCTGATTTTATTTGCCTTGCATCCATCAAAATAAATATACCTTGAATAGAACTCAAGATATTTGCGATTGAAGAAAGTGAGGTCGTCTGGTTTCAGTGGTGACATTAGCGAGAAAAAGCTCGCTAAAGTCTGATAACTCCAATAGCTAAACAGTCTTTGAAAACTGAAAAAATGACATATTTTATGCCTTTAATCAATGTTTTCAGTAAAATTCAAATGGAAATGTTTTTATATTGACATAAAAGAGGTTAAACCAAAAAATAAAAATTTTATAAAAATTTCCAAACGGCGGAAAAATGCCTGTTTCTCCAATTTCGTTGTTTTGATGAGCGCCTGATTTCACCACGCTGCCTCACACATTTATTTTTGAGACTTAAACTAATTATTTCCACACTTCAGTGCAAGGTTTTGTTTATTTATTTGAGTAAAAAGAACCACATTAGGAATGTATAGGTCATTTAGTGCTGGGAAAAAGTAAGACAGACAAACAGAAACAACAGAGGGAAAGGAAAAAAAGTAGGACCATAACAATATACCCGTAAACCAAAATATATGGAACTTAAAAAAATTGATCACAGACAAAAAAATAAAAGAACACAAGTACTTTACTATAAAAATGGGTTGGCTTATGATCAACGAAATGACTGTGTCATGATCATACCAGCTGATTATAATTCACTTTCACAAGACAATTACCATAACTGAATCTCTCAATTCCAGAACCCCTCTGGCATTCAAATGCTACAAAGGATAGCAGGTATATCTTCCGCAGGTTTTCACGGACTACTCTCCTTTATCTTTTTCTGCATTCCATTGCACGGCGCCCACAGGTTCAAAGAAGAAGAAAAGAAAGTTCTAAAATGAAATGACAGGAAAAGATTCAGTGCAAACCTTGAGGCCAGGAGCCCTTTGCGTGCACTCCACCAGCAGCCATTGAGCCTGTTCTGGTGTCCCTCGAGCTTGACAATGGAGCAGGTGGGCATGTCCCCTCCCAAGTCTACTTGGTTGTCAGAGCCAGAAGACATCTGGTGTCCATACACTGAAAGAGCCTGAAAGAAGGGAAAGGGAGTGGGGCACTCAGCTGTTAGAAGTAGAGTACGCACAATCAAAGCTTGGACTTTTATAAAAGAAAACAATTCTTTCCAAATCCACATACAGAGAAAAAGGATCAGTAAATTCTCAGCAACAGAAGTCAATAAAGTAAAAAAAAGTGTCACTTAACAAGTTAGTACAAGCTTTATATCAATTTATTTCAAATATTTCGTGACTGATTGAAAAATGAATGTAGATTTGCTTCAGACAAACAAGAAGAGACATCACATAAGCAAGCCATTAGTAGTCTTTTCACATCATAAAGAAACTAAAGAACTACTTTTAATAGTAATCTTTGCACATCATGAAGAATCTAAACAACTTCTTTTTTTAAATTGATTTTGTTAATCCTCTACCTTTTCTTGAAATGAAAAATACTGGTTACTAAAATCTGATAGAGCAAAATCTCAATGAGCTTTGGGTTAAAGAGTAAAGTACAGTCAAAATGGTACAAGACAGCCACCTTCTGTCTAGAGAAAAGTGGTTGTCTCGGCCAGATGCCTGTTAGAGCAGGTTTTACTGTATTCTTTTTTAGGCACAAAAAAAAATTATTTTTACATATGAGTTGAGGCATCATTAGCACATGTGACTGCATGTATGGGATTATTGGGTCACTCACGCGGACAAGTTGTTTGGCAGACCACTGTCGGTGGTGAGGAGGCATGCGTGCAGAGATGACACAAGCAGACAAAGCGTTAATCATCTGTAGGTGGGAGCACTTGCTCAGGTCTGTGGCTGGGGACTTGTGCTGAGCTGACACTGGGAGATGGACGGGTACACAAAAACAGACAGAGAATGGGGAGTAAGGGGGCATAAGACTTTTAGCGTACTTTGCAGTTGGATTGGACAGGAAATCAAAATGACAAAATGAAATAACAATAATGATAATAACTGCATTTATGTGGTGCATATCCATGCTCTTCAGCATGCTTTATGTATTTTCTAACAATTATTGCCCCAACAGACCTAAGAACATTCAAAAACATTTTTCACTTTCCCAAGAAGCATACAGTGCAAGTAGCCAACTAAGCGCTCAAACACTTACAAACTGACATGATCTTATTTCACCAGGTACCCATTCAAACCTGGGCAAAGTGAGGAAAACTTATTTAAAGTGCCTTTCCCAAGGACACAACGTCTGACCCCTGACTGTGTTCCGACCCACGACCTTTCAGTTGCCAGCCATATTGCCTAAACACTGGACTATCAACACCAATAACCATAAAAGTATGTATTTCAGTTGCAAAGTTGGTATTGATCAGCCCACAAAACAAAATATCTCATCCTTCAAATCAAAGAATTATTCAAAAATTCTGTTTATCTAAAACTGAACATTCTGGTTTTCATTATAAATGTTATGGCGCTCATATGTCCTTATGCAGTTGCGAGCGCCGTAAAACCCTCTACTATAAAAATTTTAAAAAGTTAATTACATAACTGTTTCACATAGGACTTCCCTGCAGCATGGAGTTAGTATCAAAACTATTTATTGATATAACAAGGTGGCTAACCTTTTTCTGCAGAGAGCTGCGCCTGGAGTAGCCTGTAGTTAAAGCCTTTCTGGGCTAGAAGAGACACCAGAGCCTGAGTCACGGCAAAAGCAGCTGAGTCTGTGCCACGACCTGCTGCTGCGGGCGAGCGATGGCTGCCATGCTCCTCCGCAGCGCCTGCACTCATGCCCATGGAAGCCATCATCAGCTCCTGAGAAATGAAATAAAATTTCAACATCAAATGACTACTAAGCGTTAACATGAACAGCCAATTGGTGAAAAATAATCGCTTTTTTCTGGCAGTCTTCAGAACATCCCTGAAACCCTATTTCCCAAGAAAAACCTCCCTCCACATTTCAGTCTCCATCTCAGTCCTTAACCCCTTCACTGCCAGACCTAGACCTGCCACTTTATGAAATCTAAAAATCAGGATCTCGAAAAACTTAAGGTATTCCCCATTGTGCTATCCAGCACAGACCTCAGCTCCAATCAAATCTTAAATTTGCATTTTTTTTTTACTTGCACCACCTTTACCTTGAATAAGTACATGCATCACGACAAACACATCAAGCCTAGGTGTCTAAAAATCTCACCCACATCCCACACTGATAAGTCCCAAAAGACACTTCAACCAATGTGACCTGTGTGAATGAATTTTGTTGACCCCAACAACTGACAGCCCCCGGCACATGTGCTACTGACAAAGGCACAAGGTATGTCACATGTTGTGAACGTGTGTTTGAAAGTGTCACCGATTCACCGACTAACTCGGACAAACCTTCCTTTTAAAGCAACAGCAGAACAACGAATAATAATAATATCATAATTGGTACACTTATCAGGCTTTCATCGGAGAATTCTGGGTAACAAAAGCGAAAGTAGAGCTTGAAAGTATCCAAGTCAGAATTCCATATCGATACTGCTTCGATTCTAGTTGAAAAAAAAGTGTGCGAGTCAACTACTAAATCCGACATTGATGTTTTAGTGCTATTTCAGGAGACGTATTTTGTTTTGAGAGTATAGATCTAGACCTTCTAATTTTTTGCATCTATCAAGATTTATTGCTCCATTCCAGTAGAGTGTAAAACAAATATAGTAGGCCAATGACTTTCAGTGGATGTTAATGTGCCGATCATTCCTTTCATTGAAAGGGGGCCCAGCTAGTGTTAGATAAGCCTAAAGACAGGACAGGACCAAGGCACCTGAGTACACAGCTGTATCAATTGCTTCAGGGCAGCAGGGTTCTCCTCTATCAAAGCACCAATGGCAGCTGTCAGATGCTTTAGATGCAAGGAGGACTCATCACTTCTTGAGCTGCAGCCAGACAATTCCATCTTGCCGGAAGCACACAGGGACATGAGTCGCACTATCTGCATGATATCTGCTAGGCCAATCTGCTCCAAAGCAGCAGACAAACTGCACGCTTGACTACTGAAATGCCAAACATTAACTAGGTGAATAACCAGGGGTAACAGAACGCAAGAAAGGATGCAACAAAATAAAAACCTAAAAAATGACCAAACTAAATTGAGCAAAAGTGACTTCAGATTAGTTTTCATTGAAGCCTACTTCACACATGTGTGTATCTCAGAATTACAATCAAACTTTTTCCAAAGCATTAGTATGTATGCCTGTTCTATAGGGTTCAAGATCATCTGAACCAAATTAATTTAGTTTTCAAAGACAGCAATAACTCTCAGCTGTAACAGCGCTAGTTTTCCAGTGATATGCGAGACTGCAAAAGGGACCAAAAATAAAAGCTTTCCTTTAACTCTCATTTAATCATGCTGCACCAACCTCCGAGCCAAAAAAGAGAGCATCCGCATACTGACAGCCCGGGCTACCAACGTCTGAGCGGCACTGACACAGCTGCGGAGAGCCACTACTTTCTCCCCCATCTTGCTGAGGTTGGATGCTTGCTCCCCGAGGCTGCGCGGCTTCACCTCACACTTGACACTCTTTGGCATGGCTCCCTGAGTCACTCCCATCAGGTACATGTTGGAGATGGATACTGACAGGGGAGACAAGGTAATGGTCATTCAGTGCACAGAAAAGGCAAGACAGTCAGACACAATAGACGGAAAATAAACAAATAGGACCTACTTGTTTCCCCCACCCACCCATTTCTGACTGGGATCCCGCAAAAAACATGAAAAAATATGATTATTTTAGTCCTGCCAAATTTGAATAATTCAACTATCTGAAAAGGGAGTGCATACAGACCCGGTAACCAGGAACAAAGTCACAAAGTATACAGACCCGGCAGGGGAACTCTTTTGTGATTTCAGAAAGTTTCAGCGCCCTCCTGGTTCAGGGTAGACCTAGGTTCTTCTTGATCTATAGCCTAGGTCTAGATCTAGACAGACAGATATAAATCATTGATCTAGTTTCGAGGCTAGCCTAGATCTAGATCTAAATGAAGATTCCGCAAGTCTTTTCGATGAACGAGCGTTTCTCCTCCGTTTTGGAGTTGGAGGAATCACAATTTGAAGAAAAGAACAATGTCATAATTTCAATCGAGCAGTCTCTCTCTCTCTCTCTGTATCGCTCGCATTCTCTTTTTCTTTGTTTGTCTTTCTTTCTCCCCACATATTTCCCACTCTGTCTTTCTCTCGTTCCCTCCTGCCAACTGGGGCATGTCATATACATTTTGCAAGCATCTCTCTCTCTCTCTTACACACACACACCCACACTACCAGGTCTGGGCGCTGAAACTTTCTGAAATCACAAAAGAGTTCCCCTACTGAGTCTGTATACTTCGTGACTTTGTTCCCGGTTACCGGGTCTGTATACACTTCGATCTGAAAGTGAATTGAAAAAGCCGGCCAGGCATCAGTGCATCTTGCAGGGGGCCACTTTTCGGCAAGTCCTTATTCAAAAGGGAAACGAACTGGTAGGTTGATACAGGATGATACTTCAAGCCTCTACTGTTTTCTAGGACACCAAACCCTTGAATTTTGGGGCCACCTTCTACTGAAGTAACTTCAAATAATAGGATAAATAGGACACCAATATTTATGACAAAAAATTGCCCAGTAAAGTCATGAGGATGCTACAGGGCAATGAATAAAAAGTAAAAATAGTAAAAATATAGCAGAAATTGTCCAAGACAGCCATCCATTTTCAATGAAAAAATTGGTTGTCTTACACATGTGGACATTTTGGACAGTCTCATTACAATATTTTTAAAATGCAAGAATGGAAGAAGTTGATTGTCTTAGACAAGTGGTTGTTAGAATAAGTTAAACTGTATGTAACAGTGTTATTTGACTAAAAAGCAATGGCAGCATGCACCAAAGGTTTGTACTTATTCACTTGTGCTTTAAGGCGAAAGAGACAAATAACAGTGCATATCCTCTAGAAGTAGACCGACAGAGTAGCTACATTTTAACTCTTTATCTCCGAGGGGGATAAACCCACTACGGCGTGGCCCTTTTTTGGTGCTAAATCTAAAAATGACAGAAACATCATTAAATGGGTCATAAAATCGAAACTAGCAAACCTATTATGATAGTTCTTCATCTAATGAATGAACGTCTGGTATAAAAGACCTGTTTTTGGCAATTGCCGAAAAGTAATTTGACATCGAAGTCGTCGGAAAGGAATGTGCCCGAGCCGCTCCGGTACAGTGGTTCTGATCGCGAGCCGCTGGGAGCGGCTTGCCGGAGAGAGATAAAAGAGTTAAAGAAGTAGGAGGAGCAGTTTATACAAAATCAACTACCATTACCAGCTACTAGTAAAAAATTTATTACCTGTAAATAAAATAAATAAAAAGTCAGTTGTTTAAACTGTATTAAGTATAACTCACGTCACTACGAGTAAGAGGCAAAACAAAATTAACTGAAAAAAAAAAGAATTTAAAAAGATAAAAGGAAAGTCATCAGATAATACATAAACAAACAAGTATGAGCCACTGGTTATGTTTTCAATAACAGAATGAAAAGTTTAGAAGAAGGTTGCATAGAAACTTTATAGCAGTAACAGCTATTAATGTATTTTTATTGCAGTAGAATGTGATCATCAACTTACAGTATGAAGAAACATCTGGGTTGGATCGACTACCCAGACTTGACATAGAAGCTGATGAATAAAAAATGAAAAAAAAGCTGATGCGCACAGGATTCGACATATTAGCTTGTTTTGCCAAAAGTTAATAACCTGTAAATTTAACAAATCTACAAGAAAACTGCATAAAGGGGGGAATTGAATTTTCTTTAAAAGAAAAAAAGGAAAAAGTAACATGTTTTCTCACTGGAGTTTCTTGTCTGACATATTACAAAGATAGATAAAACTCAAAGGAAGCAATACTAATCAAAAGTGTTGTTTACATTTTAAAACCAAATTATCACAACCAATGCACTTATAAACAACTAAAATGATCTCCTTCATTTCATTAAATGAATGCCCTAGTATGCCCCATTGTTGCTCCTCTGCACACTTCCATGTGAAGTGGTGTAAATCTTGAAGGGTTTAAAAGATTAAAACAAATAATTCCCATCTCAACTGTAAGCAACATGTTATTATTTCTCCATTTTATATTGTTATGATTTCTATGAAAAAGTCACAATGACCAAGGCTTGATTTTTACTTCTCTGCAGTAGCTCTGGCTGGATCATGACAAAAATCACATATAGAATTTTAAAACTTAAAAAAAAGTGAAATCAATTCAAAATGATTTATCAGCAATGTTAACGACACCAACCCAGTAACTTTTGTTATTGGTAACACTGAAATAACAATAACTGGTGAAAGATTATTACTTGTTTGCTTAGAGTTACTGACCCCAAATGATCATGAAGTGATCATCCAAACAGTTACCCACTCACCAGGTATAGAAGATGGACTGGGCGTGGCATCACCACTGGTGGTGCTGAAGCCGCGGGAGCCCAGTGGATCTGTTTCAGGGAAGCGCACAGGGTCTGGTGTAGGTTTGTGTTCAGTCAGACCCAGACGAGGCAACAGCTTCTGGTGGTCCATGGACCCCACAGGCTCTTCTTCCAGCAAAATGGGGGTTTCATCTGTTGTGGGTAGCCAAAACACCAGTTCAGAAGTTTGAAATGACTGTATCCCAAGCATTAAGAATCATTTTTTGGACAGTCCAAGAAATCTAAAATAATCAAATTATAAAAGCCAAATTGTCATATTGTGGCACTGAAACCTTGAAAACACACAGCTACCAGCTCTGACACCTTTGATTTTATATCTTCCCCTGAAAAGATAACAACTTCCTCTTCTTAGGAAAATTTCAACTGAAATAATAAAAAACAAATTACACTTAGATCAAAAACATAAATTTATAACAATCTGATAAGAGAAGTCTAATAAAAAGACACCCACAAAAATTGAAGGTCACTTTATATTCTTTTATCCAAAGAAAAAATGGCACCATTTTTAAAAACATGATTACTTTAGTTTTTTCCTTCAATGAAGTTAAAGAAGAGTAGTCAGGTGCAGGCCCATAAAAACGCTTTTCTTCAAATTAATACAGTACAGAAATTGGAAAGAGAAGGAAAAGAATCTTTTAAAAAGAAAAAAGGAAGAGGGGGAGAAGGAGAAAATTAAGACAATATGGAGTGAATTTGAGACATGATATATCAGTGGTGATATGCATTTTTTGAAGATTCAGAACAGAGCCTTCATGAAATTAATTCTAACCGACAAGAAAAAAACAGGATCTCTTTGAGAGCTAATACTGTTTTCCAATGCCCACTCAGCCACTAGCAAATGAAGCAATAGGAGAATACTGCAATGTGTGTTCAGAAGAAACGGGTTTGCAAGCTGAAAGTTTCGATTCTTAAACAGATATGAACAAATATAACATCCAGACACTCACAGACTAATATAATGCATATACAGCCTCTAAGTGTCCCCCAAACAAGTCTTATAGGTCAAGTGTAATTATTTATGGTGATGCCAGAACATGCTTCATAAACTCATAAATGCTAGAGAATAAGCAAACCAAGCAAGTAAAGGTTAGAAACCTAAAATTTTCAGAAAGTTGAATAGAAAAAGGAAGTGAAGGAGTTAATAGGAAGTGAAGGAGTTGAAATGTTTGGTTATTTATAAAAAGGGATAAATGAACCAAAATAGCGACTCAAATTAAGGCAGTGACACTACAGAAAGAAATTTATAGTCAATTTGATTGGCCATTGACATTTGCAGGGTAAACTAAAATAAGTTTGAGAGAAAAAAAAACAGGCCAGGAAAACTTTTTTTGACAACATGTAGAGTAACTAGTTTTTCGCCACTGACTTTGATGTCCGCGTTGATGCCATTGCTGTTATTGGTCATTAGTTAGTTTTTTTTCGGCACTGATCTCCATGCCGTAGGCCACTGAGGTTGTGTCTAGCCGTTCCACTAATGTGGCGAGCTCCTGTTCTTCTCCTGCTAATCCACCGACGTCATCGGCAAAACGCAAGTTTGTGATTGTCCTGCTTCCAATACTGATTGTTCCATTGAGGTAGACTGCGCTGGAGGCCTTGTCATATTGTTGTTGTATGACGTTGATCGGGTTGGCATTGATGTTGTATATCCTCATGGTTGCCCATAAAACTGCATGCCAGACCCTGTCAAAGGCCTTTTTAAAATCCACGAAGATATAATATAGGTTTTGCTGGTGTTGGAGGTACCTCTCGCACAGTATCTTGAGGTTGAAGATCTATTCTATTGTGCTGCGACCTGATCTAAAGCCTGCCTGCTCTTCAGCAATGATCTTCTCTGCCTGTGATTTCAGTCTGTTCAGCACTATCTTCAACATGACCTTACTAGGGTGGCTTATTAGACCGACGGTGCGGTAATTCTGATATAGTTGGAGGTTACATTTCTTGGGGAGTGTAATCACTAGTGATTGTGTTCATGGTGTTTGCCATTTTCCTGTCTGCCAGATCTTGTTGTAGATGACAGTCAGAGCACTTATCATGTCCTTTCCCCTTGCCTGTACTAATTCTCCTGGGATATTATCCACTCCTGCTGATTTCCCCTTCTTCAGTGCTTTAACCGCTGCTTCAACTTCTCGAAGGACTGGGTGGTTATCGATGTTGGTTGCTGAGGGAACGTTTTGTACCTCAGGGTTTCCCGTGGCTTTGTAGTTGTACAATTCTGAGCAGTATTCTGTCCATCTTTTCAAAATGTCTTGTTCCTCAATCAGGCATTTCCCTTGTTTATCTTGAATAGCAGTGGTGCGCCCTTGTTTAGTGCATGTCAGGTCCTTTACTAATTGGTATGCTTTTTTGCTGTTGTTCGTCTTCAGGCTACCTTCAATTCTTTGGCATTGTTCTTCAATCCAATTTTCTTTTGCCCTTTTCATACCTTTTTTGATTTCTTGGCTGACTGCTCTGTACTCTTTGGCACCATCTGGTTGTTTCTTTTTCTACTTTAGTTTTCTCCTTTTGTTACACAGGTCAAGGACGTTTGTTGTGACCCAGGGCTTATTGACCCGTCAGGGTTTTCCCAGGATCTGACTGGCTGTGTCAGTCACTGCTGTATTGAAGGTGTTGATCCACGTGTCCATGTCTGTGTCATTGTCAGCATCAATGACACTGAGTGGAGTAAACTTTCCTCCTATCATGGCTTGGAAGGCTTCTGCTACCTTTGGGTCCTTCAGTTTTTCGGAGTCCTTCAAGAGGAGGCGAAAGGTCATCATTGTAAGGCCGTGGTCGCTGTCAACGTCTGCTCCTGGGAATGTTCGTGTTTTTCCAATTTTGACACTGGACTGGAAGCGATTTTTTCACCATGATGTAGTCAACCTGGTAGTGATGTTCTCCGCTTGGACTGTGCCATGTCCATCTCCGTGATGTAGTCAATCTGTGGACTGTGCCATGTCCATCTCCGTGATGCTTTGTGTAGGCCAAACGTATTTGTCAGCACTAGGTGGTTATAGCTGGCAAATTCCAAGAGCCTTAGACCTCTTTCGTTTGACTCTGAGTTGCAGTATTGTCCACATGTTCCTTTCTAGTTCTCGTATGCATCCTTTCCTACTTTTGCATTCCAGTCCCCTTGTACAACGATGATGTTTTTCTTGGGGGTCTGGTCTATCACTTATTGTATTTGGTCATAGAAGCCCTCCACAGCCTGTTCATCATTGTCTGACGTCGGAGCATATGCCAGGATGATAGTGATGTTGAATGGGACTGACCTAAGGCGGATGGTAATAAGCCGGTTAGAAATAGGGTGGCAGCCCATGATGGTATTCACGACGTCTTCGTGAAAAAAAAATCCAACGCAATTCATATGCTTGTCCTTTTTTCCACTGAAGTACAACTTGTGGCCTTCTCGAGCTACGATCTCCCCACACTTCTTCCACCATACTTCACAAAGTCCAAGTATGGCCTATTGATATCTGTCCATCTCGTACGTGAGCTCTTCTAGTTTCCCTGCTGTTCTCAGTGTCCGTACGTTCCATGTGCTAATGGTTATGTTGTTTCTGGCACACATCTTTTGTGCATCAGTAGCATATACTTTTTCACCTCTGTCCTGGTGCACAACAGCGGATGGTGCGGTCCTTGGTGACCCGGGCGATGGCCGGTCCGGTATAATATCTGAGTTGTTAATCATTTAATGCGGTGTGTCTTGGGCAGAGAAGCTTGGCGGTGCACATCCCTCTCCAAGCTCTTAACCATAGGCCGATGACCCTGAATATGATGTGGGTTGCCCCGATTGCATGCACTTGACCATAGAGTTCAGCTTGGAACCCTTCCGCTCCGACCATTGAGTTTGTCATGGGACCCTTCCGCTCCGACCGTTGAGTTTGTCATGGGACCCTTCCACTCTAGGCCGTTGGCTGCTTGATGCTGCTCATCCGCCCAGTGGTGCAGTGTAAACACCACCCCCTCACATGGTTTAGCCGACCAGCTGAAGCGGTGTAACTGAGGTATGGTGCAGTGGAGCTACATGTGAGATTTAGAGGATGTGCGAGGACCAGTAATGCCCGTCCACCCTACCAAGTAGAGTGCAGCATGCCAAACATCATACTACCTCTCACAGAGCCCCCTATACCCTGCTGCGCTATCAAAACTGAAGTCTATTTGGAAGGACAAAAACTGGTCATCTCAATATATTTTTACGCCGGTGAGTCGTGGACACTGACAGCAGAATTGGAGAAAAGGATTCAGACAACAGAGATGAGATGTTACCACAGACTCCTTGACATCTTATACAAAGACCACATTTCAAATGCTGAGGTACGGAACAGAAACACAAAGCAGTGGGGCAGCAAGAAGAGATGAAAATTAAAGAGGTATGGGCATGTCACAAGATCCACAGGACTTGCCAAAACAATCCTACAAGGAACCGTACAAGGAAAGAGAAAGAGAGGAATGCAGAGAAGGAGATGGGAGGACAACATCACTGAGTGGACAGGGAAGACGATGGGTGACAATCTGAGGAAAGCAGAGGAAAGAGAGAAATGGCGAGAGCTGGTTGTCAGATGCAGTGGTGCCCCCACGGTTGCCCCAACCATGGTATAGAAGCAGAAGAAGAAGAGTAACTAACCATCTTGTTTGCTCTCAGCAGCACCAAGCAGATCTGGAGCAGCCAATCCAGAGGCTGAATGACCTAGAGGGGTTCTCTCAAACGACGCTCCCGTTGAAGAACTTGCGTGTGCTGACAACTGGTCCTGATTGACCTTTCAAGACAAAGAGGAAAGGGGAAAAAAATTAAACAGTCACAAAAAGGTTGAGAAAACATTCTATGGAGATATTTTTCAACTCATTTTCAGCATCTGCAATTTTCATTGCCCGACTCGCTTTTAAAATCTGTAAAGTCATTTAGAATTGCATGCAAAACTGTTCAAGACGCATTTTACACACTGCATCTGCAATTTTCACAGAACAACCTGCTTTTAAAATATCCTGTTTAAGTTAATTAGAATAGCAAGCAATACCGTTTGTGAAGTAAAGTACACACAGTCAATCGAAACGTTTTCAAGTGAGCCTGATCAGTAGCTAGCCTTGAAGCAGAAGATAATGGCAGCCAATTCTCTACCTAAATGGGGTCAGCCCAGGGGAGTGACATCCCCAGAATGCACCCCAACCACCCCCCTCCCCCCCTTCTCCTTCCTCCTCCTCATGTTCTTTCTGTGAAGTTTGAGAACTTACTTGGCCTCTCAGTATGGCATCTCTATAAATTGTTGGTCTTTGTGGTACTGGATATCTTAATTATTTTAATTCATGACATGAACAAAACACAAATTAAAGCGGCATCCTTAGTCACATAGCAGAACAAAAGCATTATGAAATGGCTGGCTTGCTCTTAAGAGGTATTCAAATACAAATAAAAATCCCTAAACAGTGCTTCCACCAGCTGAAGCTGAAAAGTAAGGAAAATACTGCAGGGGTCTGGGGCGAAGCCCCCGATTTAGAGGGTTGAAAATGGTATTTGGGAGACTGATTGAAGAGATTGCCGACAACCCATAACATTTATTTTTTCACCAACATTTTGTCTTGTTTGATTTCTTCACCTACATATCTTTCCATTGCTGGTGAAAACAAGCAGGTTCCCCTTTCATGGCTATTATAATTCAATTAATTTGTCGTCACACCAATGATAGAAGGCAAATCTGGGAATAATGAACAGATATGTACCTCACAATACAGTTGCCAAACGTATACCCTAATTTTTCCTCAATTTTCATGTCTGAATGTCGCCTGTCACAACCTCGGAACCACTTTGAATTATTCTTGATTTTAGTAGTCTTAGCATATACTTCTTTCATCGCAGCCCTTATCGCGTTCCCGTGCGGTAGAATCTTCGCATTGATAATTTCCCTACATCTAGACAAATTTTCAAAAAAGTTTCTTTCTGACAGTAATTTTCTGTCTAGGATCACAAGTCAATTTACTTGATCGACACGCAGATTTTCCAGCCACAGCAACAATCCGAAGGTAGACAGAAGGAAAGAGAGAAAGATAGAAAGGACGAAATTGGCACAAAAAGTTTGCCAGATTTTGATCCACCTGTGTGCAGGTAAAAAATGTACTGCCGACCAACCCGCAATGAGTGCATGGGGCATAGCGGAATACTGGTCGATTGCAGAAAATGCGCAATCAGGCAGGTTTCTATAACTTAAACTTGTTGCCGAGAGAATTACTGTAAATATCCGTAACTTATACAAGACGATACGAAGGCGAGTACGGATCTTTTGCTACGGAATTTCGGCAGCCCTACGATGTCGCAGTTTTTTACAGAGTTGATAATGATGGAGGAACAAGTACGGAACTGGCAGAAAGTACGGATAACGTAAAAATACGGAAGAGTGGAAGCATTGCTAAAGTAAAATATAAGTTAGTCAAAAGGCAGCACCCACCTGGAGGTACTTCTCTCTACAGCCCTGGCACATCAAGTAAAACGGGTTGCCGGTGCCACAGGTACCATCAAACCAACCACTGTCATAGTAGCCCAAGCTGCGATAACCGTAGCCACGACTGCTGGCTGGAAAAAAAAATTAACACATTTATTAGGATAAGATTAAGATAATAAATAATTTATTGTCCAAGAAGGAAATTTTTCTTGGCTGTACAGAACCGTAAAAACAAAAGCAGGTATATATAGAAATTAAACTATATATTACTCTCATCAATATTCATTATGAAAAGAAAAGCAAAGCTGACAATAGTATATTATAATATACTCTTTCCGGCAAGTAAACCATTGATTGCTTGTACAATGGGTTTCACCATCTTGGCTTCATTCCTTTAAATCGCTATATGGCTGACAATTTCAGTATCTTTAAGCTATCCTCAGTAAGTTACATTATATCAATATGATAAACACTTCCAGTGACAACCTATAACAACAAAAAAGACTGAAAACTGGAAAGTAAAACTCACCCCCACAACCTGGGTGAGCAGTTTTCATATGCAGGTTGAAGTTTCGCACCTCCAGGCTGCAAATCTCACACTTCACTGATGTGCTCTGCTCTAGTCGCCGACGCTGCGGGGCACCACCAAAAAACAAAAGCAATCAGGACCTTTTGGAGCAATGATCATGTCCAAGAAATCTCTAAACCTAAAAGTCCTTCACCAGGAATTTTTCAGAGAAAACAAAAAGATCGATTTCAGCTCCCCTCTGATACTTTTCATTTAATTGTTTAGATCCCAAAATATAAAAAAACCGTGGTCAAAGCTTCGTGACCTGCAAGTACACTATAGGGAATTATTTCTTTCTAAAGCGGAATAGGCACATGAACAAGTATGAAATATTCCAGACTTCATTGAGACTGTACAAAGAATTTTAAAAATTGAAGAGATCAAAATGAAACATGAGTGGAAAGACTATTTATGTTTCGATTTGTGAAGGTCTATATCTGCCAATTTATTTGTGGGTATACTCTGAAAGAATGAAGACCATGGATTGAAATCAGTGAAAGCATGCTATCTTAATTGTCTACAAGGGTTGGAAATTGAATAAACTTCAATAAAGACTTCTTTTATCTATCTTCATTCCATCCAATTGGGTACAGTCTCTGTGCATCAAATGTTTTTGATGTTGTTCATTACAGAACTAACAGACCCCCCCAGGAGTAAATCAACCATCATAAAATCAGACTGAACCCCCCCCCCCCCCCCCCCCTCCTCCTCCATCCACTTGAACGGACCATAAAAAATATGAGGTAACAATAAACAACATTCTCACAGAAGGTACAGAACTAGACACCGGAAAGAAAGGAGGAAGAAGGGGGTCAGTGAGGGCTTACAATTGCAGTCATAACCTTAGCAGCATCCCGAGCTGGGTCACTGGTAAGGTTTTCATCAAAGTCTAGGCCATCCTCTGAGTAGAAGTCCTCTTGCAGGTCAAAGTTGTCATAGAGCTCAAACATTGGCCGGGCCTCACCCACTTCTTGCCTACGCTCTGGCCGATTTCCACGTCTGTCTCTAGCTGCTGCACACAAAAACACTAAGTCAGTTGCCTAGGACCAAAACTGGGGCTTAAAAAAAAAAAAGAAGTAAAATAAAGGTCCAGTTGCACAAAGAGAACCTTATTCACTGTGCTGCAAAGAATGCAGTTCTTATTAACTGATAAATAGTTGAAGATTTAGATTAATATTCAACAAACATGATTCACGGAAAAAAAGAATATTCTTTGGTCAATAACAAACTGACAAAATCAACAACATGGTAAAAAAGTAATAAATGTTTTAAAAATTGAGAATGGAAACATTATTCTCTACACCATGGTTATAGGATCAGATCCAAATGAACCAGGACACATTTAGAACAAGGAATAAAGCTTTGAGTCTGATGAGTAGTACAAACCTTTCTTGGATAATAGGTAGATTTCATTTTAAAACGACGCAAAAAATTCATAATTTCAGCACTGCCTAAAATATAGTCTTTCTCTGTAAATGATATTGCTTACCAGCAGTGAGAAAACTGCGGATGTCTACATGTCTCCCTCGAGTCAACCGTCTGGGCCGTCTAGACAGACTGGGTCTCGGAAGCTCGTCAAACTCCTCTATTTCTTCATCAGAGTCCTCGCTGAGCATCAGGCCGTCTAAACGCAAAGACAGAGCCTCGATTGCCATCTCTCTGCAGACACAATATAAATAAAGAGCAAAAGCTACCATCAAAAAGGGAGAGGAAACACACAAACACAGAAAAGAAATTTTCAAGCTCTTGTCCCAACTTTATCTTGAGGGAGCCAGATGTCAGCAAATAGAAATTGATGGTGAAAATGAGCAACAATCACAGTACCTAAATGTCATAGATATTATGTCATCTTATTTAGATATGGTGAAAGTCTGAGAGAAGGCACTTAAAAACATAATTTGTTTACACTGTTGGTGAAGATTAATATTCTTTGGCTCTTTAACCCTTCAAGTATCACTAACAAATAGCCTAATGTTTCAGGGGAAATTATATGATTTCATATTACATTGGAAAATGCTTGAAAACAGGCAAACTAAGCATGTTAAGTTCATAAAATTTTAGTCAATAAAAAAATTGGGATAAATGAAATGAGATAGTGACTCAAATTGCGGCTGATTAAATTAGCTGCGATACCACAGAACAGGGGGGTGTTAATAATTAAAAAAACAGGCTGACAACTCTCTCTTTTGAGATACCAGAAGAGAAACATAACTTATAAGTGCAGGTTACAGATGCATTTTTCAGTTGCTATAAACTCATTTTGGTCAGTGGAAAGATGCATTCATCCATAATGTCCTACCTGTCAGATGCAAGAGAATCAACTCCAGCAGAGTCAGCAAACAAGTTGAAAGGGGCTATGGCGTCCAGTATTCCCCCATCAGGATCATTCCTAAGGTAAGGTGGATCTGTCTCGTGCTCCAACTCCATCGGATGCTCCAACATCCAGGTGGCCAGCACATTGGTGGACCGTGCGGATACCTCGAGACCAGCCACGCCTGGGGAGGGGCAAAACACACACACTCTGACCAAGTTTGAGAGATAGATGATACTACTAAAACATCAATAGTAAAAATCTGATCACTATAAAATATTTGGAAAAAAAAGTGCGTAAAAGGAAAGTGAATTTTGTACTATACATCAAACTATATCACTTCTTTGACAGAATTGGCTGTCCGTCACAAGAAAACAAGAACCCAACAAGAAACTTTGACATTTATATATTATTATACTGTTGATTTTTTTTACAAACTTTGATATCTGTATCTGCATCTCCTGCTAGCAAGATTTTGTGGGTCAAATTAGACACCTGGTGGTCACTTGTCCATTGGTAGTTGTTACTTTTACACAGTTGGGGTTTTTTCGGGGTGAAAGCTGCACATTAAGACAAGAAAACTCTTAATGACTCACACACTTCAAATTTCAGAAACACTTTCCTGTAACTCCAAGATATATGATTGTACAAAACAAAAAAATTAATTCTCCTGTTTTTCTCAATCACACTATCATAAATTTGAGCCTACTTACATGCCGTATAAAGCCACAAGTTTGAAGATATAAACCATTAATTACTCACCCGTTGCAGAGAGAGCTTGCTTGATGTGCCGAAGCCCAAAACCCATCTCCAGCAGTGGTGTGACTATAGGGGGAGGGGGTGGGGAAGGAGACCTTGATCTGATTGGGTTAGGTGGTTGAGGTCTGCGTGGAGGGATGGGTGTGGAGGTGCAGATTACTGGAGCTCCACTAGGCTTCAGTGCATTAAACATGCGCCTCGTGAACCCTCGCATGTCTTCAGCACTGAAACAGATGGAAAATTTTCACTCACAACTGAAGAATAATACTGATACATGTCAGACAGTTTTATAGACTCTGTCATGTATGCAATAAACAAGTCCTTGAACCTGCACTATTGCCCACAGTTAATAGAAAGGTTGTTGGCCTACAATCATACTGTGTCTGCTCTAGTGTTCTCCCCCCCCCCCCCACCCCCTATCTTTCTCTCTCTCTCTGTCTCTCTCTTTGTCTCTCTCTCTCTGTCTCTCTCTCTTCTGAATGAAGCCACAATTAGTAACATTACTGAAAAGACCATTACAATACCACTTTGACTTCTCCCCCCCCACCCCCTATCTTTCTCTCTCATACCAATGCCACTTTGGAAAACAAAATTTGCAGTTATTAATAAAAATCTACCTTTACTAACACAATTTTTTCCCCGCTGGGTATGAATAGTTTTCCGAATGTGCATATTTTAAAGACACAATGTATTTCAAAAATTTTACACCTGAAAATCTATTCGCTATGTGCACATAAGAGTGTACACTTCCTTTTAGAAGACATAAAAATAAATGTAATAATAAATAACCCATGTATTTTTTTGTCATCTCGAAATAAATTTTTTTTTAACGAAACTGAAAATACAACACAATGCATTACAAAAACATCAGTCGCAAGCTAATTTTAAAAAAGTGAAAATGCACACCTTGAGCTTGTGCGCATGTACTGTAGAATAGAAGTTTGGTGGGTGGCCCCACTAACAGACGATACTGAATCACTGGAGTCATTGGACCGCAGCATGCCCAGACCACTGAGAGGATGAGAGTCTGGTATCTGTAACTTCTTGGGCCTACCCATGGCACCTTCAGCCGATCGGTTGTCTGGACCTCTCTTGTTGCTGGCAGCATGTTTGGACACTCGGTCTGAGGACAGAGTTCCTCAAAGATAAAATTTTTGGCTTATTCAAAGATGCAAACTCAATTGCAATGAAGCAACAGCAGCAATGACTGAATCAAATTAAGATAGTTATCTGGGCAAAAACTGAAAATCACATTACATTTTAAAGTAAAGCGAAGCAGAATTTGTTTTCAATAGGTTTGAGGTAAAAACAATAGGTGGCAGATGAAAACCATACTGATAATATTGAATTGAGTAAGTTACAAAACTATGATACTGTCCATATAAAATCTATGTCTGGCTGAGGCTGCTATGCCAAATAAGGTCTACTGAAAAACAGATACGCAAAATACCAACCAGAGAAAAAGATCTTTACTTTTCAAAAAGATACTGAAATCATATCACATAACCACAATCATTCTTACCTTCCAAAAGAGCGATTCCAAGTTTCTCCTCAGCAAGGGCATGGATGATAGAATTGTGCAGTACGTTGAAGGCCCGCTCCAACTCAGCAAGGGGTACAGCACGACGGAAAGGAGACGGGAAAGTGGAACGAGCCACAAACAGCCTCATCATTTGTCTCAGGGCTGACTTCATGGCGTCATCTTTGTGGAAGGTCAAGTTCTCAAACAACTGCTTGTCTGCAGAGGAGTCGCGAGGGCTGGACCTAGGCACTAAAAGAAGCTCTGCAAATTTCTCACAAGACGCAAGTGACGAAAGTGCTTTCACAGCTGAAAACTGGAGCGCTGCCAGGCGAAGAGTGTGGATCTCTCTCTCCCTGTTGAATTCCTCCAATGTAGGAGCAGGTGTTTCAAAAATGGGAAGATTGATAGGGTGGCCATGAGCAGGCAGCCTGTGATGATGCTCATTATCTGCAGACACTGACTCTGGTTTTGCTTCAGAAGTATCTGGAAGAGCTGACATGTTCAGTAGCTCTGACGAAAAGTCCATGCCACTAGTCCCAGGAGCACTTGCCTCATCTTGCTCCAAGCGGTCATTTGGTAAAGTTTCCGGTTTGGACGTAGAAGGCCCTGAGAGCAAAGGTTGGCTCCCTAACTGAGCCAGTTTATCCAGTTCAGAGTTGACATTCATCTCTGAGCTGCTGATGGAAGTGCCTAGACGAGCAGCCAGCAATGGAGTCTCTGTCTCCAGAACACTGTCTGCTGAATCCACGCTCATGGCTCGCATCTCTCGACGCATTCCCCCAGCCCTGCTTATGGCGGCTGGAGCCTCAGAAGCCATGGCTGAGTGTCGCAAGCTTGGCCTGCTCACCTCATCCACCGTGGTTTTCTTGTCTGCATTGTGGTTCAAAGTGTAATAGTCTTCCTCCACCATCGCCGCAATGATATCTCTGTCAAGTTCCATCATCAGTTGGTCAGACTTTTCTTTCATCCGAGCTGCTGATGACAAAATTGACATAGATCTCCTGAATATTTTTGCTTCTTAGACAATATGATTTCTTTCAACCAGTTTTAAATATACATGACATTAAGATCTCTAAGATATTTATAATGCCGGTCATGCTAAGACTGAAGAGACAAACAACATTAACAAACTGACTACAGTCCTAAAAAAAAGGCTTAGACAAGCTCCTCTATTTGAAAACCACATACTTCTTATTCAAGCATAATCAATCAGACCAGCCAAAGAAAACATGGTCATACATAGTACTTAAGCTTTTAAAAGCTACAGCTATAACATTTACCAGCTGCCTCTTCTGACTCCTGGGAGTGCTGAGGTTTCTCCACATCCTGACTGCGAACGGTAGAGGAGCTGCTGTCTGAGCGACCCCGATAATCCTTGAGAAATGCCAGTCGCACCAGGGCATCTAAATGATGGGCCTTGAAACTAGCCACCGTGGTCACATCAAAACTCGGAGCCTCTAGTGGTTCCAAGTTGGAAAGGATAGTGTCACTGTTTCAAAAACAACAGAGAACATTACAAAACTAGAATAGAAACTCTATTCTAAAAGGAATGATCTCAAAACTTACAACTGAGTAATGGTTCAAAACCAAAAAGCAAGAGCAGCATTCATCATCCTCAGGAATATATGGATGTCTAAGGAACTGGAATTGAACACCAAGCTAAGGATCTTCAAAACAAACATGAAGACTGTTCTACAGTACGGTTCAGAGACATGGAGGCTCACAGAATCAGCAGCAAGGAAACCGCAGAGCTTCATAAATGGATGCTTAAGAAGGATAGTGGGGATCAAGTGGTACGATCGAGTCACAAATGCTCAACTGTGGGAAAGAACAAGCCAAATAATAATAATAATAATAAATAGCATTTATACTGCGCATTTCCATTTCCTAAAAGATGCTCAATGCGCATTACAATGAAAAAGACATCATATCTTAAAAATTAATCGACACAAAGGTGTACGTAAAACAAAGTATTATACATATAATATAAATGCATATGTGTAAAATTTTATACCAGAAAAACAGTCTCGCAGTGAGGTTGAAAATGTGTTCACTAAAAACATACAATGCAATAAAAATTCACGAACAGTCAAAATAAAGTTGAAACGTGAGTAACTAGAAACATTCATTAAAACATTAATTCTATACAGATAGAAAAACATTTCCGTTCTCTCTCTCACTCTCTCTCTCTCTGTGTCTCTCTCTCTCTACCTCTCTCTCTTTCTCTCTCCCTCTCTCGCTATCTCTCTCTCTCTTTTCTCTCTCTATCTCTCTCTTTTTCTCTCTCTCATTCTCACTCACTATTTCTTCAGTCTCACAGTCTGGCACACACATACATATATATCACAGTACATCATTATGACAGGTATGCTTTTGTGAATAATAAATGCTTCAGCTGATTTTTGAAAATGGAAATTGTTGGGGCAGATCTTATTTTATATGGGAGTTTGTTCCATACCTGGGGACCAAAGAACAAAAAGGAACGCTCGCCGTATGTTTTGTAAATTTTTTTTTGAGTTTTAAGAATTAGATTGTCAGAGTCAGAGGCTGATCTAAGGACTCTAGGTGGATTATATAATTCCAGGAAAGTTTTAAGATAAAAAGGTGCACTATCATTTATACATTTAAAACAGAGAACGGCAGTTTTGTATTTAATCCTTTCTTTTATTGGCAGCCAGTGTAGTTCTTTCAGAATTGGTGTTACGTGGGCTGATTTCTTTTGTTTCATTATCAATTTTGCTGCTTGATGTTGGAGTACTTGTAACTTTGATAGTTTTTGGGATGTCAAACCGGACAAAATAACATTACAGTAATCTAACTTTGATAAAATGAGTGTTGTTACAAGTGTCTTGGCTGCTGCTTTAGGTAAATAATTTCTTACACTGCCTATTTTCTTAAGCTGAAAGTAAATACTTTTGCTGAGCTGGCTTATTTGGGAGGACATAGACATATCATAATCCAACTGAACCCCTAGATTTTTAAGACTTCTTTTTGAACGAATGGTATGGTTATTAATATCAATTTGTAGCTCTGGGAGATTTTTAATGGCTTTTGTATTTCCACTCAACATTATTTCCGTCTTGTCATCATTTAGTTTCAATTTATTGCTGGTCATCCATATTCTTAAATCTCTAGTACATTGTAATCATTGTTCAGTAGAGTCAACTAAAAGTGGTATTTGATCGAAATCAAATGCCAGGAAAGGAAGACATACAGGGGAAGGAATGGAATTGGACTGGACACACCTTGAGGAGACCCCCCCGACAAGCATCATCACAGAGGCTTTGACGTGGAATCCACAAGGAAAACGTAAGAAAGGAAGACCAAAGATGACTTGGAGGCGAGCGGTACAAGCGGGAATGGAAAAGGCGGGGACATCATGGAAACGAGCTAGAAAAAGATGCACAGGACAGACATCACTAGAGAAATGTTGCTGATGGCCTATGCTCCACTGGGAGTTAAAAAGGGCAAGAGAGAGTGGTTCAGAAAGACTAGAATCTTTTTTTTTTTTTTAAAGTAGAGGGTTTTACGGCACTCGCAACTGCATAAGGTCATATGAACGCCAACGGGTGGGTGTCAACAGAGAAGTCTTCACAGGGAATCAAACTTACTCTGTTCACCTCTCTAGTTTCAACAGCACAAGGTCTACTTCGACTATAAAGGCACCCCGGAAAAAGCAGGTTGCAAGAGTGTGACAAACATACAAAAGAAGTAGAGGAAAATGATAATAGTAAGGATTAGGAAAGAAAAAGCCGCAGTTCCCTGTTGTAGATCAGGCAGTTATGAGCGTGTCATGATGAATCAGCCCATTAACAATTATACTGTGCTTGAACAAGGAATGTCCCCCCTTTGAGAATGGCCTAAAGACACTACAGTCAGTGGTACTGCCCCAGTAGAATCATATTACCACTGTAACATTATGCTTTGTTTCAGTACTTAGCGTATTATAATAATGAAGCCAAAAATGAATTCAATAAGAAGTCATGGAGATACAGGACACATGTAAATCTCACCTGACTGTGCTGTCCCCTTCCTCCCACTGCACTTTGGCAGTAATAGCTGCCTCTCGTGGCAGGCCCAGGATAATTCCCTTTTTTCCTGAGATCTTGTGTACACAACGGCCTCCTATCCTCAGCCCATGGTCAACACCACCCATGACAGCCAGACATGGCCAGATCTAAGGGAAAAAATGTTATCAGTGTACCATAGAAAAATTAATACTCACTGTCTCAGTCAAATGTTGTAATAACAAGGCTAAGGTGAATGCAGCGACTCTTTGTGTTTTGAGAAAGGAGGGGCCATGTAATCTTTGCAATCCAATACACAATGTTCTTGTTTCTAATACTGTCATCATCTTCATCAGGCTTTCTCACCCCCTACTAGATTATACGCCACCAACAAAAACTAAAAAAACTCTCCATTTACTTCTTCCATCTCCTTTAGGTCCGCATCAAAGTCCTTCCTCCAAGACGTTTAAGGCCTACTGTTCTTTCTCTTCTTATGCTGGCCATGCTTTCTAACATCCATCAATCAAACATCAAAAGCATCTTTTAGAAGAAACATAAGAAGTCACAACAAGAGATGTTTAAGAAAAGTACTGAGACTAAAGTCTAACACTGTTAAAAATAAAAAATCAGAAAACAGACACTGGTCTCATTATAATACCTGTTGGCAGATGAGCTCCAGCTTGCTTGTATCCACTGAACAGGCAAAGTATCCACTATCTTTGCTGCTTTTCTTCTCATGTTTGCTTTTCTTAGTAGATTCCTTTTTCTTATCCTCAGAGGCTAAAGGTTTGGAAAAAACACAAGACAAGAAACTAAAATATCACATTTGCCCTACACTAAAATATCACATTAGTCATCTACTCTTCATAAAAATAAACTAGAAAAAAACAAAACAACTTGGTCCACACCTTAGACAATATTGAACACTGTACATCTACATGCCTATCAGATTACAATTACAAATAGTGGAAAGGCAAATAGAATTCTCCGACTTGATTAATGACAACGAAATGTATCAACAATGTCACTGACTTGTATCAACTTCTGACCAAACATAACTTTTTTTTACAATTTGCCTACACATTTGAGAATAAGGACTCATGAACCCATTTGTCTCCCAAGAGGTGAAGATTTAAAAATCCCACACAGCTGAAATGCAAATATGCAGGACAAACTATAAATGAAAGAAAACTTCAGCCAAAGGTAGCACTCACACATGTTAGAAGTAAAACAAAAATCTACAACAAACTGAATACAATTATTCTAGAGAAAAAAACAACCTACATACCTCTCTTGCCATCTTTATGACCCACTTCAGGCTCATTCTGTTCCTCTTGTTTGTTCACATCCCTACTACTGGATCCTTCCAGATCCTCTTCCCTTTCAACTTTGCCCTCGCCACTCTTTGCCTCGGAGCTTCCACTACATTGCTGCTGTTGCTGTTGTCTCTGCTGTTGCTCCTGTTGCATTTCGTCGAGCCAAGTGTGTAAGGCATTGAGGGCTGAGCACATGTGTTCACTAATGGTGGAGGCCCAAGCAGGTGTGGCCTGCAGGCTGCGCACCAAACCCACACTAGCTTCTGCCATGACAGCGACAGCCGGAGCACACACAGGGGAGCCAGCCAGCAACTCCCGGGGGCTCTCACGCAAGTGCATGTCTGTCAGTTTGACCTAAAACACGAGTTACAAGTGAAACGGGAAAGGAATTACATAACTATTGAATAAAGAACTAATATGACATCTCTGACTGGTGACAAATCTACACATGCAAAATAGTTTAAGCAGGAAACTAAAAAAAAATAAATAAAGTATTAAAATGGGAAATTAGAAGTCTAATCAGTAGTCTAGAAATACATGCTGGGACCGTGAGAAAATAAGTGATTACTATTAGTGAGTAGTCAGTTCTGACCAGTCAGAGTTGAACACACTACTAGGCACAGGGAAAGTAATTCATAGGAAATGTTCCATCACTCCGCCTTGCCAACGAACTATGTTGAAAAAATGATACGGAAAAGTAGGAGAAACAAACAGATCGTACTAAAGCTCAAATCTTGACATTCTGCACATCAGTCAAGTTGTGATTCCTACAACAAACTCTATTGTCTGAATCACATTATATCCAAATCACATACTCGTCTAAAACAATGTCAGTGTAATCCTGCTAACATTGAGAACACATAAAAGACAGTGACCCGTTATAATACACAAACAGAAACATTTCTGTGAAAAAAAAGCATAATATTCTAGTAAACTAAAAAAACCCCCAAATATCACAACTGTCATTTCCGCTGTGTTCTGATCAACTTGGTGCATGAGAGACGAGGAATTATGACTGAAGTAATTTCGACACTAAATCACAACTCACCCTCAAAAAAAAAAAAAAATAGCATACCCCCGCCCCTTATTTTCTTTAAAAATGAACATTTACTTTTTCTCTTGTTTGAATAATTTCACTGACTGAATCATAGTTATGCTCCTCTGAACACAGATATCTGCACTAGCTTGTAACGGCAGTAAGTATCACAATGTGATGAAGGAGAGAAAATGATGAACACTGCACTCCTCTGTAATCATGGCTCACCTTTTCTCCAGGGCTGCTGCTATAGAAGGTCACACAGGGATATAGCTCAGACGCATCAACATCTTCAAAGGCAAGTCTTGGCTCCTATAAATTAAAAAATCATCAGAACGACTTCAGTCACTGTCAGAACCATATGAATGACAGTATCAATGCCATATTTAACAATTTATGTAAGCAGCTTCAAGCAGATAGAACACAGAATCAGGGCATGTAAATTGATGTCACAGAAAGAACAGTCATAAAAGTAAAAATAAATAGCAAATCTAATACAGACAAAATGTAAAAAGGAACCCTTTTTGCAGGCAATGTTTTAAAAAAGGCAGTCAGATCTCATATATTTATAATACAAAAAAATATAAGAATTAGTTCAATGCCAGCTACAGGACCCACATATAAAAACTTATGTCAGAACTTGCTAGGGGGGTCATTCATTCAAATCAGATGTGCTCACTTCTGCATTCTTGGCAAAGGCGAGAGTGCGAGCATCCATGTCCAGTATAACAGTGATGTAGTCACCCTGGGTGAAGCTGGACAGGGCAGAGCTGGTCTCACCATTGTGATACAGATTCCCACTGTAGGCGCGGTACAACCACATGTCCCCTGTGGTGCGGTGGCCGCAGTCCCGAACAGGGAATTTAGAAACTCCGACACATGTGCCTTCATTCCCTCTGTTCTCACGTACAATCAGGAACTATGCACCCAAAAAAGGAAAAAAAATATGCTTATTCGCTGAGGACATTAACCAACCAATTACAAAATAAAGCATTTGATCAAAACCGAAAAACCAAAGTAACATGTGGCATAAAATGTTCAACATTGTGATCATGCGTGTAACAGTAATTACAGAACTAATTTCTCAAATTCATGTACAAACCAATAAGACAGGTCTATAGTTCTGATGAATTTTTCTCTTTGATTTAAAAATTGCCTAACCTTAAAATTAAAAAAGTGAGACTCACCCCTCCATATCCAAAGAGACTATGAGTGCCATCCAGTGATATTTTTAGAGCTTCCAGGATCATAAACACTAATAAGAGGAAACATCATGAACATCACTAGAAGAACATTAATGAACAAAACCCACTCTTAATCTGCTACATTTCTTATTTCTGAAATTCCACAGTCATGACATCCCTTCTGAGGAAAACTTACATTGTGTGTACATGTTATTGCTGTCACAAGAAAAATGAGTAACTCATTTATTTTATTGCTCACCCTGTATAGCTAAGTCAAACAAGAGTCACTCATCTTTTATGTGACAGCAATGACGTATATATTATATATATCATATTATATGTGAATGTGCATATCTTTCAGTATATGAGCGAAAGCCTTTGTGTAAATGCGAGTGAGGTGAGTACAAGTTTTTGCGTATATGTATGTGAGCCCATGTGTTGGTGTGTTTTACCTTCCACTGGTAGCAACCCGAGGTCATGACAGTGCTGCCCAGCCCATAGCCTCTCCCCCCTGAGCCATGCACCAAAGTGTGACCAGCTTCCACAGAACAAGCCACACAGCGGTCCACGTCGAACACGGCACTCTGGATGACCACACTCTCTGGAGATGGTAGACCACAGGTTGGTAGGCCTGGCTCTGACGATGAGGGAGAGGAAGCTGGGACTGAAGAGCTCCCTTTGGGGTGGGCATCTGCCCCGTGCCTTCCTCCTCCGACTGCCTTCCCTCTGAAGGGATCCATCTGGGTGAATAACAGGGTCCGACAACGTTCTGCCGAGGTAACTGCTTGAGAAATAGGTATGCTCCACATCATGTTGGCCATGCTGGAGAACAGCAGATCCACCACCTGAAGGATGCCACATTATTAGAATTGCTTAACGACTTTTTAGTAGGTTTTAAAACAGCTTTACACTTCGTTTGCCATCACAAACAATGGCAAGGAACATTGCACAATAGTAAATGAGAATTATTGGCAGAAAATGTACAATACCTGAAACCCCCCCCCAAAATTATAAGTTACTAACGTGTGCGCTTGAATAGAACAGTACAGAAGTTAAGGGGGGGGGGGGGGGGGAAGCGGGGCGCTACACCTGAAGGCTATCTCGCTTATTACAGGACCAAATTTTACCAAATTTCACATATATAACAAGCATAGTAAGGAGTCTTAAAATCCGCAATCAAATTTGAGAAAAAAGTTTTGTTTCCATGGATACGGCGCCATATTGGATTTTGTTAGCATGTTTTGCGTAATGAATACCGAACTTATTGCTCATGGAAATGATTGTTTTTTTGCATGCGTGTTAACAAACAATAGATCTAAAAATTTGTCAGTTGTTTTTTTCCTAAGTGAATCAGAAAATTTTTAAGGATTTTTTTTTCCTGAGGTAGCATTCAAGTTTGCAAAAAATCTGTAAAAATCCACACTCCAGACACCACCAACAAAAATCTATTCCATATATAAAAAATTCAACACACACATTTTTAGTAATACATCTTCTCTTCATTCTGTGAAAATTTCATGTCGCGTTTTGCGAAAACGGCCGATAAAGAAAAAATATTGACTTTATGAGATAATGGTGGTGACGAACATGCCCGGTATGGGAAAAAATGCGGAATAGGGGGGTTCTTATGCGATGAAATAGTTGTAGGAGAGGCTGAGGAAGCTAAAAATGCTTACAATTCAAATTCCATAATTTTGAGCCAAATTGGGACTTTGGGGGTGTAGCCCCCCCCCCCTCAACTGATTCCATCCAGGATTTTTTCAGGCTCTAGACAGAATTATTTTTCCTTGTTCCGTTTTAGACCTGGGGTGCATCTATTTTATGTAATAGGTATTGTTATATACAAAAGTGATGGGAATCAATAGAGGAATCTGTTTATATCAATAACAATGACCTATAATCTGTTTATGTTGTATTTTCCGTCAGACAAAAATGAATGAGGAAAAAAAAACTGCGCAACACTTCTTCGAAAATTTCGACGAACCGCATTTTCTCAGCTTTAAAAGTCCTTATAATCCACAGGAATCAACACAAAATAGTAGCGATATCACCCTAGCATACGTTTATGCAAGAATTTCACAAATTTAGTTGAATATCTTTCTTTGAAGGGCCCTTTTCTTATACCAGGCTCCGTGTTATTTACTCTTAGATCTAGCCTACATAGCGACAACAAAACAACAATTTTTGCAGGAATTTCGCGGAGTTTCGATCGATATTGGCGCTCAGAGATTGAGGTCAGGTTTGTTTACAAGTCCTACTTCCTTTCGACAACTTAAAAAGTAGGAACTATCTTTAAAAGTGCACATTTGTTTCGGAATTCCCTCGGATTTCGTTGAGCGGTCGAATGGATGCTGTGGAAAAACTCAGAGCCGCCGTCAGCGGCCGAATGGACGGAATCAGTTAAAGACTTATATACCATGAACAATCATAAACAGCTCAAATTAAGTTTGACAACGCTTTTACAAAATAACCGATGCTTCCAATAAGACCACACTGCTATCAACCCATAAAAGGCCTCTTTAATCTTACATCGACTCACTTCAGTTTTACAGAGCTTACTTTTGTCTTGTACTCTTTTTCCTCCTGTAAATCTAGTGCAGGCATCACAGTAGCCAGGAGCTGAAGGGCTAATATTTGCACCCTCAAACTGTCAAAACATGAGTGGCCTGTAGAATGAAAAAATGTTGTACTTAACACAAACCAGATAAACTAGATTTTTTTTTTTTAACTTACAGAAGGGCAGATGTTGAAAGCAGTCATAAAATCAAAACTTTATGTATACAGAATAGTCGAGCTTAGTAGCTTTCCGTAAAATAACCAAAAACCACCAATTTCAAAACATTTCGTTGTGTTGATAAAAATACCACACATCTTAACGAAAGCATCAAGCAATAATAAACATCAAAGCACGAATGAAGAAAATAAAAGAGCACAAAAGCTCTCCAGTTTTAAAGATAAAAAAGTTCTACAAGTCTGTCCGCTCTGGTCATAATCACACGTAAGATGCAATGTGCTATTGGGCGCTACGAGGCTCGAAAGGCTAAAAAGTGACTTTCAATTAATTTTCTGTTTTTTGGATCTATTGACAGTTTAATGTCTTCTGCTTCATTTAAGATTAAAATAAAGAACAATAATCGGCTATAAATATTTTATTTTGATTTATTTTGGAGGTGTGTGTGGTTTGTTGTGAGCTTGGGTGACAAGATAAAGGAATTTGGACCTCAAACCATTTAGAACATTTGACATGTAGGTGTGTAGCTGTGAGATTATTTATAGAACCATTACCTCATGGCCACATTGCTTTAAATTCCTTCATTCGCCCCTATTTTTAGATTTAGATCCCCTTTTCGAGCATGGAAGGTTTGAAATATAAACAACGGCTGGGGGCTCTGATTGGTTAAACGAGGTAAGAATGGCAACTCCTAGCCCACTTCAAGCTTGTTTACGTAAACAGCTGACTGCGTAAACGTGCCCTGCTCGCTCAATTATGGGCAGTTGAAATTTAAGTTTTACGCTTTAAAAGTTTGTTTTTATTGTGTTTTAGTGGGTTTTTTAAATGATGGATCTTCCTCTATATCTCCCAAGGAGGACTCTTTACCAAGAGGCCACCGAGGCGTCTATGTGCATGTGTGTATGTTTGTGTATGTCTAAGTGTATGTGGGTATATGTGTGTGTGAGTGTGTGTGTGTGTGTGTGTTTGTGTGTGTGTGTATGTGTATGCACGCTCATGTGTTTATAGTGCTATTGCAAACTTATAATTAGGAAGGGTAAACATGGATCGTAAGCCGACTCACGGACTTCCGAGCACGTGGTATCGGTGAAATCGAGGTTATTCAGATCGCATTTTCTTTGCTTTTTCGCTATAACACACCAAATGCTGTACACCTTGAAAAACTAAAGCTTTTTTCGTTAGAATAGTGTAATTTGTTTGTTTTTCCGAGTATTTGGAGCTAGAGAATCGCAGTGGAAAGCTAAGCCCCTCGCACTTGGAATGCGAGGTCTGCCGGTTCAAAAATTGACACCCATGCATTCAAATGCTTCGAAGGAAGAGTGATGATTAAATACTGTCTTTTCACTGGCAAATAACTTCTTTTGAGTTTTGGACAGGGCTTTCCGTGGTATATTTTTGGCCTTTGGCGTTTAAATAGAAAGCCTTTAAAAAGCCTACAAGTTTTCAAAGATCATTTTTAACACAAACTATTACCAATATAAAGAAGAGTTCTTTTTCTATTAGAATGAAGTTATCGGCTTAGAATTATTTTGTATCAATCCTTTTGCGAAACTCCAGGGAGCACTCAATTCACAACAGTTAAAGCCGACGGGACCGGTTCACAGCCGGCTGGGACAACGCTCTGTGTTTTTTTTTTCGAATCGAAATAACGACAGATCATCGTGTTCGAGGCAGTAAAATACTGATCTCAGTCTTGAAAAAAATATTAGATTCCATTTCTATGTTATAGTGATTGTACTCTGTTAGTGCGGAGACATTTGGTTCACTTGGTACTCTTTTATTATCTGCAAAACATGGGGTTGCAGCCAGTTACCGAATTTAGCAATATTCGATTATATATTAAATTAAAACAGCTGCCATTTTCTTAAAAATTGACTGAGAGGTAAAAGTATGGTACTAAAATTCACAGGAGACACAGGCCTTTCAAATGGAACAAATAAATTTGATATACAGCTACTTGGAAAATTTGTTTCCGGTACCTAGTAGGGCAATGCTAACCCGATGTTGCATTTGACGTGAAGACCATTCTCGTTAAGATTTTGTTTAGTCCATAAGCTTTTTTTCTGTGAATGAATAGTCTTCTACTTCTGTGTGTTACCTTGTAGTGGCATAGCCAAAATAACAACCAAATTTCAAGACTCTATCTCAATTCTAAGACCCCCGTTGCTATGGAGACATGTTGCTCAACTTCAGATCCCGTTTTCTCCTTTTTTTGGTCCAAATTATAGTGAAATGGTGATAGTTTTAAAAATTATGTTAATTAAATTTTGAAATTTCCTTCATATGACTGATTTTGACCGGGAGGGTCACAAGTATAATAAATCATAGGGTATTACTTTGCTATTTCTTCTCTTCACAAGATCTGACACCTTCAGTTTCTTGACACTCATCCCTCACTATAATAAGTAGCAAAACTAGCACTTATTCAAAAACAACCCACCATCCCTGTCTTGTCCACAGGCTAGTCTGATGAGGCAGTGCACCCAGCGCCATTCTGTTAGCTTCCGCTGTACTGTCCTGGTCGCCATCACATGACGCAGAAACACCAAAAAGTCAGCCACAGCCGACATCCTCACCTGAGTCTTCTCTGTGAGAGGAGAAGAAAGACATACAAAGAGAAGGTACAGAAGAGGGTACAAATAAGAATAGGCCATTCTATTTTTAGAGAAGTACATTAACGAAATAAATACCACTGAGAGCTGGGAGAAAGGATAAGTTAAACACCGCTTAGAGCCACATCAAAGTTAACCACATGACATGGTGATATCATCAGCAAATTTAATTTGACATACCATGAATAATTTTAAAAAAATACATATTTAACTGTTTAAAGTGACCCTACACCCAATGTTTTTGTCAACTTCAAAGAACAGCTTGAGTCTGAAATGTTTTACTCATAAATCTATCACATAAATATTTGAAGCGAATTGGTAAAAAAAATAATTTAATTTGAAAATTATGAAAAAAAAGACAAATCTTCCACCAGAGAAACTTTCAGGCACAGAAAGCATACAGTACACCAGCTACCTTATCTTGATCTGTGGGACAAACAGAAGCGAGAGAATGCATGTCTCATCCTAAAATACCATTAAGATTTAACTTACGAGAGTTTTGCCACTCTGAGGCACTGTTAAGCTGCAAAAGCCTGTCCAACTGTTTCCAAAGCAATTCAATGACTGATTGAACAACACCTGTACTGAGTCGGTCAGCATAAGTGCTGATGTAGAAAAACAAAACAAAATACGTATCAGTACACAGTAATGAAAAGTCCAGACAGGGTCATTGGCTTTAAAATAACTGCAATATTTGACAAAGAGTTATATAATGATTAAATCCATTACTATAATAAAAAGTCAAAACAAAAGTGAAAGAATACACAGCATTTATATACTATTTAAAAACCTTTTCCTTTTCATACACAAAAATAAAAAAAATACTTTGTAACAGACATGTTTTAGATCATTGCTGCTCTATTATAGTTGCCATTAACCAGGTGAATTTATCATAGTGTTGATCTGGGGGTCTGAAAATGATTCTACCATCTCACAATCATTAAAGATAAAACAAAAAGTATCTGAAAGGCTGATCAAACAGAAAAACAAAACCTGAAGATAGGTGCTCACCCAACAGTGACTGCGATGATCTGCAGCAAGCGTACGCTGGACACTTCCAGAATGGTGGAGAGGTGAGAAGACTCCAGCTGTGTGGACACCGGGGGCAGAGTGTGCGGGGTGAGCAGGCTGCTGTCTGCACAAAGATCCAGCAGGATGGGCGGCAGACCACATGACACAGTCAGAGACACATCCACCGGCTTGTACTTAACACTCAGGGCCAGGATGGAAGAGAGCATCAGATGCTGCTTGGTGTCTGTGGAGACAGGAATAAGGATTGGGGAAGGGTCGAGAGATGGCAAACAAAACCCTGTCACTCTGAGATATGCTTCTTATCATGAGACCACTTCTTAAAACAAATCTTTCACATGTTTTAAAGTTTAATCTTATAGTTCAGACAAACCAAAAGCAACCCCCCCCCCCAAAAAACGCCTTTCATTCAGTCAGTGAAAAATTGCAATAAATTAAGCTCCTTGAAAGCTGATTTGCCTAAAACCTCATATTCTTCCCACATGCTCTGTTCAGCTTTAAATGAGGTACATGTTGAACCTTTTGCCACGACAGTTGCTTGTAATGAAAGGGGTGACAGACATCTCTTATTTACACCATATGGGTCACAACACACAGAAACCAGGCATTTGTCAATTTTTGGGCATATGGAGTTCTTGGTATAGTCTTAAAGCCAGTTCACTAACCTTGCTTTTGATGAAAAAAATATAGATCTATCTTGAATAGAAATTGAAATACTTGCAATTGAAGGAGTTCGGGTCGCCTGGTTGTAGACATAAAATAAGTTAGAAAATGGCTGCCAATGTTGGTTGATTTCCAAAGCTTGAAAGTCATTAGAAACTGCAACTTTACATTTTTCTGTTGAGCCCCCCCCCCCTTTGGCGAGCGCCTGATTTCACCACAATGCATCATGCATGCACGCAGGCAACCATGCATGCACGCAACCATGTATGCACGCACACACACACATACACGCACGCACACACACACCAAGTTCGATACAAAACTCATTATGAAGCTCCATATAAAATTCTTTTTAAAAAATCAAGGACTGAAAGTATTCTTTTGCTCCCAGAATAGTCTTCAGTTCATAACAAGAAGAAGTGAAAACAAAACATGCTTACGTTCACCAATCTTTTCCATTTTCATCATTTCAATCAGTGAGACCACAAGGACTTCATAGATTCTGTGCACTACCAGTTGAATTTCTTGTTGAGTCTGAGCAGATGCAGCTTTAATACCATCCTTGAGAGGAGAGAGTACATTTTTGTAAAGTACTGAAAGATTAGAATTCAGATAAAAGTTGGTAAACAGAGATATTTGCAGACATGGACATTATCCTACTTTCAATTTTTTTTTGAAGCTCAAACGCGGTACAAAGAGAAAGAGCAAAACATCTGAAAAGGCTTCTGAATATTTTTGTGTGTTCTACAGAAACTTATTTTAAATTGTTCAAGGAAAGGAAATGATAGAATAAGGGTCCACAAGTCTTTATTTTGTTTATACAGGGGCACAAATGTTGTGGTAAGAAAAGTCTTTCTTCACAAAACAGTATGATGAACTGTACAGGGTCCTCACTACGTGTTGAATCTTGATGCCTCACAAAACGGATTTTTGAAAATCAAACTGCCCCCCCCCCCCCCCCCCCACCCCCCTTTACTAAGAAAGCAAATAACATTCCTCCCAAGGTAATCAACCGGTAACAAAGTGCATTTATCACAAACACAGCATTAAACTTTATGACTCACACAAGAAGGCAAGCATGCAAGAAAAGTCAACAACAAAATAGCCTTGCTGGGATAAGAACAATGTAACATGTAGTCTTTGTTGTTTCACTGTATCTAACAGAAGAGGTAAACAAACTTTTAGCAATTCTTATATTTTCTGAAAAGTAAATCTTAACATTTCCAGATTAAATCAAGTTATACAAATCAGGGGCTCTGGTGAACTTACGACGGGCCTAGCAAGCCGGTAATGGATAAAAAACTGCTAAAAACCAAACAAAGGAGGAAAAGAAACAGATGATACCAAAGATAAGATACATGAACATATGAAAAATGTATTTCACAAATTGTCCAAACAACCGGGAGACATCAAAGAGGAATGGAGCCACTTCAAAGCATGTGTGAACAAAGTATTAAAAGAAGAGTGCAGTACCAAGAAAACAGGAGGGAAGAAAAGGAAAACAACTATAAGGTGGAATGACCAAGTAAAGGAAGCCATCCAACTGAAGAAAAAGGCAATCAAAAAGTGGCAGAAATCAAAGACAGGAAGACTACATCCTGTACAGAAAGGAATGCCGCCAAACAACAAGGGTAGTAAAAGAAGCTAAGAATAGAATTTGGACAGTATATGGAGAACAGCTCGCAACAAAAAGTAAAGAAGACCCCAGAGAGTTTTACCAGAGCGTTAAAAGCATGAGGATGCGGGAAGAACCATTCAACTCAACTGAAATAGTCAATGATGAGAACGGAAACCCTATTTTCAGTAAACCAAAGATTAAAGAAAGATGGAAACGCTATTTCCAGGAACTGCTGAATCCTACAGGAGAAACAACACAAAACAGCTTATCACCAAAAGAAACCACTCCAGAACCATCAACTTTTTTTTTTCGTAAGAGTTTTACGGCACTTGCAACACAATAAGGTCATATAAGTGCCGAGGACAAGAGATGTTACAAGGGAGTAACAAACACAAAAAAAGGAGGGGAGATAAAGATGATAGATGTTTGATAGGAAAGAAGGAGCAAACCACACCCGAGCACTTGCCAACCACCAACAGAACCATCAATACTGCTGAGTGAAACCCAACATGTTATAAAGAAAAGCCCTACAAGCAAAGCGCCAGGCGTTGATAACATCATAGCAGAAGAGATCAAGCTATGCGGCCATATCGGTGAACTCTGGCTGTGGAGGAAATTTAACCAGGCCTGGGCGATAAAAACAACACCCGATGTCTGGCAACGAGCTGTCATTGTACCTATTTGGAAAAAGAAAGGCAACAAAAGAGACTGTGGAACCTACAGAGGAATATCCCTTCTCAGCCAGATACTAGAAATGAGCATGAGACCAATTGTTGAGACTCAACTCAGTGAATCCCAGTTTGGCTTAAGAAAAGGCAGGGGCTGTACTGACGCTATTTTTGCATTAAGACAGTTGTACGAGACTGCCATTGTACATGACAAAGATCTCAATATCGTCTTCTTGGATCAGGAAAAGGCGTACGACCGGGTAGATAGATGTCAACTTTGGGAAGTCTTAGAGGAATATGGTGTAAGACGACAATTGCTGGAGAACATCAACTCTTTCTATATAAGATAAGATAAGACAAGACAAGACAGGATAAGATAATACTTTACTTCTGTTTTGAAGGAAATTTGTTATGACTTTACAGTAAAGGTTAAAAACACATGTAGAGACACATAAAATTCAAATTTTATATTATTTTCATTAGAGAATTTCAATGTGAAGATAAAAAAATTAAAAGGTTAAAAAAATATGCGAATAACCAACCTGGTAATGATAAAGTTGGTGTGACACACTAGTGTACTCAGACCTGAGCACCAGCAGACCAAAGCACCCAGCCAGCAGCTGCAAGTGGACCGAGTTGAGCAGTGTGGTGGTGGGTGAGCTGGTGCTGGCCGAAGGCTCATCTTTGCCCTTGCCTGTGCTCAGCAGCTCAATGATTTGATTCAAAGCATACAGGCGAGACTAACAAAAAAACAAAAAAACCAATAGGGGGAGGGGAGGGTTGTTGTTGTATGGGTTTATAATGGAAGAGACATCATAATATCACACCAAGTACAACACATCGGCTGCTTAAAGTAAGACTGCCGTCTGCCACATTCCATTTTGAAAAGTGACATATGACAGAGTCTTACACTGAAAAGTCCATGTGTAAATCCAGTGATTTTAAGTACAGTATAGTAAAGATGAGTTGTAGTTACAGTAAGGCAGCACAATAACAATCATATTTCAGCAAAAAAAGAACAAGAGCAATAGTAACAAAACAAAATATCAAACTTTTCTCGTTCCTACAATGTGACACAAATCATTACTTTCCTGAGCCTACACCCTCAAGTTTCAGTGTGATCACACTGAAGGCCCATCATAGCTTTTGATAAAGCTCAGTAGTTCAATGCTTTCATCAGTGTACATGAACAGGCGAGTCCAAAAAATGTCATAAGTTAATAATTACATTTTTATAACACTCTTAATTGTTACAAGTAGATGATTTTTCCACAGCTTGAACCTGAAGTCTTACTCATGGTATACGGGAAGTTACAATGAAGATAGTTACAATTTCAACCCAATTCTCAATAGTTTCCAAAAAGTTCAGTGAGCCACAAAAACAAGATTTTATATATGAAATACTGCTGGAAACTTTATATACAAACACACAATTCCAAGCCATTTTTCAACAGGCTAGGATCTTTGATGATCCAACTCAAAGAGCTCACCTCAGCTCTTTCCTGCTGTATTTCCATGGCTTTCACCAACTGCTCTATGTCAAGGGAATCAGCGTAGTTGTTTCTGTGCTCGCCACACAAGAAGCTAAGCATGTCTGTTGTGAGTCTGTTCTCAGGCATGTTGCTCTGTGGCTGTGTTCCCCAGCCCTGTCCCGGCTCCATAGCATCCATCCTTTCCTGACGCCAGCGTAGCCGCCTCAGCATCTCTTTTACCTTTTGCAGTGAGTTCAGGTTGGGACCTAAAGAGGTGAAATAAGAGCACAAGTCTTTGAAACAGTTAAAAAATGAATTACCAAAGAGTCCATCACTGTGAATATTATAATATGAGAATGAAAATATTTTGACAGTTGATCATCATTAATTGACCACAACTACAATCAGTGCTTTTAACAGGAAAAGGTAAAATGGAGGAAAACTTCCTAAGCCGAAGTGCAACAACAGAAATACCTGTAAATAGGGATTTTCCTCAAATTTCTGATAACAGGATGGCGTGAGAATGAAAGATTTCTGCCCGATGTTGGAAGATTGGAAGAAGCGAACAATATAAATCAATCCATGATTCCAAAATTCTGTAGAAAAAACGTCTGTGATTCTTGAACATCTAACATTGCAAACTAGAAATAAATACTCTTCTTCCAAACTATTATGATCATTGATTTTTTAAAAATGACAGTAATATGAAGAAAACCCAACTCACCAAGCTGATGTTGAGGATTGAAGGGGTTGAGTGTTGGGGTAGCTAAACCTTCTCTAAGACCCAAGTTGTGATCATCCTAGACGAGAACACAAAGAAAATTGAATGGTAATGCAATCAGTAACCAGGGAAGCATTAGAAAAGATACAGCCTCACCTAAAAGTACTTCCCTTGGCAAGGTTGGGGCAGAAGACTTTAGAAGACCATTCTGGACGGTATTAAAAGCAACAGTGGTCGCCCAAGACATATCTCATATTATGTTTTAGACTATATCATTACATTCCTGGTACTGACACTTGCAATCAAAGAATATCAAACACAACTATTCTGTCCACTGCTATTGGTAGTCTGGTTGCAAACTGAAAAATTCTGCTAGAGTCAGCTGTCTAAGTAGACAGAAGCCGTTTACTAAAGATACCAGTGAACTAGCAGACACTATTTCATAACTCAGTTTCTTGAAATATTCTCAAACATTTCATCTCCATTATGAAGCAACCTCATCAAGTTGCCCATTAACCAGTGGCAACAAAAAAGCTCATAATGTACAGGCGAACAAATAATTATAATCAGCCGACTGTCAGAGTAACAAGAGTTGTTGAACTATGTCGTAAATTGGGTCAAAGGACTCGGAATGTATAGTCCAACATTATATGCAAGGGTGTTAGTCTACCACTGAGGTAACTAATAATGAACGAAAATTGAAATAAAAGTCCACGCTTTAAGATGTCCAAAAAAGTACAGGTTTTGAGAAAATATCAAACCTTCATCGCAAGTCCATAAAGAGCCAATGTAACAATACCTGGGTATCTGATGGAATGTCTGGCAAGCTTCCTTGCCTGGTTAACTGTCTTCTAGGGGAAACATCAGAAGCATCTCTTCTTCCCACTGGAAAGAAGAACAACCCAGAACAAAAAGGTGACCATCTTTGAATTTAAACGTTTTCAAACACTAACCACTCTAACCTCAAAAGAAAAAAACAGACAATTCCCCCAGTCATTACTACTTTTAGAATAAACACTGACATTTACTGAAAACGTTTCTTAAAAAGGAACAGAAGCAACTTACTTGTAAAACTTACTTACCCTGAGTAATTAATATGATCCATACAAAAATGGGTACAAGTTTAGCACTGCTTTATTGTATTTTATATGTACTATGCACATCCAAAAGCTCATGCTCTAAATTTTAATAGTTTTCAGTAAATGATAAAAATATGTTCATTTAGATATTGTGCAATCAAAAAGGAGAAGAAAGGAATTTGAAACCCAACAATGCAGTATTTTACAACTCCCTGATTTGATTTTTACTATTTCTGAAAATAAGTTGGCCTCAAAATAAGCACAAAGCCTCTATGAGAGAACAACTATTGGTTAACATTATTTTTGTAAACAGCGTAAAACAAAACAAAAAACCCCCCCAAACTTAAGGTCGTGTTCAAAACAGGACGCTCTCGTTCCACTCCCAAGCAACAAGTCCTTGATAAACCTTTTAGAAAAAATGAGAAAATGAGTGCCAATTTGTGACATCCACAAAACAGACTGTCCCTTCCATTTTCTTACCTGCCAATTCCTCAGTTCCGTTCCGTGAGCTCTGGAGAAGATCAGATGATTCACCTGAGGAAAGCATAGGAGAAACTCATATATTTCTTTGGTTCTTCAAAGCGTCATGAGAGGGAAAGAGGAACAAAGAAAGATCAACAATGGTGTCGAGGAAAGATTTAAATAAATAATAAAAGTAGCTAGATTAGACCATGACAGTGTCTCAGAGACTTGCAAGAAGCAACGATAAATTATGATAAACTCACTTAATTTTAGTGAAAAACCTTGGGTTTTTATAAAATAGGAGGAAGGGTACTGAAAAACCAACATTTTTTATTATTTGGGGGTAGCATTCGGGTGGGATAACAGAGTTGTTAAAAAAAAATGTGATCTTCAAATAAATATTTTGATCTTCAGACCCCCCTCCCCTCTTTGAAAGAAATATAATGTCCTCACCAGACAGTGGTGGCCGAACACATAGCAGAAGAAAGATACATTTTTCCAGATTCTTGTAACAGATTTCTTCATATGACAGTTCAGACTTTTTCTCTGTTGTAGAGCCCCGAGAATGATCTTGGCCTTCTTCCTCTGAAAGAAAACAAACATGAGATTTTACAACTTTATGGGAAAGCTCTTTTAGCCATAAATACTTATCAATTGAAATGATAAATCAAACAAGAGACCAGGGAAGATGGAGATCTGTTGTGCCAAGGAGTGCGACACCAACAGATGAACATTACTATGGTGGTAGGTGACAGGTGACTTACTAATTACTTTCATTTCAGAATACCTTATGCACTTCTTGTACTTCTTACAATACAAATACCATCTACACAATTTGACTAGTTTACTCCATTTGCACAACAATAGATATCGACGAGATATGTCAGAAAATTAGTGTCCTTACCACCATCCGTCTCATGATGCTCATGGTCCGAGTCGTGGTCCATGCTCTCATACAACAGATTCACTTCTCTAGACTGATCTGGACTCTCCGAGGCCATTTCTTCCTCTCTGACTTCATTGGCAGTCTGCTCAAGTCTCAAGTCCGCTGACCTCTGACCCACAATGGTTTTGTCAGAGTCTTCTTCACTGCCTCTACCTCGGAAAGACACCAGCACACTTCTGAGTTTGTACACTGTCAGAAAGATGGACTCCAGCTGTCTAGTTGGCCTGGAGATTACGATGAAAAATAATAAAGTAAGACAAGCTTGATCACATTGGTATGTGATAAAAACTGTATGATTTTACCACTCATAAGCACCAAAATATACAACTGCAACATGATATATAACCTAGCACTATTTCAGTTTGAAAATATGATATGGTAAAACATTGGATACAATGGGGGACTAAGACCTACAAAATTCTTAAACAAAAGTGATTTTATAGAAAGAAAACTGTGCTTTCAACTCAAATCAAAAGGGAGATTTGGTCTTCACATAATACACTTGTAGAAGTCAAGTCTGGGGGTGGGAGGTTGTAGTCCCTAATATCTAATAGAAATGGGGGGGGTAGGTGCATGACCATTTTGTAATTTCCCTTCTATTACTCAATTATTTTTCTCGACAACAGTACACCATCTGGAGTAATGATTATACCAAAGACCATCCAGAAGCCAAAACCTAGCCCTTCAAGGATGATTCAACGAAACAAAATTTACAAAGCATTTAGCAGGACACTTAAACCGATCATACCAATCATGTTCCCGAATTTGCTTCCATAAGTTTGTGTGCTTCAGTAAAGCTGCCAGAAAAAATTTGGTCACTAGATCAAGCCATTTTTCTTCTTTCAGTTCACAGGTATTCAAGTCTGAGGAGTAGACAAGGTCAAGACATGGAAATAAAAATTATGGAAGACAAACAAAACATATAAACTCACTGTACTATGAGACAGTTCAGAAAATAGTGCAAACAAATTTTTTAAAACACTTCTGTGCTTTGCTCTAGTGTATTTTTAAGATTCCTTAAACCAAAAGTGATAAACCACAGTGATTGGCAGGCACATTACGTATACAGTATAGCATGCACAAAGTGAACTCGGCGGGATGTGGAAATCTGTTCATCATGTACAAATTTCTCCTTTTCCCTGTTTTAAATACAAAAGAAATATATATGTATAAGAAAAAATTGGGGACCAGAAAATCTGTTTGCTTTGAGCATGTTTTGTAATGTGCATGTTCGCTACATGTATGCTAGATTGTATTTTGATTTTTAGAAAATATTAGCTGTCGAATTTTTAAACTGTTCACGCTGACTTTTTCATTTAAAGAAGAAACAAAATGTGAAGCATCGTGGTGAAATCAGGCAGTTGGCAAAATAATGAAATCCGAGAAATCAGCGTTTTTTGGTCAGTTTGGAAACTTTTTTCTAATTTTTGTTTTTTGGCTCGACACCTTTTACTCCATTCAAAAACACTTTTATGTATAGGTTTTTAAGGAAAAACGTTGATTAAAGGCACAAAAATGTAAATTGGCAATTTCCAAGGACTCTTAAGCTATGGAAGTCACCAAACTTTGGCTGCTATTTTCTCTCTAATTTTACTTCTGAAACCAGGCGACCACACCTCCTTCAATCTCAAGTATCTCGACTTCTATTCAAGATAAATGGATATTTTTTTCATGAAAAAAAGGCAAATGAACAACATTTAAAATGATACCAATAACACCATATGCCCAAAAATTGACGAGCACCTGATTCAACTGCGTTGTGACACAAATAATCATACTGTTAATGATATATGTACTAAATAAAATCCAGTTCTAGCAGTCAGACAGTAATAAATCAACTACAGTATAAACAAAGTTTATTCAAATGGAGATGAAAACAAACACTAAAATAATTATACAGTCGGGCACAGATAACATGACCACTTAAAATTGAAATCACAGACAGCTCATAGAATATGCCATTCCCCAAAAGAAATGCTACATGCGAGGCATCTCGGTGAAATCAGGTGCTCGTCAAAATAATGAAATCGAAGAAATCAACATTTTTCTGCCGGTTTGGCAATTTTAATAGATTTTTCTGCTTTTTGGGTAAACATCTTTTTTTGTCCATTTAAAAAGCATTTGTGTGTGGGCTTCCCTGAAAAACATTGATAAAAGGCACAAAAAATGTAAATTATCAGTTTTCAAGGACTTTCAAGCTTTGAAAGTAAAAATCCTTAAGCATCCATTTTCTAGCTTATTTCATCTCTGAAACCAAGCCACATCCACCCCCCCCCCCCCCCACTTCCTTTAATCGCAAACATCTCAACTGCTATTTAATGGGTACGTTTTAAATCAAAAGCAAGACAAATGAACAGGCTTTAAGAGGAAACCAATAACTCCATATGCCAAAAAATTGACGAGCATACTTTCTTTGTATTGGTAACACAGTTACCTCAAACAACTTTACGGATTCGTCAAACAGCTCGTCTTGAAAAGTCAGATCAATGTGTTCTCACAATTGTCTCAAATTCAAATCACCCTGCACACCTAATGGAAAACGAAACACCCATCATCAAGGGTATCAGGTTACATGAACCCACCAGGTTCGCACCTGTACAGGGTGATACACACACTGCTGTTTTGAGACACATCATTGTACATTACCTGTAGTGCACGTAAGGCACTAGAATTTCCTTCAATCTAGCCATGTGAGGGTGGGTGCTGGGATGTGATCGAAGATAAACGGTATGGTACTGCATTTTCTTTGAATATTGCTCTCTAGCGACACGTCTAATTTTCAGCTCAAATACGACCTATTTGTGTTGTAAGTGCAGTAAAACTCACTGTAACTTAAACCAAATTTGTAAGAGATTTAGTATCTCAAAGTAAACGTTTTCCACGTTTCTATAAAAATCCGTCATGAAATCAAAACTGCCAGCACTGATAGTCAGCTTGACAGAAAGCGACCGCATTTTGCCAAATTTGAGAACGTCAAGCTGGCATTGTCTCAATGGTTCCAGCAAGCACATGTGTCTTTCTATCCCTGGTCCCATCCTGAAGACAAAAGCACCGGAAATGCTTTTATGAATCAAGAATAGTAGGATGGGTCCATAAAGAGACATAGCATCACTCAAAAAGCTGTATTCGGTGGATCTGCTACAGTTCATCCGTACCAGTGACTTAGTTTCTGACCAATGTACCATCAGTTACCTCAATTGATTTTTAAAATATCTTTATAATTTTTCTTTTTATTGGTTTACCCAAATTATGGATGTCCGGATGTGTTTTGGAACACATTTGTCAATCTCCGACATGTCTGAGTTATTTGTGCCCGACTGTAGTTACATAAGCTGAGGACAAAAACATGACAGAGAAAACCTAAAAATTAATTATTAAGAACCATAAAAAAAAGCCCTGATAATAGAGTAGGAAGCTGACAGCTCCAGTATAAGTATGAGATTGTAACTGAAAAATAAAATAGTTGCTGTCAGATGTAGAAGTTGTATTTCTGGCAAGTTTATTGTGAACACATAGACACTAGCAAATCAAGGACAATATTAAACTACCTTGATGTAAAGCATAATCCTGCATCATGGCAAGCAGATGACTGTTAGTATCATTGTGAACACCTAGGGCCATGTCCAGGAGACCTCTGGTCTCTACATCCAGCTCAGGTTCCCGAAACAGACTTGACAAAGACTCTGGGCTTTCCACTGTCATCTCCGACACTAAAGACGTGATTTTTTCTGCAATGACATTATAAGAAAAAATTATATATGAAGTCTCTTCATGTTACCTGCTATTTTTATGCACTCCGAATCAAAGACTTTAACAACTGGGTGTCAAAAGACTGAATTCAATTTTGGAGATAAAATCATTAATTCTAAAACCACAGTTATACTACAAGACAAAACAAACGAAGACTTCTAAAATTGATGTGTGGAAAACTGAGTATTGATCTTTTGTGATTAGGTTATCACACTGACTTGACTCTGGTAAACACTTCAGTACTCACTGAGTGGAACCGAAGAGATAAGTCCATTGCTGAATAGTGGACAGTTCAGCCAGATCTCAAAGTGCATCTCGCACGGAGCCTGTGGGGGACCATGAAGCATGCCGCCGATGCAGCTGCCAACCACCAGACCACAGGTCCTCTCCAGGTCAACCAGCCAGGACCACTGGGGCTGGCTCTCCTCTGGGCCTCCACCTGAAAGCACAGAGAACATTTCTTTGCAAAAGCAGTCAAAGCTGTTGATTAATCTGACTTGAACATTTTTACATAAATAATACAGTTTCAGTTGCAGGTAGTCCAAGAAAAACAGCTTCTGCAAAATTAGTGAATGTTCCAGTTTTTTTTTTCTCAACAAACAAAATAACACTTTCTCTTGAATTTAGGTCAATGCATCAGATCTCCCCCCCCCCCTTCCCCACCCCCACAAACAAACAAAATGAAGACTGTGACTACTCCAGAAAATAAAGTCAGTTACAAACTAAAATGTTTGAAGAAACCAAAAAGTCAGGACAACTGTCCTTGAATACCACACAAACTAACTAATTTTAGTTAAAAGAAGATTGCACTTCTGAACATTCCAAATTTGAGAAACAGCTACAGGTGCCATAAATATGGATTTCATTAACTAAAAAATTCAGGAATTAGAGGAGTAAGTCATACTTTTATGAAACTCTAGTTCCGAGTCTTCAAGGGCCCGTGCACCAGGCAGGAGCTTGCAGAGTCTGTCCAGCAAAGGCAAAAGAGTGAGTATCTGATGCAGCACCGGCATGACCAGGCTCAGGGGCAACACCAGAACCGCATTCAGCATGTGACTCAACATACGGCCAGCTGGTGACTGGAATACCACATCTGCCAAAGAAAGATTAGTGACAATGGGAGATAAGTAAACCATATGAAAGGACATTTTAATCCTGTGAATATATTTCAAGTGGATATCTGCAACTGTGCACATATTGACTAGTAAAAAAAGAAAATTCACTATCACCAATCCATAAAATAAAAAAAAGTATCTGAAACCAGGAAGCAGTTCCACATGAGAAACAAAATGGGAGGATTAAGTCCCCACATCAAAGCCTTCACAAGATGTTGTGCTCATAATGGTAGGAATAAAGGGGACTTTGAAGAACAACCTGTTAGTTTTATCCATATTTACATAACATTTTTTTTCAAACGAAAAAGAACACCCCCCCCCCCCCCCCCCAATAATATAACTGACATAATTTAGAATAATACTTAAGAACTTTGAGCTCTTACTTTTAGTCACCTAGAGTACTTTATACGACAGTCAACTTTATATCAGATAAGGGCATATCATACTTGATAGACGGAGAAGCTGAACCCCCCCCCCAAATCAAATGTTCTTCTCTACAAGAGACACTAACCTTCAATCTGATCAAGGACATCCTCTCCAAGGTTAGAGGTTGAGATGATGGAAGCAGTATGACTGATGATGTCTCCACACACCGGCAGGAACAGAAGCAGGTGCTGATGGAGGTGCTTCACCACAACTGGTAGCTGAAGAGACGAGTGACACTAACAATAAGATAAGCTTTTTAGAGAATCTTTTTTCTTTAAATCAATCTGTGCATGTATTTAGGACTCTCATGGTGTCTTGTAAAGATTATTTTTAAATGCAGCAGACAGGAGAAGACTAAAAGAAATCATGAAAAGAAAAACATGCAAAAATGGACATCAGCCCATCTTTATTAACTTTGCCTAAAAAAGTCATCAAAACCAGACTCTGGTTATGTACTTTGGAGCAAAGAGAGTTGTGTAAAAAAGTAAAGTTCCTATTAGTTATGCATTCACCAACTGACTTCACTGATGGTGACCCTGATCAACGGCAAAATTATAAAGGAGTAACAAATTTTTATCTCAGATTCTGTACACATTTTGAACAAAGTACAGGTTGGTAATCAGTGTAAAGAGTATGACAAAGTTACATTTTGCAATGGATAGATTCATTCAATCACTTATGACATACTTTTCCATAACTTCACAAAAATGTGTTATGGCTCTGATCATTCATTAAAAAAACACAACAGAAAAAAAACCCCACTCGATTTAACAACTAACTTTTCTGCCACGACTCTGGCTGGAAATCAGAGAGGAAATGGTGATCATTAAACTAAATAATTTTGAAAAGAAAACAAAAAACTCATTACCTTTGAATCTGAGAACGATTTGTTATAGCAGTAGGCCAACAAATGTTTTTGCAAAGATGACAAAAGCAAATGAAGATTGGCAGGTGGTGAGGATTCTGCATTCACACTGGACTTGGGTGTGCCTTCTGAGCTGAATTCATTCAGGACCCCTTCCTAAAAGGTGAAAGGAACACTTCCAATAAGATGTTTGACATTACATATTTGACGTAATCATAAACTCTAACACAAAAACAGCAATCAAGAAGAGTAAAAACATCAAAATTACATAAATTAACTTTGATGTTCTAAGAGACTAAATGTTCGAAATACGAGGGAGGTTCAATAAATCTTTGGTCTCGGTATGAAAGAATCAAGGTCGAGTAATGAAATTTCGCCAGCCTTTAGACAATTTCTTTGGAACACATCATGCAAATTTTCGGGAAAATCTGACAATACTAAGGCACTAGTCAGCATGTTCAATGAAACCATGCACAAAAACATTTGTTTGTTTTTTTGTTGCTTAAGCTTTTCCATGGAACCTGTTGAATATCGCCAATGATAGTACATAACAAGATGGGCCACTTCTCTCTTTGAGCCAATTAAAAAAGTGTCCTCAAAATTTGGTGGCGCCCTCTTCACAAAAGCGCACTCTTTGCGAACAGAGTTACCCTACTTGAGTTTTTAAAAATCAAAGTGAAACTAGCAAGTTTTGGGATAAATTTCGGAAGAACGCTTTTTAAAAATGGTTACGCTGACAAAAAACCTGTTCCGGAGGAAAGGGTGATTGTTTTCTTCGTTTAATTTGACTTTAGAATGAAAGGCGAGAGGTCATTAAAGTATAAATAACCTAAAACTCTGCACTGAACGAACTCGAACTGCTGATGAACAGCAGTCGATCTGCGCACGCAAGGAGGTGCTATTCCTATTCTTCTTCTGGAAAAACGAAAGAGAGCTTCAAAACAGACTGCAGCGCCATCTGAAGCAAAGAGCATACTTCCTGCGGACACTTTTTAGGCTGAGTGACCCATCTTGTCTTGTACTATCTTTGATATCGCCAAAGAGTCTACATAACAAGAGGGGACACTTCTCTCTTAGAGCCAATTAAAAAAGTGTCCTCAAAATTCGGTGGCGCCCTCTTCACAAATGCGCATCCTTTGCGAACAGAGTTACCCTACTTGAGTTTTTAAAAATTAAAGTGAAACTAGCAAGTTTTTTAATAAATTTCCGAAGAACGCTTTTTCAAAATGGCTACGCTGACAAAAAACATCTTCCTGAGGAAAGGGTGATTGTTTTCTTCGTTTAATCTGACTTTAGAATGAAAGGCGAGAGGTCATTAAAATTTTAAAAAAATTAAAACTCCGCACTGAACGAACCCAAACTGCTGATGAACAGCAGTCGATTTGCGCATGCAAGGAGGTGCTTTTCCTATTCTTCTTCTGGAAAAACGAAAGAGAGCTTCAAAACAGACTGCAGCGCCATCTGAAGCAAAGAGCGAACTTCCGGCGGACACTTTTTTGGCTGAGTGGCCCATCTTGTTATGTACTATCTTTGATATCGCTCAGTTATCGAGTTTTTACACTTCAGCTGCTTGCACTGTATGCTTCATGGGAAGCTGAGAACGTTTCCGAGTGTTCTATGGTCTGCTGGGGTAATATATAGTGTAAAGCGCATAGAGCTTGCTTTCGAGTGGGTGACATGCGCTGTACAAATGCTATTTATTATTATTACACTTGCAAGGAAAATCTCCTTCGAACATTTTTCAGGAAATGGTCCAAGTTTATGGTGACAAATGTCCTCGTTATAATCTGTGACATACAGGGTAAGAAAATTCAAATCTGGATTCATGTCGGAGATGGATGAAGATCGTGAAAGGCACCAATCCTTTGCGGTAACTAAAGAGAATGTACAGGTAGTGAAGAAACTGGTTTGAAAAGACTGATGTATAACTGTTAAACAGCTCTAAAGTGAAACGGGAATCAGTGTAGGGTCATTTGAAACAATTTTCCATTACCCTCTTAACATGAATAAGGTGTCTGCGCGGTTGGTACCCCCTCCTTTTGACAAGTGAGCAAAAGAAGCAGAGGGTAGAGTGGCGACTATGGACGAAACATGGATTTATCATTTTGATCAAGAACAAAAAATGTCCTCCAAGCAATGGAAAACCCCTACTTCTCCCTCACCAAAGAATGCAAAGGCAACACCGTCAAGTGGAAAGGTCATGCGGTCGTGTTTCTGGGATTGTGAAGGTATCACGATGACTGACTACCTGGAAAATGGAAAAACAGTCACAGGGGACTACTATTCGGGTTTGTTGATAAAACTGCGGTCCAAATTGGAGAGAAAAAGGCACGGAAAACTCTGTAATGGGGTCCTCCTACTGCATGACAACGCCCCTGCGCACAGGGCACAACAAACAGTCCAGACAGCAGAACAGTGCAGCTATGAAATCCTGCCACACTTAGCTTATACACCAGACCTAGCCCCTTCAGACTTTTTTCTGTTTCCTAATCTTTACAAAAAATCACTGAAAGGACGTCGTTTCCTTGACAACGAGGATGCCATTGAAGCTGTGGAAGACTGGTTAGGTGCCCATTGTGGGTCATTTTTTTCTCAAGGAATTTTTGAAGGTCAAAGAGAGGAGGCAGAAAGGTGTTACTCTGCATGGTGACTATGTAGAGAAATGAAAGTATGTGTGCCAAGTTACAAAGCTGTATCTTTATTCCTTCACATTTAGACCAAAGACTTCTTGAACCCCCCTCGTATTTGGAGAAATGATTGCTTTTTTCATAATTACTCTTCTAAAGTAAAAGCACTTTTAGCGGGATGCAGGTCTGTTTCTTCCAAAGTTAAAGGGACTTGTTTTCACCAGTCAAAGTCTTCTATCCCAGCAGGTGCCTTACACTTGCTAATAAATTTCCAACAAATGGAAGTTTGAGGTTCCTATCTGTAGAAAGTTTGAAATATTCCAATCCTTCATAGGAATATCTTTCAACTTAACATCGGTGATCTAATGAGACTAGGAATTCTGGCTCTGAAATAATCACAATAACATCAAAGGCTTGAATGAATGGTAATCTTCACAAACATTCCCCACAATCCCCCCAAAAAATAAAAGAAAGATATCTCCCTTGTTTTGAGAGTTTGGTAAAAAAAACTAATGCTATAGCTTGGACTACTAAAACTATGCTGCAGTTACCGTGTGAGCAGCCAGGTTCCTGAGGATTGTCTTCATGAGCAGCTCAGCCAGCTGGAGATCAAAGGCTGCATCGCCACCAGTCTCAGCGGGAAAGTCGGACGGCTGATTCTGTGCCAGGCCCAGCAGGGCGGCTATGTGTTGATTGTCCTGCAAGCTTGTCAAGATGATGCCGAGCTGCATGCGCTGGAAGACCACAAACATTCACATGATATACACAGTTATTTTCTCTTTCTTCTTCTTCTTTTTCTGCGCTCCCTTGCTACAGGTCGCCTGTGCCTGTGGTGAAGCAGTCACACGCTTCGCTGCTGCACAGGCAGGGTCAGAAGTTCACTTCTAAATTGATCTAAATTGTGTTGATGGGGAGTAAAAACACTTAAATTAAAATTAAAATATTTTAAAATTTTTGCTACAGGTCAACAGAAGGTGTGCAATTTAAAGTGTTGCTGGCATTATGCGCATGGTTGATTTTCTTATAGGAGAGTGAGACTCGTAGTCTTTTATGCAGCAACAAGCCTTCCTGACAGGTATTTGTAACTTAATACTTACACAAGATATTTTCCAATTTGAGCAGAGACTTATTTTGGACTTTGCATGGTTACTGGTCATAAGATATGGTACAGATTATGATTGACAATTCGAGGTGACCAGACAGTACCATTCTCAACAAAAATTTAGGGGGGGGGGGGTTGTCACACCCCCTGAACCTCCCCAAACTACAACCAACAAAACATGTTTAATATGGCCATTGACAGTCCCAAGCCAAGGGAAAATGTAAACTGATCTTTTTCTCAAGTTCCAAGCCTGTATAAACTGGTAGACCATCATCTTAACCAGAAACATTGTGGTAGACTTTCAACTAAACTGGAACCAAACTTTTTTCTAGCTTATTGAGACTAGCTGTTGTGGAGCAGTCTGCCACTTTGAATATTCAAAACAGAAATCATGAAGAACAAGAATTTAACCCCACATTTCTACAAATATACAGTCAGTTTAAACAACACAGAGAAAGTTTACATTAAAAAAAATTATTATTCTGCTCTGGTGTCCTTATACCCTACCTGTCCCCTGGTCAGCGACTCCCAGCAGCCAGGCCCTTGGGGTAACAAAGAATGCAGCAATTCCATTCTTTCGCGTAGCGGTGGGAGGAGAAGCGAAGCTCCTATTGACAATGTCTCGGCCACAGCCTGTATAAAGAAAGAGTGAAAAATCCACATCTCAAAGCCTTGACTAGAGATTGAGCTACTAACAACATCATATGAAATTACTTGATATCTGTTCACAAATACTTCTCTCGTCCTCTACAAAGATTTAACTCTATACATTGGCAACAGCAATTTGATTGTCTTTTATTCTTCCTAAGCATATCTTTAAATCTGGTTGAACTTATTTTACACCATAATATTTGAAAAAATTAACCTGGAGGGCAGCATTCCTTCAAGCATCTTTCTGAAGTGTGCCACAGAGCAAAAAAGTCTAATTAAACATACAGGGGAAAATGTGAAGGTAGAACGAGAGTAAAAGACATTCATGTAGAACAACAATTTTAAATATAAATTTGACATTGCAACATATTAATAATTTTTTACACATATCTGTCCGCCCCGGTCATAATCAGTCCTAAGACGCAATGTGCTATTTGGCTCGAAAGGCTAAAAAGTGACTTTCAATTAATTATTTTTTTTGGGAAACTATCAAAAGTTTAAAGTCTTCTGCTTCATTTAAGATCAAAATAAAGAACTATAATCGACTATAAATATTTATTTGATTTATTTTGGAGGTGTGTGTGGTTTGTTGTGGGCTTGGGTGACAAGATAAAGGAATTTGGACATCAAACCCTTTCGAACATTTGACATGCTGGTGTGTAGCTGAGAGATGATTTATAAAACCATTACCTCATGGGCACATTGCTTCAACGTCCTTCATTCGCCCCTATTTTTAGATTTAGACCCCCTTTTTCGAGTATGGATGGTCTGAAATATAAACAACTTAGCATCACTACGAACGACTGAGGGCTCTGATCGGTTAAACGAGGTAAGAATGGTAACTCCTAGCCCACTTCAAGCTTGTTCATGTAAACAGTTGACTGTGTAAACGTGCCCTGCTCGCTCAGTTATGGGCTGTTGATCTTTCAGTTTTATGCTTTAAAAGTTCGTTTTTAATGTGTTTTAGTTGTTTTTTTTAGAGATTGATCTTCCTCTAGATCTCCCAAGGTGGACTCCTTACCAAGAGGCCACTGAGGCGGTCTATGTGCATGTGTGTGTGTGTGTGTGTGTTTGTGTATGTGTGAGTGTATATGTGTGTGCACGTGTGTGTGTGTGTGTGTGTGTGTGTGTTCGCCCCGGTGATTAAAGTGCTATTGCAAACGTATAATTAGGAAGTGAAAACACGGCACGTAAGCGGACTCGCAGACTTCCGAGGGCGTGGTTTCGATGATATCGAGGTAATTCAGATCTCTTTTTCTTTGCTCTTTCCCTATAACACACCAAACGTTGTACACCTAGAAAAACTTAATCTTTTTTTCTCGCTACAATAGCATCATTTGTTTGTTTTTTCGAGTATTTAGAGCTAGAGAATCGCCGTGGAAAGCAAAGCCCCTCGCGAGGTCTGCCGGTTAAGAAATTGTCACCTATGCATTCGAAAGTCTTTTCATTGTGCAGATGTTTTGAACAGGGCTTCCCGTAGTATATTTTTGGCCTTTGATGTTTAAATAGAAAGCCTTTATAAAAGCGTACAAGTTTTCAAAGATCATTTTTAAAACGTATTATGTAAAATACCGCATCAAAAAAGGTACCAATAGAAAGAACAGTTTTTTTTCTATTAGAATAAAGTCATCGGCTTGGAATTATTTTGCATCAATCCTTTTGTGAAACTCCGGAGAGCACTCCGTACACTACAGTTAGAGTCGACTCGCTCGGCACAGGGACAGATGCGACGCCGGCCAGGACAACGCTCTGCGTTTAAAAAAAAATCGAAATAACAACAGATCATTGTGTTTGAGGCAATAACATACTGATTTATAATGATCTCACAATCTAGAAAAACAAATTAGGCTCCATTTTTTATGTTATACGGATGGCACTCTGTTAATGTGGAGATTTTTGGTGCATTTGGTACTCTTTTATTATCTGCCAAAAATGGGGTTGCAGCCAGTTAGTGAATTTAGCAATATTAGAAAATATACTAAATTAAAACAGCTGTGATTTTCTTTAAAACTGACAGGGAGGTAAAAGTATAGTACCAAAATTCACAGGAGACACAGGCCTTTCACATGGAACAGATAAATTTGACATACAGCTACTTAAAAAATTTAGTTTCTGGTACCTAGTTGCATTTTCGTTAAAATTTTGTTTTGTCCATAAGCTTTTTTTCTGTATATGAACAGTTTTCTACTTCTTTGTGTTACCTAGTAGTGGCATAGCTAAGATAACTACCAAATTTCAAGTATCTACCTCAATTCTAAGACCCCCTTTGCTATGGAAACATGTTGCTCAACTTCGGCACCTGTTTTCTCCTTTTCATGTTTCTACACCTTGCATACTTAAAAGTCTATTTACTTCATTTTTTTCTCTCCAAATTGTAGTGAAATGGTGATAGTTTTTCAAAATTATGTTAATTAAATTTTGAAATTTCCTTCATAAGACTGATTTTGACAGAGAGGGTCATATACAAAAATAATAAATGACATTTAACCCTTTCGCACTTAGCAGGCTTGGCCAGCTGTGGCCCCCCATCCTTAAGACAAGGGCAACAACTCCACGAAAATTGAAGAGGTACCTTACTAAAAAAATTGTATAAAATCACAAACACAACCAAAAATTATGAAAATAGTATTTTCTGAAGGGAAAATGAATGAGCTAAATTACTAGTACAAAATTATAAGTGGAATAGAAGAGTATGAAATGATATGAGAGGTCTTTCTGAGATGCGTGTCTTGGATTCCGAGTCTAGATCTAGATCTAGATCTAGACCTCGTATACTACATTTCTTCAACTCACGAAGTTTCTGCCACTGACAAAGAGGTAATCCTCACAAAAGAAATACAACACATTCACAGAGATTGAAGCCTCTGGTGGAAACTTGAAAGCACCTAAAAGACTTTTCTTTGGGTGTTTTTATTTTGTTTTTGTCGTACTCATATCGGGCAGCTTTGCGCCCATGCATCCTAGAGACATGATGGCGTGTTTACAACTAAAATCTCCTCCGACTTTTGTTCCCGCTCAAAAAGTGACTCTTTGTGCTAGCGAAACATGAAAAACACCATAGTAAACCGGAACTCTTCCTCTATAAAGATAGCTAAGTTAAACTTCTGACGATAGTAAAAGTAGAAGCCTCCCGCGGCAACGAAACAAACACCCCCGTGGCAGGCGCATTCGGTCGCTATAGGGATGAGCGCTGTAAGTGCGAAACGGTTAAATAGCACTCAACCCGGATTAAAGTAAACAGGCTCTGAGCGCTTTACAATACATACAATGTACCACAGTAACATAAAACGTTGTGTTCTGACTAAAAGAAAATCACTCCAAATATTCATCTTATCAATTTAAAAACAAAAATGACTTCAGCTAACATTTGAATGAATCAAAAACATATAAAACAATATCAGTCAAGAGAAAACTAAGCCTTACTTTTTGGATGGGTTCGGGTGTGTTGGTATCTACGAGTCTGAACAACAGATTCCTCAGAGGCTTAGTCTGGCTACCAAGCACTTCACTGCCCAGACCACATGTCAGAGCCAGTGACAGGTGAGAGGACAACAGGCGCAGGCACAGCAGGACAAACTGTTGGTGTTGCCTGGTAGGAAGAGAGTATGAACGGAGAGCATACATAATATTATCCCAATAGCTGGCGGACTCAAAAGAATCGATCGTCAAGTCATTGGGGGATCAGTGCAAGCATTCTTTGTGAACGGAAGCCTCACTTGTTTACAATGGCGTCTTAGAAGATGGACTTTCCCAAGAGATTAAATCTAAACGAAACAAATGAAAAACTGAAAATTAAACTACAGTGACCTCAGACTCCTCAGTAAAACTGACCACCCTAAATGATTCTGAACCACTGTTAATTTATTCAAATTCGAAAGTAAAGTGGTTCCGAAGTTTTAGGCAGCCAAAGTGACGAACTTTCACAAATATAATATGTATAGATATCGCTGCTGGCTAAATATCCTGCAAGCAACAATCAAATTCATTTCATGAACTTGGTCCTAATTCCTATGCCCACAATGCAGAAAACAGTCAAAAAGAATTCTACTTCATATCATAACATGGCCACATCTAAAAAATACAAGGACTTTCCTGTCTATATTAAATCTACTGACAATTTTCAGCAATTTCTGCAATTAAAAATTTAAAAAGCATGTGCAATTTTCAATGATTCTAATAGCTCTTTAAATTATAAAAAAACTGCCAAACTATTTATGACATCCAACACTTACACATGACTAGCAAAAGGCAAGGGAGGTTCCTCAGCATCAAAACCATCACAGTAGCGTTCCAGGAATGTGTTGAGGACAGCAAACGTTGCCTCTTGAAGATCTACACAGAAAGGGCGATGCCATGCGATAACTTGCCTGTAGAAAAAGAATGACTGTAAATGTAACACAGAAACATGAAAACCAAAAAAAACCAAACCCCTACTAGTATGAACCCAAACTGCAACTGACCTGTTACTCGCTCCCTTCAGATAAAGACAAAGTACACAGATATACATGCAAGCACAATACACATATTCACTCGCTCACAGATACAATTGAAAAAGTTGTTTTCAGTGTCCAAGCAGTAGATATTTACCAATGCCTCAATGGCAATCATTTTTTAATATAACTTAAAATAGATCATGTTTCCCTTTGGGTGAATATGTATGTTTTTATCTTTGCACAACGACAAAAATCATCATTCCCCCCGGGGCAGTGCTACTGACTGAAGTGTCTTTAGGCCATTCCCAAAGGGGAGACGTTTCTCGTTCTTATGCACAGTAGAATTGCAAATGGGCTGATCCTACAATGTCATGCTCATAACTGTGCCTGAACTACAACAGGGAACTGCTGCTTTTTCTTTCCTAATCCTTACTATCGTCATTTTCCTCTGCTTCTTGTGTATATTTGTCACACTCTTGTGACCCGTTATTTCTGGGGTGCCTTGATAGTCGAAGCAGACTTTGTGCTGTTGAAGCTAGTGAGGTGAGCAGAGTAAATCTGATTCCCTGCAAGGACTTCTCTGTTGACATCCACCCCTTGGCACTCAGATGACCTTATGCCGTAGCAAGCCCCGTAAAACCTCTACTAAAACTAAACCAAAAAAAATAAAAAAATCATCAACTTTTTTAGATCAAGGTCTAAAATGACAAAACTTCAAAACTGAAGATCTATCCATATGAACTGAAGGTTGTAAACAAAAATCAAAAGTGAAGAGAAAAGATCAGAGCTACATCACAACCAGAAAGTATTTTTTAAAAATAGGAATAATCATTTTTTTAAAATAAAAGAAAGGACAAAACAAGTTTTTTCACAGCATGCAATTTTCATCTAAAAAATTAGAGGGAGACCTAATTACCTGTCATAGGGTAGGGCTGTGATTGCCACACTGTGTGAAGTTCCAGCAGAAATTTGCTGAATGTGTGCTCCTTCTAAACCAATGACCTTGCGGGGTCTGGTCACCGGACTCTGAGCATGACCTTGGCCACATTGACCCATGGCATTGTTGCCCCAGGCAAACACTTCATTGTCTGGGAAAAGTAACATACACAAGCATAGACCTAGTAAAGCCTGGTACAATATATTAATGATTAATGATACTTTCCCCCGAAAGTCGTCTTCTAGTCAGTAAGATAATACACTAGTCACCAATATTTTACCAAGATCACTTTTTTCCATTCTTTTGAAATGCTTCAAAGAAATTTAAAAAACGTAACAAAAAGCCTGGAAGCATAAAAGTATGAGTTTGTTTTAGATAATTAAATGAATCACTTGACTAGACACCTGGTACAACAGGCAATACATCAAAGCACCATTATTTTGATTGTAAAAGAGTTAAATCCAATTAGATGGTTCAGGAGGCAGGAGTCATTGACGGGTGGGTTCCCAGCTCTTACCATGAGACAATGCAAGGCAGTGACTGTCACCACAGGTGATGTCCATGATGCGAGTGCCCTGGAGGTCTTCAATCAGCTTTGGGGTCATTGCCGTGAAATCAGCAGACCCAAACCCTAAGCAAGAGCCACAGCCCCAAGCATACACCTGGAAAAAAATGAAGACAAGTAAAGTAAGAAGTCAATTGAACCAGTTTCTGCTTTTCTTATTTTAAAAAAAATTAGCACAGTAATTTAACTGAATCACCCCCCCCCCAAAAAAAAACAAACAACAACAACAACAACAATAACCCGAACCAAAATCAATAAAAAATAAACAAACAAACAAAAAAGGCAACCCCCCCCCCCCCAAAAAAAAACAAACAACAACAACAACAACAATAACCCGAACCAAAATCAATAAAAAATAAACAAACAAACAAAAAAGGCAACCCCCCCCCCCCCAAAAAAAAAGCAAAACTGAGGAGCCTTACCCAGGACACCCCACATTTGTGCCACCACAAATGTTAAACTACATACATACCTCCAGAGAATTTTAAGTTGATACACGAGCAACAAAGCATTTACTACATGGAACTAAAAATATTGATAAATACTGATCATCATAATTACCTGTCCAGTGGAGGTCAAAGCAAGAGAAGACTGGCTACTGCAGGCAACTTTCCTCACGTAAAGACCACGCAATGCCTCAATAACAGCAGGTTTTGCTTGACGGTTTGTGTCTCCGTGACCAAGTTTACCTTTATAGAGAACAGGACAAGATAGATTATCTTACTGTGACCTGATATATCAAACCTCGGAATGGCGCTACTGATTGAAGTGTCTTTTGGCCATTCCCAAAGGGGGGACATGAATATGTTCTTATGCACAGTAAAACTGTAAATGGTACATGGGCTGATTCAACAATGTCATGCTCATAACTGTGCCTGAACTGAAACGGGGAACTGCTGCTTTTTCTTTCCTAGTCCTTACTATCGTCATTTTCCTCTACTTCTTTTGTATGTTTGTCACACTCTTGTGACCCACTATTTCCGGGGTGACAGTCGAAGCAGACTGTGCTGTTGAAGCAAGAGAGGTGAGCAGAGTAAGCCCGATTCCCTGTAAGGACTTCTCTGTTGACATCCACCCCTTGGCGCTCATATGACCTTATGCAGTTGTGAACGCCGTAAAACCTTTTTAAATTTAAAAAAAAGGAAAAAATCTGATATATATACATGGGCCACAGGCAATATGATGCAAAATATTCAATGATTGGCAAATGTATTTAAAAATGTAATTAACTTTTTCTTGGGGACAAAAAGAAGTGTACATGTAAAAAATTTTATAATGCCAATTTAAGAAAAATGATAGGTTAAAACAAAAAAACATTGGGGGAAAACAAGCAGAACCTGCCCACAAACATTCCAAAACCCTTTTCATCAAATCTTTATTTTCACATATCTGTATCATATTTTATTTTTTTATATAGTAGAGGGTTTTACGCCGCTCGCAACTGCATAAGGTCATAATATGAACGCCAAGGGGTGGGTGTCAACAGAGAAGTCTTTACAGGGAATCAGACTTATTCTGCTCACCTCTCTGGCTTCAACAGCACAAGGTCTGCTTCGACTATCAAGGCACCCTAGAAATAGCAGGTCACAAGAGAGTGACAAACATACAAAAGAAGTAGAGGAAAATGACAATAGTAAGGATTAAGAAAGAAAAAGCAGCAGTTCCCTCTTGTACATCAGGCACAGTTATGAGCGTGACATGAATCAGCCCATTTACAATTCTACTGTGCTTGAACGAGAAATGTCCCCCCTTTGGGAATGGCCTAAAGACACTACAGTCAGTGGCACTGCCCTGGGGGGTGTACCTGTATCATATGCGTACTCAAAAGAATATAAAGGGACAGATATAACATTTCATAGCTGTATCTTTAAAAAAACCCATCAAAAGTTAAGACTTTATTTTTTCAAATGAATCTGTTAGATACCTCCAAAACTCAAGTATACTGACCACTGTCCCCTCCTCCAAAAGACCAGACTGTCTTCCCGTCCTGAGACAGGGCCAATGTGTGAGAGCTGCCACAAGCCACTTGACCCACTGGGCCAATCTCCTTCACTTGCTTTGGTAAATTTCGGGAGGTTTTGTCCCCGTGGCCTTGTGAAAAAAAATCAGCAGAACAATCCAAACAGTGAGTATGTATTGATTTTATTCAGGCACAATGTGAGGCATCGTGGTGAAATCAGGCACTCGTCAAAATAGTGAAATCAAAGAAAGAGGCAATTTTCATCTCCTTCAGCAATTTGTATAAATTTTTCTTCTTTTTTTTTATCAACACCTTTTATGCCCATTTAAAACAAATTTCTGTGTGAATTATACTGAAAAACTTATCAAAGGCACACAAGTGTATACCAGCAGTTTCCAAGGAAACAACTTTGTAAGTCACCAAACTTAGGCAGCTATTTTTTCATTAATTTTGCCTCTGATATCAGCGACCCCTACCTCCTTTAATCGCATATATCTCAACTTCTATTCAAGATTTAAGGGTATTTTTTTCATTAAATGCAAGAAAAACAAACAAAACATTAAAATGATAGCTATAACTCCATAAGCCCAAAAATTGACGAGCCCCTGATTCCAACATGTCGTGATGCATATAGATTATCACTAAAAATGAAACCTCTGTCTGTACAATCTTACTATAGCCCCCCTTAATATTTAGAAAAGTATTGACACAAGCTACAAGAAGCAGCACAGACAAATTTACCTAATAATATTTCAAAGACAGAGTGGTACATTTTTCCACAGGAAAGACACTTTGGTTACCTTCTTGCCAAAGTAATCATAGCATGTGGAAAACAAACATGCCAAACTTCTATCACAGCTATACATTTTTAATGTAAAGCAAATGCCTTGTGAAAGTAAGAGAGTAGGACATTGAATTCGTTTTACATCAATCAAGAAAGTAAAGCGAACAATATATATTACATGAATACCTTTTAGGGAGCTGTGTTGGTTTTGTTAAGTCAATGAAATGGGTGTGATTTGTGAACCTTCTTCATTTCAACACAACACCTAAACTAAAAAAAACCTCAAAAGACATTCTCCCAGAGACTATGCTCATGAAGTAATTACAGGACTACTACACCATTAAAAGGGGTATGTGGGTGGAAAACCAGGTCAGAAATCGAATTTTTATCGAATATTAAATTTTGATGAATTTCAATTGCTCAAACATTTCTACACGTCGTCATATGATCAGTTATAGTAAGGAAAGTTCTCTTCCTGCCACAAATTGCCCTTGAAATATGTAGGTATAGGTCTTTCCTCTTGTGTTTTGTTGAAAAACAATTCATAAACTGAACCAAGTAACGTCATAATTCAAACAACACATCGCATCTTTCCCCGAGGTGTTTGGTACCCCTGTTTAGCTCATTTTCCACTGTTTGTGTTTCTGGAATCGACATGCAACAGGAAAATTTGATTTATAAAGTGCTTTTTAAGAAAAAATGTTTTTTAACAGCCCTACCCCCTTAAATTGCCATTACTGTGAGTAAACTAAAGTGTAGAAGCCGTAAAATCTTTGAAATTGCTTTAATTGAAAATCCGTGTTGTACGAATTTAGATCTTTGCTTTATATCCTCACAAAATTTGAAGAAGACTGGTGTACAATCAATGGAGCAATAAACTTCTTAATTGATGAATTTTCGTCATTTTGCTACCATTATCTGCCTGTCGGCTAACAACTGTAAAAAATGTGAGTTTTGAATCTTTTTTCTCAATCTCTATACCACCAAATGTGTAATTTTAATGTTAAAGCAAGCATGAGAGGCCCTCATTTCAAGATACAAATATCAGCCACATATTCCCTTAATTAACTTACTGTACTGGCCATTCCATAAGTCTAAAAAATCATCAATCTTGAAGCCATACCTAATCGCATGTAATCCCCTTCACCCCAAGTGTACAACTCTCCATCCACTGTAACAGCAGCACTATGTCTATAGCCAGCTGACATGCACTTCACCACCTGAAACATACAACAACAAAAAAAGCAGTTGACACCATCTGCAAATAAACCGACTTACATGCAAGATAACAAGTCTACTTAACTTTCGTCCAAATCTTTCACAGCTGTTTTTATGAGCTTGGCCATATTGTAGCCTTTACATATCATCAAAAAACTTGCTAAACAAAATGACGTGATGAATTTTTATTCAAACTAAACTATGTTGTAACAAGAAAATTTTCAAGCTTAAGCTATTCATTTAACTTTTCAAGTTTTTAACCCACATTGTTAAACTACCTTACATTTAACAAAAAAGATTACGTCAGATGTTTAAATACGTTGAGTAAAACAAGGTATGTGCTGAAATGTGCTGAATCATTCACAAAGAAAACTTACCTTTTGAGCTAGTGGACCTTGGATAATTTTTGGGAACTTTTGTGTGTGGTTTCCACCCAAACCCAGCTTACCATAATCACCTAAGGACAGAAACAAGTAATGAAATGAATATGATGTATATCATCCTCCTTTGGCAATCTAGGAGCATTATTATTAAAACTGTGAACTACCAGTAATCAACTTATTTGTTAGAAAGGAAAAAAAAATTAGGCACCACTACCTGACATGCCTTCAAACGCATGACATACATAGGTCAAGCAAATGCATTTTTCAACTTAAAAATTCACACCTGACAACATTGCAGTGTACAAAAGTTTTAAAAGACAACAAAATCTTTTATTGTACAAATATACGCATGAACCTGTGTTATTTACAAAATTTCAGCTTACATAATAAGATGCACTTTGGAAAAAGTCTTTTTCTCAATCCTCAAACACTTTTCCTGCATGAACCGCTTAGAGCTGCTGCTTACCATCTCCCCAGCTGAAGAGTTCTCCTTCTGTGGTAAGAGCCAAGGTGTGACCATCAGACCCTTTGGAGGATGAAATCTTCTTCACCACCCTGGGTGGGTCAAAGGCTAGTTTGCGAGGGGTGGTCTGATTATTGGAGTCTCCAAGGCCCAGACGGCCATAGCTTCCCTTCCCACAAGCACTCACACTGCCATCAGGGTGCAGGAGGAATGAGCAGAACTGGCCAGCTTCCACCTATACCCCAGACAGAAGGAACAGATTAACTTTGTAGGTTTTTCATGCACACTTTAAGAACCTTAGGAATCATTAAGATTGTCATTTCATTTGTGCATGGGATTATCAACTCACACAAATGCATTATCTACCCAACAGATATATGTGTGTCTGAAAGCTATACAGTAGTCTCCGCCTAAGATTTCACCACTTAAGATCCCGCTATCATTAGAAAACACAATTTTTACAATATAAAAGTCACACGAAAGATCCCGCTCTGATTCACTCTGAAGGTCCACATTTTGCTAAGATCCCGCATTTCAGATAATAATTTACAAAACAAAAACGCAGGAGGGCACAGCTGATCAACCAAGAGTGAAAATTTGCAATTACTGAACTGCCCATCACATCACATATCAGCCACTCACTTGAATGTGATTACATGTGCGTTGTAAAACTCGATGAAACGGTACAAGGTTTGCCCCAGACGGGATCATACAAAGGTGTGAACTGACCGACGCGTTTGTTTCCCCCAAAACATTGCACTTGCATCTGAGCTCTGCACCTAAACTTGGATCACTTCCAGGGTGGGTAGGCCGAGCAGGATCACATTGAGCAGTGTCAGCTAAGATTCCATTCGCCTAAGATCCCACATTTTCCTTGCTCCCGAGCATCGGGAGCTTTAGGCGGAGCTATTGTATTCAATTGCTTACAGAACTGTGAGTCTTCAACTGATTACATTCAACATTGAGGAGCATTGGCAAAAAAACATCCCCACCCCACCCCCCCCAAAAAAAAGACAGCCATAACGTTACTATTGCAATCTACTTTTTCATTTTCCTTGAGAAAACTTTTACAAAACCATATTTTCCAAAATTCTATTTTTTCATACATTCTTTGAAGCAAAAAAAAGTGCCCTTTTTTACTAAACTTGAATGAAAGTCCCTCACTTGTTGACACTCAGCAAAGATAGATGTCAGTTTTGGTGTAAGTATTTTTTCCTGGTTCCCCTCAGCCAGCTGGTGACTGCTGTTACTGCCCCAGATGTAGACATCTGATGGATGACTCTGTCCCGGCTTGTGGCTGCCTGGCACAGTTCCAGAGCTGCAGCCTGTCGTAGGGCTATTACCAGTATTTGTATACTCCTCTGCTGCTGAGTGGAGCTGGGAAAAGCAAAATTCTCCTTCGATGAGATGTATTTTATCTTTGAAGCTTTAGATTTAATATGTTTGTTTCAGTAAAGACAAGTACATTTATGTAGTAGCGACCATTTAGTACAGAGAGAAAAGCAAGATAACAGACATAAAAACAAAAAAACAGAGGAGAAGAGCAAAAGCAGGAACTACCAGTCGCACACTCCAGCCACCCATGAGATTCGGTTCGAACAGCATATACAATAGAAACACAGAATCTAACTGCTAGATCATAAACAGCTCTCGCTTAAACTTTACCCTCATAAAATTGCCATACATGATGAATTCAATCACAAGAGTACTAAAGCTAATTTCTCCATAAAAATAGTTTCACTTGTTTGCAACTTCTGAATCTGTTGGACAATACCACAAAGTGGTTATTTTTAGTACAGAGTGAGCATAAATTTCCATGAACCAGAAAAAAACAACATATTTCTGAGTTACTAACAGCAGAAAGGAATGTTTACTTTTCTTTGAGCACTGAGAGACCAGGTGCACAAAACTTTCAAAGAAATGATGGAGAAAGAATTATGATCATTTGGAGACAAATGGGAAAGCTTCAAAACACTAAGTTCATATCAATGCATCAGCACAAAAGCAGACAATACCTCTTCCATCAAAAACATGGCTGCCTCATACATTGGTGAGGTTCCATCTTCATCAATTGAGAGTGTCGTTCTAGGAACACGTGTTGCACCACCCTAAAGTTTAAAAAATAGCATTATATTAAGAAAAATTTGAGAACATATCGAAAGGGGGGAAAAACATACATTAACAGCTATATCTATTACATTACATTCTTCCCATCCAGCCTATGTATGAACATTCAAGTGCCAAAACATTTTCTTGAAACACTCATGCTATCAGTGTACCTTGTTTGGTTGTTTATAAACTTCCAATACAAATGATCATTTCTGGAGTATCAAAGATGAAAGGGAAGGTGTGCATCAGAGGCCGAGACCATCAACAAACTGCACACAAAAAATTCCTCAAATTTTCGTCATCACCAAGCGCCAGATCTGCAACAGACACTGACGATCATTGTTTTCCAGTCATTCCTTTGATTGCATGCTCTCAGCTACATTATCCCGATCTTTCCCCATCACCCACTTGTTTAGGCTCTCCAAGTAAGTTGCTCTGGGTCCACCCCTGTCTCGTTTGCATTCAGCTTTACCAGTAAGAGCTAGATGTTAAGGCCTTTATGTCTGTTCAAGTGTCCTAGAAAGTGCATTTCCTTCCAGATGGTTTTTATCATGAGCAGCTTGGGAGGGAATAATTAAATTCTATTTATTGATAAAAATTCAGCATTTTCTCAAAACTACAAACTGGTTGGGTTTTTTTTGCCTAGTCCAAGCAAAAACTAGATTTCACTTTCACTGGGGATAGGTGAAAACATTTAAATAAGCAAGGGTGGGGTGTTTGAAAGACATTCAAGCAATCATTGAGGAGGCAAGAAACAAGAAGTTTTGAAATCAGAACACACATTATCAACTGGCAGAATAGGCAGAAATAGCAATCGGGTTGATACAGTGTTGAACTCTACAACTCTGTTGTTTAAATACAAGAGCTGAAATAAGCAGTTTGAGAAAATAGCATGACAATGGCAAAAGTTGTGACTCTATCTATTGTGGTGGTGGTTGGTACTGGGGTATTGGGGGGAGGAAGAGGTGGGGTCTGGTTGGAATCAGTTGGAGAGGCTTGGCTTCACCAAAGTTAAGATGCTAGTGTACATTTTAACTGGACTCACCGTCTTCTGAATCATTTGGGCTAAAAGTGCCCTGAAAAACGTGGTGCTGAGCCTTCCATACTTAGACCCAGCCCCACGTTTCTGCTCTCCTTGAGCTGTTGCAGATGCATGCAGAGCCAAGTCAACCCAACCTAGCAAGTGATGTAGTAGACCACGCTGCATAGCCAGTGACAGCATCAGCTGCGATGCCAACTGTTGACCGTTAAGATCGGCCCCAGACTGAGGAGTGGCAGCCAAGCGGAGAAACTGGGTCACTGCATTCAGGGACTCTGTGCCTGCAATAAGTTAAAGCAAAATGGAATAGAACTATTCAAGCAAAGATATATACATGATATAATTGACTTTCATTGGCATTAAAAACATGCAACAAAATCAAACCTTTTCGTGGAATCTCCCTGCATAAAATGCAGTAAACAGATATAAAATTTGCTTCAGATGGAAACAGGTACAAGGAAATCAGACAAAATTGCTATCTTATTTGACAACAAAATATTATCATTGAGACTTTGCAGAATGAGCACAACACTGATTCCTATAAGAGAACCAATAAGGCTTCTGTTGAGGAGGAATAAGGTGGTCTTTAAGTCAAACAAACAGGGTGCTCCCAACAATGCCTACATTACTGTCAGCTTTTATTATTTTGTTGTTTGTTTGTTTTTTCTAAACAGCAATAGTGCATCACAAAAAAGGCATCAAATCTATAAATCTATAATGCCTGTCTCTCCATCTGGAGTGGTTCGAAATGTAGACGAGTAAGCATCTGAGAGTCAACTAAACTCTTATGATCAACTACAGTTGAAGGATGACAACAACACAAAATATGAATGAAATCCAAGAGACCAGCATTTGGAGTAGGGTTTTTCTTATGTTGTTAACAGTAGGGCTGTACGGTTCTTACCCATCCCTGCCGGGCGCTGAATTTGTCATGAAATTATCACAAAATGTTGTGGTACATCCACAAATAATAGAGAATGATGCCCGGAAAAAGAAAGAGGACAAAGAAAAGAGAAGGGTATGAGGTGAGAGGGACTACTAGTAAGAACTAGGAAAGAAACAATATGCAGCGATCTGGATGGTGGACAGGGACTTTTAGTCTTATTTCAATATTTCCACAACTCACCAAGAGATGTGAGCTTGTTCTCATTTGCCAGGGATAATGGCGGCAAAGAAGAAACAACATCCAAGGCTGTGACTAGGACATCGTTGCAGGAAGACATCTGCCCAGATGCTGCAGCCAGTGCCCAATTTTGGTGGAACAAAGAGAACAGCATGCTGAGGCCAGTCTTGACACCAATCTTGATGAGGGCATCGCTGCCAGATGGACAAAGGCTCTCCGAATGCTCTGACCCTTGGCCCTTTTTGCTTTCATTGGAGGCAGCTTGGGAGACTGCGGGTGTCTCAAGGATGGCGTGATACTTTTGTGATGTCGCATAATAGATCCTCTGGAGCACTAGCACCCTTTTTAACAAAACCTGAAATTGAAAGTCAGACCATGTGTATAATGCTTGCAATCATCAAACTCTCAGATTTTATAAATTTTGTGTACCAGCTTGGCATAAATTTTACAATAAATATACAAAACCAGAGCTGTGGAACAAAAAAGGTCATAAAGAAATTAAATTCCCCAGACAAATTTTCCCCGTTTGCTGTGGCTGTCATATTAAAGAGAGATTCTGAGCAGGACGAATCAGTAACTTGGTACAAGATAAAATAACAGGTGATACAGAATATGATGGTCTCAGACAGTCAGAAAAAACTATATGGTGGACAAAGACAAGAAGCAGTACAAATAACCTCATATCCGATGACATGGGATTTAATAAAGGGAGAAAGAAACCCTCTTTTTTACTTATTAAATGAACAATACACATTGTACCAAACGAACAAAGCACACTGTATTAAATTAACAATGCACTTCGTGTTGAATGAAGAGTGCATATTGTAAAGAATGAACATGTACCAACTCTATTTTTATTTGTCAAAATAAGAGAAACAAGTACTTATGCTGAGCAATTAGTACAGCTTGAAAATACAGAGGTGCGAAATCTCTTCTGAAGAATTAAAATGAAAATCCTTTGTCATGAATAAGAGTCATGCATATGGAAAGGCTACAATACATTTCATTCGTGTGGCTTTAGATGTTTGTATAGAGATAGGTCATCCTGTTCATTACCTCAGTAAACACAACTGTTGAGCAGTTAATGAGTGCCAGGGTTTTAATTGAAATAGATGACCAGATGTATGACTTATAAAGCATTTAATATACTGCTCACCTCACATAACACAAATGTGAGGCAGTGTGGGTGAAATCAGGCGCTCGTCAGAATAATCAAGAAGAAGAAACTGGAATTTATTTTGCCGTAGGTTTGTGAACTTTTATTGAATTTTTGTTTTTTGGCTAACACCTTTTATATATGCCCATTACAGAACACATTTCTGTATGGATTTTACTGAAAAATGTTGATTAAAGGCACAAAAAAAAGTACATTTTCAGTTTCCACGGACTCTCAAGCTGAGAAAATAACTACTCTTTGGCGGCCATTTTCTCACTAATTTTACTTCTGAAACCAGGTACCTCCTTCATTCGCAAATATCTCAACTTGTATTCAAGATAAATGAATATTTTTTTATCCATAGCAAGACAAACTCTACATGCCCAAAAATTGACAAGAGCCTGATTCCAGCACGTGGTGACACATATATTCAGCAGAATGAATGATGCATGATAGCATAAAACATTAACATACCTGAGCAAATGGAGTGTTGCTGCTTACAACCTCTGCCAAGAACAACTGGTTTGACAACAGGGAATCAAGCAAATGTTCCTGTTCATCAACACTGAAAGCATCAGAAGCAGAACTGAAGTCTGGCAGCACTGAACCCTTTAAAAAGATAGCTTGTGGGGGTATGTGGACAATCTCCTTGTTGGTGATGAGGCGTTCATAAAGCTCATCGAGGTCCTCCTTCAAGGTCAAGCTTTCACAGTCTTCCTCAACCCAAATGGAATTGAAGTGCTCAATCCATTTGAATTTGAATTTCTGCAGAGCCATCCTGCTCCCCCAATGACCCTCTCAAGACCTGCAAAACCAGGGCAGTAAAATATTATTTACTCAAGACCCTTTCAAGCCCTGCGGAAAAAAAAGGCTAAATGAAATCAAACCGCGACAACTATGGAAACGTTTTTTAAACCCAATATCTTTCATAATACAACAAGACCAATGGTCCTTCTCTTAGGCGAGCAACAAAATGCGAAGTCTTTATAGTCTAATCCTACATTTTGGATTTAAAGACTTTCTCTTGTTGTTGTTGTTGTTGTTAGCGATCCAGTAGCATCTGAGCGTTAACTCTTCTGCATGATGCCTTTCGGTAATAGTTGCATGTTTGTTCTAATTGTTGTCTTGAGGAGTAGAGGCAATTAGATGTGTGGGGTAGCTTGGGAAGAAAACATCCCCTTAAATCAGTTAGTTTTCTACAGAAGAACAGATGATGTTCCACTGTCTCTGAGGGGTAGTCACATAGTGGGCAGGCAGCAGACTGCTTTACTCCAATTCGGTTGAGATGTTGGTTGAGGGGTACATGTTGTGTTCTAAGTTGGAAGATTATGGATTGATCTCCCCTCCTCAACTCATTGATTGGATCTTTGACCAGTGGTTTATTCATGTGGCCATACATCCTCCTTCCTGTCGTACCTGTGGCTTTCTCTTCAGACTGAGAAAGATTGTTGTCTGACCTTAGAAGTCTGTGACATTCTATTACTTTTCTGTTCATTCCCCTGCTACATCACAAAAGGGTAGTCAACTGTTGGTTTTTCAACCTGCAGTGCAACTAATTTTGATGACTATTTTTCCTACTTCATTTAATAGGGCCCCTTGCCTTCCGACAGCCACATTTGATTTCGAAGAGGTACTCTTTTTTATACTGACTGGTGGATTTTCAGGTGGCCGAAGCCAACTCTCATCAATTTTAGGATCACTAAAGGATCATTAATGTGTGCAACTAGCACACAGGACCTACAAGATTTTTTACTCGTACCAAAGAAGGCAAAGTATTAGATTTTACCAACCCAAAGATCACGGGTGTGGCTGAAAGACAGTAAGCAATAAAAAAGAAGCCAGGAATAGCAATACAGAAAATGTCAGGAGTAACGGTGAGAGAAGCAGAGAGGAGGGGTTGGGGGGATGAGAGAAAGTGGTGATGTAAGTGGGTGACAGAACAGGACAAGGAGGAGGAAAGGAAGTCAAAGGAAAGCATTTTAGAGAAGAAAACTTCTTTGTCCCTATTGTTGGTTCCTATGTATTTTTAAAATTCTGGTGATGTGAGATTTGCGTGGCTGACTACGACAATTTTTTTTTCATTGGTTGATAAAATAAACCGGTGCCGTTGTTCTAGACAGGTGGTCTTCTTGTGTTATGACATTATAGAAAAAATGCAAGTGAGGAAGTAGGGTTTGATGAGAGGGAAGTGGTCCATACTAAATACAGATGGTCCAAGACAATCACCTCTGAACAAACAACCACTACCCCTTTACCATTATACGATGACATCATCCAAAAACATCCACCTGTTTTAAGACAACCACTTCGCCTTTAGTATTATTTTACTCTCACTCCCCAGTCAAAAATACAGCAGTTTAGGCCTCAAAACTGCAGTGCATCTGAATTTGAATTTGAAAGGAGCATAGAGATGAAAGTAAAAATTACAGACCACCACTTTTTAGTATTATTGATTAATTGGACCCATCTTGTGTTGACTGCTGAAGCAATGTTTTTTGTAGGTTTTATGGCACATTATAAACGACTATGATATTCGAAACAGTCACAAATACAAGATATCTGTACTTCTATTGGATGTTTATCTAATGAATTTTTGCTTACTTATACACCAAGAAACGCTGATGCGCAAGCGTAGGGTCAAGTGTCAAAGAGTTTTGTGCATACACACGTCTTTCACTCTGCCTGTCACACTGCTCATGAGCAACCATTTTACTGCTCATGAGCAACCATTTTACTGTGCATGAGCAACCATTTCCTTTTAGTTTTTAACTTGTAGTCTTGCCTTCTGAGTTGTGATGAAAATCATCTGAAAACTATGGATTCCTGCCAGTCGTGCACCTTCAACGTATTTCTAGGCCATTTCAAGATTCTACAAAGACAACCAGAAAAGTCATGTTTTTTTTACGTTTGCATGGTGTTTTGCTGAAGCAAGTTGTGTTCAGACAAGGAGCAGTGCGAGTTAATAAGGTAGAAAGTAAGGGAGCTTTTCAAAGGGGCTTTACCTTTGCCCAATTGAAACTTGAAACAAATAGGTTCACAATTGGGAGTTATAGGTATAGGAGGCTTGCCCATCGTATTTTCCAACATTTAGGTTGATTTGCAGTGATTTTAATGGTTCATGAAATCAAACCACAAAACATCAGAAAATCACTGATTAGCTCACAGTGTACTGTATGAGATAGGTCCACTACTGCAAAAGGAATACCAGTCATTTTGTCACACAGTCATTTAGTCACACCGGTGCAGTCAAGACGTCACACCCCAAATCCACAATGTTGAACGAAGACGGTCCTTTGATAGCACACTTGCGAACATTGAACGCCCATTGTCATGGCAATCGCAAATCACGATTTTGGGGGGAGGGTTGGGGGTATGTGTGGAAGGAGGGGGGAGGGGTGTGAGTCTGGATCGTTCCTACCTGATCAGGTACACCGTTTAATAATTATATAGGGCCTAATATGTAGGCTTATTAACAATATTGAAATCTATCTGTTGGGCGCGATCTGTCGATTTGCGCGATCCATTGATCGCGCAGCCCATTTGGTAAATCGAGGAAATGCGCGACAATCCATTGATTGTAGCGCATTCTGTTGATCGGCGCGCAGCACTTTTTGTCGATCCGTTTGGTTGCGCATTCTATAAATCTTACCCCTGAGTTTTGTTATGTTTTGTTGTCGTCCAGAGTGTAATTTACTTTCACTTTCCAAAGTCAAACCGAAATTGAATGGAAGTAACTTGAAGTCAAGGTTACAATAACTTACTACATCGCAATAACGGAAGTTGAAATCAGGGTTATAGTATTATAGGTCGGTGAGTATCACTCCGAACACTTATTCAATATGGAGCGGTTCACAGCGATAATGGAGAAAGAAGTGCAGTTGTTATCTAAAAATCCTGGGTCTGCATTACTGACAAAGTTTGACATGATTGTTAAACATTTGAAGCAGCCAGAAAAAACCCACTGATGCCCATTTTTGACATTGGGTAAAAAAAAGCGATTTTCCTTGATGAACATGCCAGGCATTGGTTTGGTTGACATTCTGGTGGTCCCAAACGAAAAAGGCAAGGTAAGACCTATTTTTCAATTTTCTTAATGTAGCTTTACGACTTATATCCCCATACCCCCTTTTGAGCATAGGCTAGTACTAACTCTGTCTGCTATATTTTTTATTATTATGTAACTATTGCAGCTGATATTGTGACTATTGTTAAGATATCTGTTGTTTTATCATTATTATTATTATATTGGTTACATTACATCGCCCAGGACATTTTATTGTAAAAACGACAATTTTTTTATTAACCAATATTTATCAACCAACGTCAGTAAAAAAAATTGTTTTAATAAAAAGGGCATGGCACCCAAAAAAAGAAACTTAAAAGGTTTTTTTTTCCACAGGACGCAGGTTCTGCAAGCTACTTGAGAGTGCTCCATGGTCATCAGCGTTCTGCTTGAAATTCACGCTACTGAGCTAAAGCATAGCGGTTATAAAAAAGTGCTTGACTTTTCTCAAAGACATTATCAAGGAACAACTAGAGGTTTTGTTCAGAAAATCTGCTCACAATGCCCAACATGTCAGCTTAGTGCGCCACAAATTACCAGACCTCCCCTCAAGCCAATGGTTGAAAAAGACTTCCTTGAACGCATTCAAATTGACCTGATAGACATGAGACATAGCCCACATGGAGATTACCACTACATAGCCCATTTTATGAATAATTTTTTGAAATTCCATGTCTTGTTTCCTTTGAAAATAAAGTCGGCACTCGAAGTTGCTAGGTTACTGGAAGAAAGAGTTCTGGCATATTTTGGACCTGCCAAAATGTTTCATTCAGACAATGAACTAGAGAATTCGTCAAACAAGTCATGAGGGCTCTTTTTAAGTCATGGGGCGGTCAAGTGACTTTTGTGAATGGTAGGCCTCGACATTCACAATCCCAAGGCCTTGTTGAACGAGGCAATAGAACAATGGAACAGAAACTTGCTGCAATGAAAGTCAACGAAGGTTGCGACTCGAATACACATATCATTGGGCAAAATGGCTTCCAAGGATTATGTTCTCTTTGAACACAGAAGTGCAATGCACTACAAATGAGCTCCCATACAAAGTTGTCTTTGGGAAGTCTCCACCAACAGGGCTTTTCCCTGGGGCAGATTCAACAATTGAGGAGGAAGACTTAGATGAGTCACACCAACTGCTGCATGCAGAGACCAATTCCCACACCACAAAAAAGGCTGAGGCTAGAACTAGAAAGTAATGTCACTAAAGAACCAGACCAACCATCACAGTTGTCTGAAACAGAGCCACCAACTCAGCATTCTGAGGAAGATTCAGAGCCACCGCCACAGCATCCCAAGTCTGAACCAGAGTTCAACAGGCATACAGTTGTGCGAAAAAGAACCTACCGAAAAACTGTTGATGCAGCTAAACGAATGGAGATATTTAACAACAACACAAAAAGAGTAAAAATCGCAAGCTTTAGTGTAGGTGAAACAGTTTCCCTAGCAATACCAAAACTAGACAGGGCATCTACAGATCTAAAACGATTGCCTGCAATAATCATTCAGGTTCATGGACAGAAGAGACCGTTGTATTCACTAGCCACAAAATATGGACGCCTAAAATCTAAACTTTTTTGCAGGTGACCTAGAACAATTCACAGGTGATGTTACACCAAACCTGAAAGAGGAAATCACTCTTCGAGAGGCTGCAAAAAGGCATCATCCAGAGAATTTATTCACAAAAAGCTTTAGTAACTGAGTGTCAGGTTGCAAATCAAAACGACGTCCGTGTCTAGTAAACAACATACATGCTCGACACACTGCCATTCTTCAACAACATGTCAAAACAAAGATGAGCCAAAAAGTGATGCAAGTGGTCAAGTTTTATCTGACAAAGACACTACAGATTTAAGATGTCCAACAGTGTACTTGAACGATAACCACATAAATGCTGCGCAAAATATTCACGCCAGCAGTACCCAGAAGCAAACGGACTGCAGGACACGTTGCTACAGCAAAACTCGTCATTTAATGTGCAAACCCGTTCTTTTATACAAATATTCCACACACTATAATCATTGGATAACAATTGCAAAGAACGACAATTTAAGCAGATTAGGATATATGATTCCCTTTGCCAATTTCTTGCCAAAAAAATTATAGAAAGCGAGGCCAAATACATACTTAGTGATGACGATATGATTGAGTTTGTTCTCATGAACAATCAACTACAGGGTTCTTTTCCAGATTGTGGTGCATTTGCTGTGGCATTTGCGAGTTTTGCCACATCACTGCTGTGTGGAGAAGATCCCACACAACTCGAGTATGACAAATGTGAAGTTTGACAGCATCTGAGATGGTGTATCAAAACTAAGAACTTTGTGGCATTTCCAAGTCGCCCCAAGTCTAAATTAGAAATTTACTGTGTTTGCCGTTGACAGACGATGGAAACCTGATGTTAGAATGCAAGGAATGCAATCTCTGGTTCCATGCCAAGCGCGTAAAAGACTAAAAACACAGCGACAACATAAAGAAGCCGCCAACAGTTGGTTCTCTTGTTCAAGGAAACAATAAAGAAAACAATACTTGTATATATAGCCCCCCTGGCAACAATAATTTAAAAACACACACACATAATTGTAACATGAGCGGACCATGAAGCTAAGTGGACAATCGGGGTAGATCTGAGTTGGTTGGAACAGGCGGAGCCTTGCTTCACAGCACTCGCCAAGTCGCGAGTAGGGCCGAGGGGGTTGCAATTATGCAAATGAGCTCTTGTGTGCATCTCGCTCCCTCCATTGTACTTTGCCGGATCAGGAGTAGGCAGAGTCGGCCTAGCGAGCAAATAAGAATAGTGGACCATGAGATTAGAGACCAATTTTAAACCTCAAGGTGTCAGTAGGGTCGTGGGTCAAAGAGCACGGTGGCATGGTTGTGATGACCGAAAAACCCGGTAAGAGACGTCAGTCGGTTGTTGCCAGTCAAAGGATGAGGACGTAGTAAAACTGAGTAGGAGAGTGAGTAGGGGAGCTTGGAAAGGAAAAATAGCAGGCCACAGGCACCAGGGGCGCCATGTAGCGAAAGCAGTTCAGACCGGTGGTCCGATAAAGTACAAGGCCGTCGTTATTTGGACTCGAGTCCGAATAACATTTTTTCATATTCGGACTCGAGTCCGAATAAACCCGGAAAAAAGGAAGTGTCTTCATTCTATAGATTTAACGTTCAGTGCTTCCAATTTTTCGACATTTTTTAGTTTCCCCCCACACCTTTTCTGCCGATCCGATGCCCGCTGCCTCACTGATACGCGCCCCCCACCCCCCATGTTTCCCACTTTCTTTGTTGTAGAAAAAGGTAAATTTGAAAATTAGCAGACCACCTGGCACCTGCATATTATGAGCTGTGTAAAAAAAAAAAAAGACCGATTCGTTCAAATACACAAGCCTGTGTCATATCGATTGTTTACCAAGAAAAAGTTGTGTTGCTGTGTGGAGCTGAGCATACGGCAACTTTTGATTCCATAGACCAGCGCACAATTCATTACGTAGATCTACGTCAAGACTAGCTTATTATTGTAATAATGATCAGTTGCCGGGGGGGAAAAAGACTGACGCGTATGCGACGTTCAACGCCCGACCGATAATGCCCCCCCCCCCCACACGCACACAGCCACACGTGTGCTGGCCGCCCATCCAACCCCGACACACGCTAACGAGCCATCTTTAATTGCTTCTGATGACCTCTTGACAAATAAACATTTATTAGAAGCGCTATAACTTTTCAGGCCGGCCTCAAATTCATCATAAGATTAAAACTCGGCTCCTGCACAAAACACCTTTTTGCCCGAAGTGATCCTGGTCTCTACCCAGCCTGAGGCGAGTCACGAGGGAGGCAGGACAGGAAGCCGGATTCACGAGTCAGGAAGTCGGAACGTGATGTCATGCTGGACAAGAATCAGAGTCCGAATAACATTTTTTCATATTCGGACTCGAGTCCGAATAGTCACTTCGAAAGAACAATCTTACCTGACCGTGTGAAAAAATGACCTGTAACCTGCAAAGTAAGCCTGAGTGCCTCTACTCTCTTAGCTCTACACCTTACTTTTCTCCTCAGCCTCAGTCAACACAACAAAATGGGCGGCCGTCTTAGACAATTTCGGCCTAGATCTAGATCTATAGGCCTTACATGCCTTACATGAACAATCAAAATCAAGTAAGAGTAGGCCTACGTGACCGTTCTACACACAGTAGTCTCAGTGTCAGTGACAATGTGAAGTAGAGGGAACGATCTTCGAGCTGCTATAGAATAGCATAGGCATAGGGTGATCTTGTAGTTCCGTTGGTTTAAGTCCACGACCCATTTGTTTACATCCAGAGAAGAAATCCAGAAGTCTTGATGACCAAATACTCTTTGAAATAGGCTGCACAAAGAGCAGGGATGCAACCTAACTTTAAAACATCACATTAGGAAAACATTCACGGGGGCATGCCCCCCTGAACCCCCCAACCTCCATATTTTTATTAGTTCAGGGGGGCACCCTGAAACCCCCCATCTCTTGACTTTAACGAACGAAAAACTACAAAATCGCCTATGATCCGAATAATGGACTACAGGAGATCGTTCCTTAATAAGGTGTTGTGGAAAAAGTAACCTTACTTACAGAACATACAGCAATGCAGGACAATTTAAAGCCACGTTAGTTACAGCATCTTCGGTTCTCTACCAGTACCACTCCAGCGGGTATTAGCACTTTGCAGTTTGCAGACTAAGCTAGGCCTAGATCTATTCCAAACGACTGCGAATCAATAATACCAATGACAGGGAAATTCTAAACATTCACGAAGATGGCCGAGTAGCCAAATAGTATGAGTGAGATACTTTTGGACTTGGATTCTCTTAATGAAAAACGCATTGCAACTAATTTTATTTAGCAGTTATCCTAGAAATATTGTCAAACTCTATACTTTTAAAGGAATGAAAAGCGTTAAAATACACAACTATAAAAATCCACTATTTTCATATTTTTGGTGTAAAAAAAAGTGGCCAAATTGCCAATTGCCAATGGCAAATTAATGACGTCAGATAAATGTCTATAATGACTTCAGCGAAAAAATATCTATAAAAATGCGTCAATCAAAGATAAGAACATTATCATACTCCATGAATATTACTTTTGGCGTCACGGGAGTTATCGAAGATGATTATAGAATGGCATTTTGGAACGTATCCAGTACACAGTATAGGCTACTTGGATATTCAGACACGCTTTCTAGAGAGGAAAACCAGTCCGAGAAGATTATTTCTCACACAGTATTGGTTCCTCTCTAGAACGTGTATTCATTTTAACATAATAATAATAATAATAATAATGATGATAATAATAATAATAATGATGATGATAATAATAATAATAATAATAATAATAATAATAATAATAGTAATGATGATGATGATGATGATGATGATGATGATGATGATGATGATGATGATGATTATATGGGGGCAAGGAAAATACGGGATCTTAAGCGAATGGGATCTTAGCCGACGCACCAAGGGGAGAATCCACGGGGGCTCAGCATGTTCAGGCCCACAATCAGTAAAGTGATCTCCCCAACTCTGAAATGAACTGACATGACCCCTGTGGTGGGTTTATGATATTATATTATTATGTCGGGTTACCCTTGATAACTATATAATCACAATAGCATAATGAGGCATGCCATATATTTACTTATCCAGTTGTGACTATCAAGATCTACGCTGATCCTATTACTCCTCTCCTTTACTCTACCTGTCCAACATGTATCACTTCCCATCTCTGACCGAGTTCCTTCATCTCTGTCTTCATTAATGCATCACTGTGCTGGAATAGCACTCCACCCGGCGTCTTGCGAGTGGGACTTGCAGCTTAATCAGCCCTACCTGGATTTCTTTTTTTTTTTTTTTTTTGGTAAGTGTTTTGCGGCGCTCGCAACTGCATAAGGTCCCATGAGCGCGCGGGACACACCTAATACTTTTAGTTGGTAGGAAATTTTGAATTTTGCCCGGATGGCGGTCGAAACCTAGTCTTATCGATTTAAGACCACCAAGGGATCTTTAACGTGCGCAACTTGCACACGGACGCTCCGATGTTTTTCGCCCTTGTCCAAGAAGGCTAGGTGTAGATTTTTCCTACCAGAAGATCAGGGGTGTGGCAGAAAGACAGCTGTAAGAAGGAGCCAAGGAGTAGCAGTAGAAGGGCTGCAGAAAGAGTCAGGAGGTGAGGGGGTGGGGGCAGAAAGAGGAGACGAAAGCAGACGACAGAATATTGCTAGAGAGCAGGAAAGGAGGTGAAAAGAGACAATTTTAGAGAAGAAAATTTTTCTATCGCTACCCGGATTCGAACCCGGGACGTACTTTGAACACCTTAATCTTTAGGCCACGAGATCCCCCTGGATTTCTTCATCAAAAAGTTACTCCTCAAACTAAAATCAAAACAAAACATTTCACAAGAATGTTTAAAGAGGGAAAAGATAGTACCTGTGTAAGACGGAATCGCAAGGGAGCGAGCCAGACAAAAATTCCGTCTCAGACATTTTCCGTTTTAGACGGGAATTTAGGGGGAGATGGAAGTTGGGGGGGGGGGGGGGTCCAAAGGCCCAGCCGGTGGGATCAAGGATTGCTTGTTCGATCGGCAAGTAGTCGTCAAAATTCCACACCTCTCAATTGCTATCCTGTCTGATAATGACATGCGTCAGTCTTACTTATACAATTATCACCAGTGCTGGCCTTTCATACGACCACTGCTTGACTAATTAAAAACAGAAATGTTTGAACATCTCCTTTGCTTCCACCCTTAGCCCCACCCACCATACCACCCCTCACTGTCATCATGTAACAACGATTCGAGGAACTCTTTTCTCGGTTGGTCGTACGATCAGGGCAGCAGCAGGCATTGGTCAATCTAATTTCACAATTTCACACATCTGGCTTCTGGCTAGGCCTACCCAGGAAAGTTTCCGTAGTGACTCGCTACTCGAGCACTCTCACTGCCGGTGTGAGATTTCACACCCACACTACACTGACATCTGCATCGCTCAGGGCTCACATGATGGGGTAACATCTACCCCCAAATTTCACCCCTACCCCTTCCTCGCCTAGCGGCATGGCCATTGCGTTAAGTTTAGAGCCGGCGGAACCAAACTTGCGAGTTTTGTTTCAAATCAGGGCTGAGCGGGCAAAGCATTTTCCGTCTTAGACAGGTGAAACCCTCGGAAGGGAGCGGATTTTTTTCCCCGTTTCTGCGTTGGACTGGTTTCCGTTTTATACAGGTAGCCTAATTAAAGAGGAATATTAAGGGGGGAGCGGGGAGATTCCGTTAAGACAGGTTCCGTGAAGGCAGGTTCGACTGTCATGCATTCAGATAAAAAGCGAAACTCCACGAACACCCAAACGAAACTCCTGATGCACACAAGGAGCTAAACTTTTAATCTCCTTGGATGCACAATATCTCGAAAAGGGATCTGATTGGTCAGGGTGTCTACTATTATTTACTATTTGCTAGCCTAGCCTACGACTGTAGCTCCATCCCACAGGTTGATCAGCTGCCCCCGCCCGAGTTTTTGTTCCGTAAATTAGGATCTCAAATGCAAGATCCTAACCGAATGTTGTCCTAAAGATCTAGAGTGGGATCTAGTGGTCCCTTTTGTGTAGAAATTTTTTTTCTTACAAAAATGAAATCTTAATTTAGCAAACCATGATCTCAAGCAGTAAACGCTATCTTAGACGGAGACTACTGAGTTTATAATAGTCGTCCCGTGCCTTGAACAGTTTTTGACAGCTATTATGTTTATGTTATTGACCTACAAACGGTTGGGATTCCCATACTTTTCCTCTTGATAGTGTAGGCCATACTAGATTTATCCACGGATTAATACATTGTGTATGGTGTATTTGTGCTTATAAAAAGCGTTGATAAAGGCAAGTGTCATGGCTCTAGCCTACCTCTTGTATAGGCTACTTCAAATGCTATTTACCCGTCAACACTGGCGAATAGGCATTTCTAAATGTTTACCTGATACTATAGGTAGTTTAAGCATTTCAAAAACGTGATTGCTTCTGTGTTTCCATTTCAATCATACTGTTGAGACTGATATGAAATGTGAACCGTATTTTGGTGCGTGACGGCAACCCTTGCCTTCCGTGCACAAGGCCTACCGTGCTTTGAGTATATGCGTGTGCGTATTTGATCTCTGTCCTTTGCCTTTAGCCTTTAGACTCTTAGTGTAGGATTCAAGCTCTTGAGATGGCTACAGGGCCTGACTCAGATGATGACAAACGGCTGAAATTTGGAAATCGTCTCTTAACAGATCCTCAAAATGTGTTTCAACATAACGCATGGTAAGCAGGCCCCGGTCCAAGTCAGGTCCAAAGATTCAAATTCAAAATATATAATAAGTTGCGTGTGTATTGAATTGAGATTCAGTAGAGTTGGGGGGAATGGGCAAGCGGGTTTGTTACTCGCAGATGTAGATAGTCAGAGCGAGCGAGTAAGGGACGGCCGTGCGAACAGACTGCGAACTTCTAGCTAGTTCTTGTTTAGGGTCCACTCCACAGTTTTATTCTCATTCAGAGGACAAACGGATGAACTCTAGCAGACAAGAGAGAATGGACTGCTAACCTCAAGACATTTGTAAGGTGTCATGGCGAAATCAGGCATGTCATGTGTCAAAATATACCATGAAATCAAAGAAACCAGCAATTTTCCACCAGTTTCCTAATTTTTATCAATTTTTTTGTTTTTTGTTTCAACATTTGGAAGGACTTCCTTAACGAGCGACCACCCCATCAAACACAATTATCACAATAAAAAAGAGGCTCAATTCTGCTGTCTCATAGTGGTCGCTCGTTACGGAAGTCCTCCCCAACATTTTTTATACATGTCCATTTAAAAACACATTTGGTAAATTTTTACTTTCACTCCCGCACACAGATGCACTGTTTCAGGGGTCAAACTGCTGTACTGTTTGCTGCAGATCACACATAAAGTGCCACTAAAACTGTCGCAAATCAATTATTTTCAAGACCATTTCAAATCTAATAGTAAAATATCAAATTATGGGTGTAAAAACAGGGGGGCATGCCCCCCTGTAACCCCCTAGATTTTCTTTTACTTTTACCCCAGTGGGGCAGGCCCCCCTGGAACCCCCTGATTGGTCCAAAGCATGTCTATCTCGTTTAAAAAAAATCAAATATTTCAAAAACCATTAATTTGCGACGGAAATGAAGTTGATATTCGTGTTCAGCGCATCAATATTTAGTAGAAAATAGACAACTGGTAGCTGAGTGTGAGACGGGAGGGAAAGTAAAAAAATACCACACATTTCTGTGTGGATATTACCAGTAGGCCTACTTAAAAGCGTTGATAAAGGCATGAAATTGTACATTTTCAGTTTCCACGTACTCTCAAGCTATGGAAGTCACCAAACTTTGATGGCAATTTTCTCGCTCACCTCTTTGTAACCAGGCAACCCCCCCGCACCTCCCTCATACACGCAAATGTCTCTACTTCTCTTGAAGATAGGTTATTTTTTCACCGAAAGGAAGACAAATGAACAGTCTTTAGATAATTCCACATGTCTAAAAATTGATGGGCGCCTGATTCTACCGAATTGTAACACATAGAGATCTAGTTTTTTAGGTGGTCTGCTCCCCAATTTTAGAGTAGAGTCAGGTAACTTCGCCGCTCTCAGTTACCTCGCGACGAAACAAGCCTACACCCCCTCTATGCTCAACGTATGACCCCTGTTTCGACTGCGACTTTTCGTAGCCAATGAAAATGCAGATAGTATAGTCCACTGATTGATTTGCCTGCTAGTGGTACTTCAGCTGCTTCGTTCTTTTTTCAAGTGGATGTGGTGACGGGAACTTCGCCAGTCCTTGAGGGGAAATTCGCCATACTGGCCGATCATCTTATTTCATTATATATAGTATAATAAATATATGTATATATGTTACAGTAAGAATGCGTACCCAGTGAATACGCGTAAACTCTGAATATTTTAGTGAATACACGTAATCCCCGTTTCACTCGGGGGTTTCACGTAATCACTGAAATTTCTAGTGATTACGCGAAATCCCTAAAATTAGACCTATCATTTTAGGTGTTTTTACTACATATGTACTGAGCATTCAGTGAATTCACGTAATAGCCCGCCACTGTACAGGGATTACGCGTTTTCACTGAAATATTCAGTGATTACGCGTATTAACTAGATTGATCTACGTGTTCTTACTGTAACATAGATATGCCAGCTGGGAAACAAGGAGACGTGTGTAAGCCAGTTCCACTTGTTGATCGAAGGAGAGGCGATCCTAGAAGTATCCTTGGTGTCATAATTGACAGACGAGAAGATAGCCGTAAAAGCTGGCTTGTATTCCAGAAATCAGTTCGATCTATGCCCTGGGCGTCTTCTGAACACTGACGACATAAACACCGAAAAAATATTTCACTGCGTTCGGCGGTGATTTGTCAATCCTCTTCTGGTGGACAAGGCTTCACAAGAAGCAACTGTACTGATGCCAAAAAGTGTAGTTCCAGGCGATGTAAATGCTGTAAAGCAGGGCTTTAGTGTAACTTACGTTGTCATAGCAGCCTCAATTGTTGTAACAAGTGATGACGTCGATGGATTTTAGTCTTAAGTATTTAACTGAAAACTGAAACAACAACAACAACAACAATGGTGTCTGCCATTTAAAAAAATTTAATGCTTTGTTTTTAGATTGTGGAGCAGGTGTGTGTATGTGTGTGTATGTGTGTGTGTGTTGTGTGTGTGTGTGTGAGAGAGAGAGAGAGAGAGAGAGAGAGAGAGAGAGAATCTTTTACCGAACTGACTATTTAAGCAATAAAATTTGGTATGTGCTTGATCATTAGAATTTTTAAATGCTTAGTTTTTAGATTCTGGAGCAAGTGAGTGTGTGTGTGTGTGTGTGTGTGTGAGTGTGTTTGTGTGTGTGTAGTGTGTGTGAATGTGTAAGTGTGTGATGTGTGTGAGTGTGTGTGTGTGTGAAAGAGAGAGAGAGACACAGAGAGAGAGAGAGAGAGTATCTGTTAGCGCACTGACTATTTAAGGAATAAACTTTTACAAAAGTATATTATACTACACATGTCTGATCAGGGATTACGCGTAATTACTGTGACCATTTTTCAGGGATTTCACGTATTTCCTGATTATTTCAGTGATTACGTGAAATCTCCGAGTGAAACAGGGATTACGCGTTTTCACTGAAATATTCAGTGATTACGCGTATTTACTAGGTACGTGTTCTTACTGTAACATATATATATTATATATGTATATTATTAAACACATGTAAATACTGATCTTTAGTTAAAGGGAAACCTGCATTTGCTGCTGCAGTCACTTTGTCAATAATTTTATTCTCTCCCTCCCAGCCCTAATTCCAAAAGGCCAGAGACATGGTCAGCAAGAGTTTTTCTGGGAACACTAAATTCCTGGGCTGCCTCAGAGCAGCTTTGTCCACTTTAAACAGCTTCAACAACTTTCTCCAAATCACTTTATAAAGTTTAATTTAGTTGTTATTGATTCCTTTGCTTGTACAAGTTTTCCCCATAATAAAAGTGATAAATCTAAGTATTGCAACAATGGAAAATCAATAGACCTGTGTGGCAAAGTTCCCCGACAATAGAGGGGAATTTCCCCGACAAGGTGTAGATCTGTACAAGAACAATTTTTTAACCGTAAAAGGGCATACAATGTATACAACTACAACCGACAATAAAATGCAAGTATAATACAGTGGAAACCATATATAACAGGCCCGGTAATAACAGGGATCCGGTAATAACAGGGATTATTTGAATCCCCGTTTTTTTCTTCTCTTTCTCTATATTAAAAGTTATCGGCAATAACAGGGCCTCATCGGAGCCCAACCGGTTATAGCAGGGACAAAGGGTCGTTAACAATGTGTAAACAGTAAGAGAGAGAGAGAGAGAGTAACGCAGTGATGGAGCAAGCGCACGCAAGCCACGCCACTGCAAGCACACGCAGCGTGTGAAGCGAGAGAGGGCTGCGGTGTGCTGCAGACCTCGATCTAGCCCGAAACCTAGCAAGACGCACACGTAATGTGTCACCAACGATGTCAAGCGCAAGAGAAAATGCTTTTCAATTGACAAAAAATACGAAATAATCCAGGCTGTTGACAAAAAGCAAGCTCCACTTGCAAAGATTTGTCGTCAGTTCGACATTCCACAAGGGTCGATTCACATCATTATCAAGGATAGAGAGAAGATAGTGGCAGCATACTCCAATGGAAAGTTTGCTCTGGATCGAAAGAAGATGAGACTACCTGATGCAGATGCTGCGGACCAAGCTCATCTGATATGGTTTTAGGAGACAAGGAGAAAGTTAGTGCCAAAACCCCTGTTTGTGGGTACTTGTGGCAAGGGCAACTACCCCTGAACAAGTACAGCTATATTAGTCCACAAATGCTTACTTTCCTTGCATTTCGGATTTAACAGGGATCGGATATAACAGGACATTTTCTCTACTCCCACCATCCCTGTTATATCAGGTTTCCACTGTATTTTAATCAGCAGTTTCAACACAATTTGAGTAAAAAGTTATGTACAGCAACGGCAGTAGACTCAGAAAGACAAAAATAGTTCAGGCGCAGCAGCGATAGTACGACAGAGGAGGAAAAACTGCTCAGTCCGCTTCAAATCTGAGAGACTGCCATAGCTTTCTCTCGAGAGGAGTCCCATTCTGCCACGTCTGTGTATGAAGGGTAGCATAGCACTTGCAGTGATGAAGGATAATGGTTGGCATCCTCTTGGTCATGTCCACATTCGCAGATCGCGGACTCTCCCTTTTTTAATTCAGTGTGCATATGGTGTTTGAGTCTGTTGTGGCCGCAACGGAGTCGAAAGCTTGTGGCCTGGTCTGCTTTATTTAGCTTGTACTTGTAGTAGGGGTCACGTCTGTTGTGATTAGGGTGGAATCTTTGACAAAGAATTGTTTCTGGTCTCAAGTAACTTGACACCTAAACTCTTCCTTTGGTTGGCATATCAGATTATTCCCATTCTAAATGTGTGAGGGCGGGGGACAGGTGACGAATTTCCCCTCCTGGCAAAGTTACCCGACTCTACTCTAATCACCCAGAGGGCAGGCGAACGGACGAACTGTAGCAGACAAGATACTCAACACATTGTTGTTTCAAGCCATTTATTGTGCTGCAGGGAGTGAGAGACAGGTGACATATCACTATGTGGGTCACACTGTGTGTTCTAATTAGTTGTGAAGACCGAAATTTAAAAAATTACCAAAGGCAATTACCCCCCGCTACAAACAGCACTCAGCTACTGTCATACTGTGAGCGTAGTATGGGGGGTGTATAATGGATTACGCGTCGTTTCACACGTGCGTGAAGGTGTACAGTGGAATCCTGTTACAACGAGAGGGAGGGGACCGGTGCGAAACTGATAATGGTTTTTCTAGTGTTTGCTATGTTGAAAGCTCAGCGTTGGCTATCAGTACGAAAGTTCTCGAGGCTAACTCGCCCGCTGTGTTTTCCCCCACCCCACCACACCCTGTGATGCGTTCCGCGTCTGCTTGCGCACGTCACACATTCGCTCCATGATCTATCACAGCACTGTGACCTCTACATCCCCGCATCGGAGAAGTGAGAGGCATGATAGGCCTAGATAATCTAGACTAGGCTGGCTTATCACTATTAGGCAATTCGTTCTGCTTCACAACGGTTTGTCTGCGCGTGCCACACCCTCCCCATTCATTATTCTAAAATCCCGTTTTTTTCCTTCTTTATCTTTGTAAATAAAATACTGCTATAGCGCAATCAGATAAACGCGCAAGTCGGTTATAGTGGAATTTTGCTGCTGCTGTGCACAGCGCATAGGCCTTTTATACATGGTGAAAACCTCACCAGTTGAGAAACTTGTTGGTGATCAAGCAAAACAAAGAATAAGAGAGCCCATGTGTGCCAACAATGAAGGCCGGAGCGAATGAATGTGGAGTGAGTGGCATGCGCACACAAGCCGTTTAGAAGCAGAACGCATTGCCTGATAGTGATGGGCCAGCCTAGTCAAGATTATCTAAGCCTATCATGCCTCTCACTTCTGTGATGCGGAGATGGAGAGGTCACAGTGCTGTGATGATATGGTGGGGTAGGGGAAAACACAGCGGGCGAGTTACCCTAGAGAAATTTAGTTCTGATAGCGAACGCTGAGCTGTCAACATCGCTAACGTTAGAGAAAGACACCTGATTCTATTGTTGATCAAGTAAGACCTAGAGGTCATGTTGGACAAAGCCATCATCAGAGGAGATAACAAAATGAAATAAACAGAATAAACTCATAGGGGCCTACTTTATTATTTCCTTTAAATTTATTACTGGATCCCTTGCATCGAGAATCCTGCTGTGACGGACATTTCGCACCGGTCCCCTCCCTCTCGTTATAACAGTTTTCCACTGTACATGATATTGCAAAATTAAACGCTATTCTATCTGACACAGGGAGTGAATGCATTGTTCTTAACATGGGAGTAATGTCTTCCCTTTTCTTTTTTCTGGAATGGGAATAGCAGCATGGTTCTGCAAATGCTGTAATGTGTGAAGAGTGGTATTAGGTAGGTTCTCCAGTAGAGCATTGCAATAATTTATACCTAAAAACAGGAGAGATGACTCCAAGAGTTATGGAACTGATTTATACAACTGTGTGTCATCTGCGTATATGTGATAGTTTATATTGTGCTTTCTAATCATAGCTCCAAGTGGCTATATATCATTATAAGATTGGACCCTACACTGAATCCTAGGGCACTCCAAATCTTGTTTAAAAATTAGAAATCGATGAGAGTCCTAGGCATCCACAAATTGTGTTTGGCCAAACAGGAAGGACCTGAGCCACTCATGAGCTCTGTTGGAGAGGTCAAATGTACAGTGGCGTGATCTCTTAAAAGGCAACACTAAGATCAAGAGCAACAACTGAAATTTTGTTCTCATTAGTCTCATATAAGAGGTTCTTATAAGTTTTGGGTAGTGGCCTTTACAACATGCACCACCTGTATTCCAAACTCAATTTCGAATCTTTCTCGCCACTGGTAACAGAAGCAATCATGCATGACTTTTGAATTATTGAAAAGAACGAATAAACGTGGCTTTAAATAATTAATTAAATACATAGTTAAAACAATACTTGCACACTTTCAATGAACAAACACTGAGTTTGGCAATTTGTCATCTTTATTTGCTCCACAGCCTCAGATATCTGAACCATTGTATACCCATTAATATCGATGATTAACTTCGTTTTGGGTACCAGAAATGTACATATGTATGATGTATTGACTTTCCTGTTTCTTTTCTGTTCACAGGGACAATGTTGTGTGGGATGAAGAACAGGAAGCTGCAGCAAAGAAAATCACTGAAAAGCAGCTCGAGTGTTTGGCTCAACCAGAAAAGAAAGGTGTTTTGCGTTAATTTGTTGAATTAAGAGAAGAAAACAACAAAAAACCTTTTTCTTCTAGAATATATATTTTTTAATTGACATATCATTAGCCTGCTGTTCAAATGTACAAAGCCCAAAATTTTGAAAATTGTTTATCATTAATATATGGAATTGGCTGTTTGTGCTCAAGAAATATTTTGTTAAAATTCAATTTTTAAAGGCTGAAAAAGCAAGAAAAGATATATAATGTAAGCGTGAAAAGAAACAAACAGTTTTTTCTCTCTCCTGAAAATTTTGCTTTCTGGGCTTAGTACAGTGGGCCAATGTCGATATGTCTTTTTTTGACATGACATTGGGCCGAAGGGCACAAGCTCAAATGCTACTGGATTTACAATAACAACAATTATTGACATATGACTAAGATCTTGGACTGAGGAAATAATCTTTGCATCAGAGGCTAAGAGTTCAGTCTTTTATCTATTCCAGTCATGGCCAGAAGTATAAGATTAATATGAATATGTGATTAGAGCACCAGTTTTACGTTGTACTCTACTTGCAAATTTGCTTCAAAGCGTCAGTTGAAACTCAGTCAAGTGAAATAACTTTATTAGGCGAAAGTGGATTTTACAAGAGCTAAAAATTCAATCTGACACGGCTTAGCTTAAATACCCATTCCTATATTTATTAATTGAAAAAAACAACAAATGCTTTTACCATGTCAAACAGACTCAGTGAATGTCACAGATGCATGTGTAATTGGAGATAATGGATCTTTAAAGAAAAATTCTGATGTCTCTAACTTTGTTTCTGTGCTACCTTTTATAATTTTGATAACTGTCCTTGCTTTTATACTTGATTGACGTTCTATTTTTAAAAATCTTTTTTATCTATTCCAGAGGAATATGAGAGTAAAGCTGATGAATTCTGGAACACTTTTTATAGCCAGCATCAAAACAGGTTCTTCAAAGACAGACACTGGCTGTTCACTGAATTTCCGGAGTTGTACGGCAGAAAGGATTGTGATGATAACAATGACTCTAATGACAGTCTCTGTAAACCTCAAGATGGAGAAAATACATCAGGTAGCAATACCACTGTATCGTCGCCCCAGCAATCCTCAGGAGAACTGGATGAATCATGTTTGAGTACAGCTGTAGACAAAAAATGTTCATTGGTAGATGGGGCAACTGCACCATGTGATGACTATCCTGTCAACTTTTTGGAGGTAAAATAGTGTGGTTTATTTAATTTTTAAAATTTCATTTCATTGTAATTGTCAATTGCATAAATTTTGCGAGAAATTTTTGAAGATATTCAAAGATAAAAAAGCATTGAGACAGACGTCCATGGTTATTAACCTAAAACACATCTGATTGATCTTTTTTTAAACTGTTACATAAATGATTATGTGTATGTCATGAAGAGCAACACTTCTCTTTCTCTGTCTAGTTGAATATTTAGGGGGTCATCATCATCCGGTGCCTTGCCCACTGGCGTGGGTGATCATGGACCTCCACTTCACTTTGTCTTGCCTTGCAGCGATGGTGTCTGTCGTACTAGCTTTATCCCTGCCATGTTGTCAACTTGTACAGTATCTTTTCCCTGTGTCTGCCTCTGCCTCTCTTTCCATCAAATTGCCTGTTGTTACAATAGTCTCCAATGCTTCTTCCCACATTGTGTGTCCTATGAACTTTGCTTGTCGCTTTCGTATATTTAGGGGTACTTGACTTTAAATTTCAATATTTCCTTTATGCACCAATACATCACCTGAACTACCTGAATGACTCCCATGAAGAAATTTTGTTGCCCTTAAGAACTCGTGCTGTTTTGTACAATAAATAGAGATTTAATAAAAAAAATGTAGGTGCTTTTTACACCCTTATCAACATAATTTAAATTATTTAGGAGACACAAACCTGCCAAGTACATTGATAAAATCAGAGCTCTCTGATTTTTGTTGTTGTTGGATTTTAATTAGATCTGCATAGATTTAAATCAAATTTTTTCTTTACTTCTGTTTTCATTGGTTGTGGGCAACCTTTCTTAAACGACATAAAGATATATATTTATTTGGAATATTTGCGCGACTTATGTGAAAATACATATTTTGTTTATGTGTATTTGCAATTTACATCTGTTTGCCATAATCGGTTTGTAATGTTATCCGAATCTATTCAGGTTTGCTAGTGCATAGTGCCATTTGGGTGCGCATTGCTTTGTTTATTCTAAGTAATCTAAGATTTTCATGTGCAATATTATGGCGCTTACCTTCATTGACATTTTTGTTCACAGGTTGGCTGTGGTGTTGGTAACACAGTGTTTCCTCTTCTGAATACCAACAAGTAAGGTTTTTCTCCTGTTGTTTTAATAGACATTTATGTCCCACTTTTTGTTTTTTCTGACTTATACTTTTGTCACATGATCTGAGTGTTTCTAGCTTATGTTGAGGAGGAGCTAATTTAAATGTTAACGCAGATGGTTGTTTGCAAGAAAGCCTTGGAAAGTCCAAGAAAATTTGTTCCACAGGAGACAGGAAAAAGTCAACCCCGCCCTTAAAGTAATTTTTTATGAAATTTGAGATGCAGTCAAAATTTACCTAACTCATAAGTCGATACCATAAACTGGAAGAATTGTTACTCTCTTTTCGATTACCTAATTGGTAGATTTGATAGTGACTTGTGGCATAGTGACTTTCTGTACTTGGCTCTATGTATCCTTCTCTATATGAGTTGAATGTCAAGTCATGACTTTTCTGTGCTGTTAAATTCAAACAAATTCAGTAGGCTATTTCATTATTCATTTTTATTTCAGAAATCCAAACCTGATGGTGTACTGCTGTGACTTTTCCAGTACTGCTATACAGATATTAAAGGTACTACTTTCATTAACTCCTCAATGCATAAGGATGTCGAATCATAGATCCCAGTTCCTTTTGTATTGTTTGGAAGGCAGAGCTTATGTAATACATACTATGTGTACCATTTCATTTTCAGTGGATATTGAGTGTTCTTGAAATTTCTGGAAGCCTCAGGGAGTGAGCTTAGTTTTGAGAATCTTTTAGGATGAATTCGATTGTAAACTTTTCAGCCTCTTTGTAGTTGTTGTCTTTTTTAAAAGATAAATTTCACATTTCAGTACTGTGAGTACAGGGTGATCCAATAAAAACGCAATTACTTTTTGTCTGAATATCTCTACACTAAAATTGTTCTATAATGTTATAATTTGGAAAAGATGTAATATCAAAAGGAATTTGTTTGACTTAAAATTCCTGAGAAGAATCTTATTTTCAAAAACAGAAATTTCTCAGCAGGCAAAAAAATCTTGAGAAAAACTAGAATAATACCTGCAAACTTCTGTTGAGTTTTTGGACAACTAAAACTTGCAATACGGCGGGATTGTTGGAACTTCAAGTCATAGGCCTAATGTGAACTGATGTGTCATTCTAGAAAAATGGGGACATGGCTGAAAATGGGTTGTTTTTTTACGCGCTGTATAGAGGAAAAACTATTCTGTGGAATTATTTAGCATGAGTATCAGCCAAATTCCTTTTGACTTCAAACATAGGGATTAACTTTAAAACATCAGTGTAGAGGAAAATAATTAACTTTCCAAAAAAAGTTATAAAGTTTTTTGTGGAGCACTCTGTATTGTATTTTCTCTTGGAACATGAACACACCTTGCATCAGTACAAAAAAAATTACTGAAACAGTTGTTTTAATGGTCCATCATTTTGCTCTGGTAATCAGTGTTCAATGTTGAACTTATGAGCCTTGCTGAGAATTGAGGAATGTTTGGTCCTTGTAGATTTTTTCTGACTGCTATATTTGCGCATATTTTCAGTCTAGTTTCTTACCCCCTTGTTGATTATAATGAAAGTTACCTTTCAAGCATGCTTTGCCTTTGTGTTTTTGCAACTCTTACTTTTGCATAAGTTTGCTCTGAAACTCATTTCAGGAACACCCTGATCATGACCAGAAGAGATGCTGTGCTTTTGTCTTGGACATTACAGAAGAAAACCCAGAAGTTCCATTTCCCACTGAGAGTCTAGATATTATCATTATGATCTTTGTTTTGTCTGCAGTTTGTCCAGAGAAGTGAGTTACTAATGTTCTTTCTAACTGTTTATATTCTTCGCCAAGTTAGTGTTCTTAATCCTAACATGCAAGCATCAGAGAAGAGAACTGCACCTTTTAGGCTGCTAAGCTTTATGATGAGCATTGGTTTGTTTTAGTTCTTTTGCAATTCTTACCAAAACTTAATTTTGTTCTTGAATTTTTAAGGTGAAAGAGTACAAAGATGATATGTTTTTGTTGTGTTGGGTATGCATCAGCCTCACCTTTGCCAAACCATCATCTGTACAATGGAAACATCTTTTGTTTTAGAGACATTGTAGAGAGATTGAAGGGAGCAAAGAATATTTTCTAAATTTGTTGCCAAATGTGTGCTGTATTTCAAAACATACTGGTACATTATATTCAAGAAAGGAAAAGAAGATCAAAATTTCATATATCCCAATACAGGTTGTCTCTCACTGATACAATAGACACAACTTGTCATATAATGAGAGTAACTTCATTTTTGAGGAAAGAGTGAAAGATATCATTTAATCTATCAGACAAGCTGATTGATACCATTCTTGTGCCTGCTGCACCATTTATTGTTCTTGTTTTAGGTATAACTGATGTCCACAAATTTTCTTTACATTTGGTATATTTTTGGATCATTTTTCAGAATGCAAGCAGCAGTCAATCGCCTGGCATCCTACTTGAAACCAGGGGGCACCATATTGTTCAGAGACTATGGACGTTATGACATGGCACAACTGAGATTTAAACAAGGTCTGCTTTAGCTCACTATTTGACCAATAATGAAGTTTCATTTTCTGTGTAAATCCTTTTTTTTTTCTAGATAAAACAAATACAATTCTCATTTAAACTCAACTCATTCATTACGCAATATTTTGGGCTTCTGGAGGAATTTTTTGCGGGAGAACGACATGAAATGATGACTAGTGCGCAGTTCACATGTCTTTAGGACCACAAATTGATATAAATATCAGCATACAGACATGTAAGTGTTCCGGCAATCACTCAGTTTTTCCGCTCAGGTTTCTGACCAAACGTCTCCGGCTGGCAAATATTTTTAGGTGGAATTTACCATTTCGACAATATAAGAATGGAAATGTGAACTAGGAAAAAGACAACGCATTTCCAGTCGCCATTTCCTTTCCTAGTTCGCATTTCCGTTCTTATATTGCCAAAATAGTAAATTTCGCCACCACATGCGTTGATCACCGGGTCACTGGTGTGCTGTTTTGCATGGTTACGATTCTTGTGAGTGCTCTTTCAAAGATGAGCTCTTCTTTCTTCCGGAAAAAATGTTTAAAAAAAATATTATTAGAAGTTAGAATGTAGATCTAGTGCTGTTTCACAGTTTGACTTTTGTTTCTGCTGAGGAAAAGTTTTTTGATTAGAACAAGACTAGATCTAGATCTATTTGAGTGTTTTGTTGTGACTGAGTCAGTGATTGATGTATTGACTTTACGAGTGAGAAACTGGAGCTAGATCTAGGTTCTTTGTCCCGAAAAGATGCCTCACAATCCTGATGCCCGTGGATCTCAATATCTGAGTAGGCCTAAGTGATACCCAGTTGATTTTCTATCTGTTTTCGATAGACAATTCTTTTTGGTCTGATATTTTATTTTCGGAGTGTCTACGTACACGGTAGAGGAGAGAAAGAAAGAGAGAGAGAGATAAAGAGAGAGAGAGAGATAGTGGTTGAGTGAACTATCTCTTGGACCTTCCGGTTACCGTGTACGTAGCCTCGGGGTCTACGTACAAGGTAACCGTGTACGTAGCCTCAGGGTCTACGTACACGGTAACC